GTAGGTTAGTTAACTATTAACGCTCTACTTTTAAGCAATAACTAGTTCTTATTATTTAGTCAAGTTTGATGACATTATTTATGTAGCACCAAACAATTGTGAATTCGCCGTCGTGTCTGATCACACGGATCCCGTGGGAGTCACAGGTCACGGAGGAGGAGGTAATCGCGCGGACGATCATACATTCCCACGATCCGATCTCTGATGATAATGTTCTTTGGTGCCGTATCGAATGTCACGCCCTGCGCCCTTCATCAAGTCAATAAATGTTTCCCAAATATACTTGTTACGTAGAAATAATTATTCTTCAAAAATCTATACGCGACACATACTTAGTATTGTTTTTACCGGTATACTCTTATCTTAGTCTTATATGAATTAATTCTTACAAATACTCTTAGAATCGGTTTCTTACTATATTATAATCTTTATTTTTAGGTAAGTTTCGGTTTTGGTTTGTCGATTTCCGAATATCCAAAGCCAAAATAAGTCGACAGCGTGTCTTGTTTAGATTTTAATTGATTACGGTATGTAACTTTCTATAAAACAAGTGTTGCTTTTATTATTGATAAGACGTTGTTTAATCTTGATTAATATAACGTCTACCTATTTTAAATGATTACTCTTCTAGTAGTTCTAGTAGTTAGTAGTTTTTTTTTAATTCAGCCAAGATTTCTTATAACAATGAGTTGTAGTTATCACGTTACGTCATAATATATACATTTCGTAATTTAATGTCACCGCGTAATGAAAATGTCAAGCTAAGTGATTACGGAGTTTAGTGTGAACCGCAATCACAGCGATTACCTAAAGGGTTGTAGTTTCATTAAGGAGATCCCACGCTCTACGAAATATGGTCACATTTATCTTCGCCCTCATCTTATTTTTCATGCTATAATTTCATTAAATCTTAAAAAAACATTGCAAGATTTAAAACAGTATAGTATTTGATAATTTTTTTTTTTTTGGTTTGGGGTTTTGTGGTTTGGGGGTGTTTTTGGTTTTTTTGGAAGTTAAAAGTATTGTTAAATTAATTTTAATGTTGTGTTGTGAATTAATTTTAAAAGTAGATGGTTTTCGCAATTTTTTTTCTCGATTTCAACAATTGTATTTAATAAAACGGCTATTATAACTGTGCTGAGTTAAGGCGGAAAATTAGATTTTAACATTTCCATAAAATTAAAACTCTAATGTTTTTGACGTGTTATAGCACATAAAGGCATTATATAAATTAAAAATCTTTTTGCATTAAAAAAACGGCATGGTATCTCAGTTGGTTAGAGTCGCAGCACGTCCCGCCGTCGTACAATTTTTTTGTCTATTATTACTATTAAATTTTTTTCTATAAATATACATATTTTAGAAACATAGAGCTTAGGATACAGACGTGATAATTATATGAAAAACATAATTCTCTTCAGACACCTAATAAAATTATTAAGACACTAACGAGCGAAATTGATTACTTCTAATTTTTGTACCCTCGTTATAAATGTAAGCGATTTAATACCCCATTGAAGTGCGAGTATTATAACAAACAATTTGTGGCAAGTGCATCAAATCGGGCGCGTGGTGTGGCGTTGATCACTTGAGGTCGTGTGTCATGCACGCGCCATACACCTGCATTGGGAAACATCTAAGGGGGACGAAAATCATTTGACAGCCTGTAGCAGATCTAATCAGATGATACTTTTTTATCTGTTCCATTTAACATAATTATAATTTTATAATAGATTTTGAAATCAATTGATCTTTCGTAAAAACTTAAATTATACTTATCTAGGTTATTTAATTAATTACCTAAATAATTAGATTAATTAATATTTATCGCGTTTTCAACCGTTAAGTGTTTTTTTATTTATTTATTAAAAATAGGTTACAAGTTAAGGGCGAACTAACGATATGACTCTTTAACTAAAGGAGTATTCAATATCAAAATATCTTGGCGATCTTTAAGCTGTAATATGTTGAACTCAAATGTTAAAATTACAGAACCTATTTAAATAAAACACCTTACGGTTTAAAACGCGATATATCTTAGTTAAACTAGTTTGAAATTTATTATTATTATTTAAGTTTTAAACCGTTGAAGTGTTTTATTTAAATGTGTACTACTCGCGTAAACTACAGACAGTGTTTACAGAACCTGAATTAATTAATGTTTATATGGTAATTATAGCATAGCAAAGAAACGATAAGGACTTTTGGTAGGATATTCAAAATAATAATCGTAGGTAACGAAATTATTATTATTAATTATAATATAGAGAGATTTTTGGGTTAGTAAAGAAATATAAGAAAAGCTGCATCACTATTCCGAGCAGACGGAGAAATCCCGAAGGATCATGCTTAAGATCTAAGACCGAGAACGGAGAGAGCTGGATTGACATTTTGTTGGCATCCCCGGAGGTGCCTACGTCAATCTTTATTGTACCTCGGACGCAGAGGCCGTCATGTGTCATATTCTAGATGACCACTGTTCGTTGCAATAACAACGGACCTATTCGGACGATTGCGGACACAGTATAAGTGAATAGGTACATGTGTATATGAATTACTTAACGTGGCATTCCTGAATCCATATTAAATTTTGCAGTGACAAAATTATTCACATATTTTAACTATCGAATATAAAACCAAATATACCAACTCACTTACAAGTATGATTAGTTGGATTTATCATGTAATAGTTGAATGAAAAAGAGATCTTGCAAAGAGTACGTTAAGATAAACTCGTACGCTACGGCTAATTGGAGTGAAGAAGAAAAATGTGGATACCACGGGAAAATTCTTCTTTGAGGGCTTCTGTTGTGTGCGATGCGATGGTTCAAGAAACCATTACAACGTCGGTAACATCAAAATTTTATAAAGCTGAGGAGATTGTTTGCAAAACGACAATTTGATATCCAAAATAACTATGCCACGCGGAGAATTTATCTATTACGTAGCTATCTATTGCGTAGCTATTATACCAAAGTCATTTAACTGTAATAACTAACAAAAAATGCATCTAATCTACTACAGTTTTATTGCAAAAGCAAAGCGTTTTCAATCACGATATTTATCGACACACAGTAGAACCATAGCGTGATGGATTAAATTGCCCTGTCCCTATGACAAGGTGGGCATGAAAAAACACGCCTCGTCCAGCATCTGGTCATTTTTCAGACGATTCCTTTTGCTCTACAAGCGCAGGTGGTCGCTTTTATTACGTTCGGCCATTTTATGATGAATTTTGCGTTTGTTCGAAGCTTTTTCTACGGACGGTTACGACATTAACATTCTACTGAATTCTTAATTATGATGAGCACATTTCATTGTGTTGAAATTTTACGAATTCACTTTAAAGAGTCCTGAAACATATACTTATAAAATATTAAATATATATATTTTCAAACATTGGCGATGTCTCTAAATAAAAATTTGAAAAATACTACATTCTGTCATTTTAATTAATATTTAACCCTACATCCGAAGTTAAACTTAACCGAAACAGAAAAACAAACAACAATCAGCGTCGGATAAATAAAAATTATTTTATTGCGAATATATTTCGCCCGTACACTACAATGAATTTATTTACCGCGGGTCGCATCCCAATTTTAATTGTAATATGTGAATTCGCATTTTGCAGGCGAGTTTTAATTATCAGGAGTCGCGTTCGCGTGAAATACGCGACCGCTCGCAATATTTATGGCAACACCGGACCATTCCGATACACTTTTTAACGTAATGAGCGCTTGTTGCTGGCAACATTGTGCGGGGGTGCGGGTGGCGCGTATATATTGCTTTACGATTGTTTTTCCCTTATACATTATGTGTTTGTGGCGCTTTTGTTTACTTTGCTTTTATGTGTTAACGTCTTGCGGCGTAATAACTAGTTAATGGTTAGACTGCTAGCAGATATATATTTTGTAGCAGACAGCAAATTTTTTAACGTGAAAATATAATTGGGAAGTTTTATACTTACACTAATAAATAGTTAGTATTTTGTGCATAGTTATTAATGCTTTTATTACAAATTATTTTTACAAAATTTAATTATAAATTAAAGCAGTAATGTAGCCACAGAACATAAATAATGGCTCAAGTGATCAAACGAAATTTCGTCATAAATTTAGTAACTGAGATTTGCTTTTGTGAATGAGTAATTTATAACAAATTTCAGTAAACTTAAGACGGTGTAAACACTGTATTGTATTTTACTTATTCCTTACACCTACCCATTTAATAAGTCTTTTTCTATTTCTTTTCTCTATACTTTAGGTTGCCTGGAAGATATCGTTGCGTAGCGATAAGGCCGCCTTTTATTTATAAGTTAGTATGTAAGATTTATATTTTTTTATGTGGTTTATGTTAATAAAGCTACAATAAATAAATTTTATATCGGCAGAGATTGACATTATTACTGACTGAGTTTCAACGAAATAGAAAATTACAAGAGACAGGCATTGCAATGTGATCAGGTTAGGCAGGAAAGCAAGTCAGCCGGGTCCGCCATTAAATATTCACAACGAGCACACGTCACTCGAAGCCCGCTTAAATAAAAATGAGCGCTTATTATGAAATTAACGGGAGCCACCAAATGTCTGTGGCTTTTTTACCAAGGAACATTTTCCGTCCGCCGCAGCCGAATTAACGGACACTAATTGGAACGTGGAAATGCAGTGACGGACGGAAAAGCAATATTTTTATTGCTCGCCGAGAATATATCTAAGCGATATGATTATTGGGAACACCGTAATGTAGTTACGCTTTCGAAGATAGTCTATTAAATCTTATCGCTAACGGAATCAATATTTTTTATCCGTTAATAAATGTTGCAAATAAAATAAATTTTACTAGTTTAAGTACTAGTCTTAAAATTACATACAGTGATTCTTTAAACAATACGTTTGTTTAATGTTTAAAAAGACTTTAAATATAACAAAATTAATTTCAAGTTAATTGCTTGTAGATAGTTTGAATTCAGATGTCCTGGAAATGTCACATTCGTATTACTAATTTCTTACCTGTACTCTTGCCTCTGTTAAATCTATTTTCATTGCGATTTCTTCTCTCGTGTATATATCGGGATAGTGGGTTTCTTGGAATGCTCTTTCCAGTTCCTTGAGTTGTGCCGACGTAAATGTCGTTCGGATCCGCCGTTGTTTTCGTTTCTCTGTAAGTGATCCGTCGTGACCTCCATATACTTTGTAAGGTAGTCCAGCTGTGGACAAAAATAACTTTAAATCATCAGCTGTAGGCATTATAGTTAATTTTTAATTTAAATACGTTGAACATCTCATGGATTCGAATGCTAGAAAAAATACAATAGTGCAGTTGTTTATGTGTACCAAGGAACTAACTCGGACTCAAAAATTAATCAATAAAACGGACACAAAAATGTGTGTCCTACTCCTCACACTGATGAAGTCGGATTTTCTTATATTCATTAATAAACTTATATATAATTAAACGTAATATTAGCGTATTCCTAAAAATAATAAATATATAATGTATAAATTTCCTAACACAAGTAAATAATGGAAAATTACAATTGTACGATACGTTAAACGAAAGAAAAGCTCCAGGTTGTACAAAAGCGGCCATTTTGTCTCCCCTCCGAGAGTGCGCCCTCACCCATCGTAGGTACCTACTAATTCAACAATGTACTTTGTACTTGTCTATTTATACCTACGAATTAGGCCTTCTTTATTTAGACTTTTTGCAGTGTTAAGTGTTACTTATAAAATTATAATAATATTAATTTTTTGGTATTTATTGTACCTATAGTAATTTAAAAAAGTTCCTTTATAATGTTAAACATTTTTCTACCTTCACATTTTATGTTTTTATTTTATACTGCTTTTGTTGGTTAAGTTCTTGCTCTCAATCTAATTGTGGGAACTTGTAATTGGCTCTCTATTTTCTTTTTCTATTGTCTATTCAGTTATTTTTGTTAGGTACACATTTACAAAAAAAAAAATTTTATTTTTATTATTTCATATGACGGCACTCAATAAAACGATGCCGATAAACATCAACGAAATTAATAATAAGAAAACAGAACTTATTTTATAAAAATAAATGTTACGTTAATGTTATATATTAAATGACGTGACAACTATACCTTTTTTAATAATACCGAAATTCGAAAGGTATATAGGGAAGGATTTTCGAGGAAGACAATAAGAATTATATGCAACATTTACAACCTCTATCGAGAGAGGAAAAACCGTAAGGCACGAATGTCGCGTAGCGAAGTATCGATCGTAACTCGTAGCTACGCTACGGTTCTACGGTCGAGGAAAACTGCATCTCTACAACATTTTAACTTCTAATACAAAATCTGCACGAAGTCGTTACTTTATGACAATAAAAGTAAAGAAAGGACCAATAAAACATTTTTTAAATGTTCTATTTTTAATTTCGACTGCCTTATTGGCTAAATAGTTAAACGCGTATTCCAGCAATTAATTAATTTTTAGGAGTTTAAATCCCAATTTTTTTGTTTTTACTTTATATTCAATTAATTATATAATAAATGAAAGGGTAAAACTACTGGATGCTAAAGATAAAGCTACTAAACTGACTGTAATATGTGTAAGCCACTAAAACGTCAAATCGTATTTTGCAAGTTTAAAAAATTGTTCGTACTTAAAAATACTCGTACTTTTAACACAATACTATACAACGCTTGTAACCGTGCTTAGATGTAGTTGAAATTTATTTACATCACACAGAAGATATTTACTTTACTTACTGTAAACTTAAATTCACATAAAATATTACTCTTAAATCTTGGATATTTTTAGCAATTTTGTGGTGCAAAATAATCGCAGAGGTCCTGACTCTAAATAGAGCAGAAGAGAATGTCTATATTGTAAATCTAATATGCTGTAGTAGAAATTAAGGTAATTGTTAAATTTTAATACTAGTGCAATATGCAAGTGACAGTAATCTAAAGTAAATTATTCGGCTCGCGATTCCATTGTGGCATACATTAGATCCAACGTCCGCGGAAGACCACAGACCGCACGCGCGCAGCGACAATTACCTCAAATGAACCGGAATTAATCGAGACTCGCTTCTTGGCCGAGCTGCGGTCTCATTTGCATTATTAATAGAGGGTGCAGGGCGGCGGGAGGGGGGGCTTGTCTCTGCTCCCCGCACGCTCGCAATTTGCGGAACCTAATGAAGAGGATCTTCGCAAGATGTTCCGTTCTTATGATCTTTAATTTGAGTTTGCAGCTCGTGGGTCAGAAGGGCGCGTTCATTGTTATTGCTACTTGTAATATCGTTACGGCTTTTCCGAAATACCTTTGTGCCGTGATCTTAACACTCATCACAATACTTTCCAAATTTGAATTGTATAAGCCACTTTGAATCTCGATATTTGTCACATTCCATATTTGAATGTACGCATTCAAATGGTACCATAAATGTCACTGGTCATTGATATACGTACCATAAATAACTGTCTGTAGTTTACGCGAGTAGTAGACGTTTAAATAAAACACTAAACGGTTTAAAACGCGATACATATTAGTTAAACTTATTTAAAAAATATTTTAACTACGGCTCGACGTTTTGAATAAGACGTTTCAAATACAACTTCGACGAAACAGGTGGCACTAGCGTAGCAGTTTTTTACTTTGACGTCAGGGATACCCTCCATCTTTAGTCTCCCCGTGACCGGGCTGTTGTAAAGCGTCCGAAACGTCGGGCCGTAGTTAAAGTAATTTTCAAATAAGTTTAACTAATATAAAAACGCAGAAGATTAGGCTTATAACTTTGTCAGTATTATCGTGTATATAGCGTTACGTGTTTTCACGTTTCAAACACGTATTTGTAAGATATAGGGGAGCACGTGGCTCTAATTAATCGTCAGAGAGCGATTAATTCTCAGGTGATATGATCCGTGACTCACCCGACCCCTTGAGCTGCCTCACGAAGCAACAACAACCTTAACTAATCACCACTAGGCGTAGTACGTGTACGTTACAGTAATTAAATATGGGTTTTATCTAAATTATACGGTTTAAAATATGATAAATATTTCATAATTTGTTTTTAATATAACTCATTGTTCGCGCAAGACCTGAGTTCTGGTTAAAAATCCTTAGGTTTATATACTGTCTGTAGTTTACGCGATTAGTACCTACACATTTAAATAAAACACTTTAATGGTTTAAAACGCGATATATATTAGCTGCAAAGCATCCGAAACGTCGGGCCGTAGTAGTGACATAATTTTCAAATAAATTTAACTAATATACATCGCGTATTAAGCCGTTAAAGTGTTTTATTGAAATCCTTGTCTTTGACATATGCTATACTACTCATAGAATGAATAAAGTGATGACGTAGATTTGACTATATATTTTCACCATCTATCAAAAAAAGCGAATCAAGTGTGGGTCTTGCTTCATTTTTCTCGCGTCACACGGAAAGTTCGCAGACATCCATAATGTAGGCAACGTCGACGCTTCATCGCGCCATATTGCTGTAGCCACCCGACCAAGGGAAGGGTTCTAACGTTGATTCATGGAAATCTAAATACATTTTCCATTTCTATACGATATAGTAATAAATATAGTGTCCTATGATTTTACTTGTCAATTCAATTGGTTAATCTTGTTATTTCAATATTGTCATTTATTTATTATTATCATTTATATTTACTTAAAAATAATTTTGTAATTTAAATTACCTTTATAGATTAATTTTGAAACATCTGCAGATGGGGACAGACTGAAAAAACTATATTGTTACTTATCGCGCAGCATTCAGCTGAGTCCCCAAGATGCTACAAAATTTTAGCACTAAGAATTAGTTTTAAGACAAAATTTTAGCACTAAGAATTAGTTTTAAGAACCTTTTTTTTAAATATTTTATGTGTGTTTTATTTTGTAGCTATTTATATAACCAACTTCGTCCTAGAGGATGGCAGTATTGAAAACACCAAAAGAAGGCCGAAGAGGGGACTAAACACCAATCATTAGTCCATGTCACCTGTCAATAAAAACCATCTGTGAATGTATGGCCCATGCCCTCAAATAGGAGAAACGGGTTTAACACATTTTTATCGGGTCTAATTAATAATACAAACTGAAGCGAAGATTATATTCCATTTCGATATTGTGACGTATAAAAGGCATAAAATGCGTCTAGCAGTAATGTACGAAAGCAATTTATTTTATATTTGCAAATAAACATGTGGGTAAATTCCCGTAATGGCGGCTATAAAATTTATATTTTCCAACGCAAAGTATTCGCGTTCCTCATAAATATGAGTGAATAATCTTTCAAAGTCACAAAATTTGTATAATAAAATAGGTATAGAAAATATTTAGCTCTCCAACCATGGTTACACATCAATGATAATAATAAATAAATCATTGATTTGTATGCATATTAACAAAATAAACTTACAACGAATCGATATAAGAATAAGTGAAATTTTCGTGTCAATTGTCAAAGTTATTCTCGAAGAAAACACTAGAATAACATAACATTGTAGAAGTTACGAGCGCAACTCACGACGCAGTTCGACTGTAAGATATTGCCTTTTTTATAGCCCACTCAACTATAGTATACTTTGCTGGGACAGAATAGATCACATGATGCGATAAAATATTGCTCCCGTTCTGACACCAAATCGAATTAACCCGTCCACTTGCATGCAAAGGCGAAGGCGACATGAGAATAGAAATTGGATATTGGTTTAGGATGGATGTTCGTAACACGTTCCCTCTTCACATCAAATCAACTCGAATACATGTACACTGCAATAAAATCGATCATGTAAAAGAGACGTCCCATCCTATTTGATTTACATATATGTCAGATAATCTTATTAAGTAAAACACTTTCGACGGTTTCATACGCGAAATATATTAGTTAAAATTCTTTTTCACTCGACGTTTACATGATCTTCTCAATAAAAACATCGTGGTTATACTGAAAACTTTTTTTCTGTCTGTATGTTTGGAAACACTAATCTTTAAATATAGGTCTATGTAGCAGTACACATCTTTGCACGGTCCACCCACAGATTAAGCTAAGCTTGGAAAATGGGTTTTGTATTAAATAATTCTGGAGTCAATGATTTTTTTCATAAGACATCATTCATCTCATACTTATTTTTTGTAGCTCGTAGCGAGTTGTGTCAATCTTAGTGCTAAAAAGAAAATTTTCTTACAATAACATTTTCTTTTATATTTTTTACTTCACACATTTATTCTAAATATTTGTAATGCAGCTACTTCTATCAATTAATACGCATATTTCGTTATTTGTTTTCTTAAAAATTACATCTGAACGAAAGGAGGTTTTATTGAAATCTCCTAAATATACTACACACCCATATCTTAAAATCTACACCGTATTACGAATAATACCAATCTCCCTTGCATAATGTTATTAGAGTACAATAATTAATACGGCGAGTTGTAATTAATTTCTGTATGATTAACGGGAATAATCCGGGTCTTCTCAAGATTACATAGAGGCCTGAGGAAAATTATTATGTAGTGGGTGTCTGACTTTGTAGGGTCTTTCGTCTTAAGGCAATATTCACAAAAGTCGCTTGAACATGAACTAAATCATCAATTCAAGAAGATTAGTTTTATGATATTGGTAGTACATAGATTAAAGTGGTTCATTACACAATTTGCAGTTTAACAATTTTAAATTTATAGAAAAGAGCATTTAATTTTATAAAAATGTTGCCCAAATACATAATTACTAAAGCCCAAATTTTTAAAATATTTGAAACACTTTGCAAAAAGATGTTATGTATTTTTTATAATTTTTTAATTTACCAAAACTGGGTGATTATTTGAGTTTTCTTCGCTACCAGCTAAGGACAAAGGGTCAGGGGCCTGGTTTACTTATTTTTAGTAACTACTAGTAGTAGTATTAGTATAATATTATTATTTTACGTTACTAATATTATTTAATTTTAGAAATCAGATTTCTAAATTTGAATTTTTTATTATGCCTACGTTACAATTTTAAAAATCGAAAATATGCCTACGTTTATAAATCATAAATATAAATGTCTGAATTTTAGCAATTTTAAGAACAATCTAGACCGTCGAGACGTCATGCTCTAATTGTCGTACATACAACCCTAATGCAATGATGTTTGTCTTGCTATGTCCTCCCCTTAAGATTCTCGCGGACGCCTCTGCCAATTAGGGGTGCAATCGCTCACGCGGCAAGAACTTGGCTCCCCACTGCCCCTGCTCCGCCCAGAGCAACTACTCTTTGTTACATCGCCGCAACCTCTCGCGAAATGAAAACGATTTTACTTTGAAACAAAATTCTCATTTACCAAATTACAAGTCCTGAATTCAATAAAACTGTTTGAAACGCATAAAATATATTAATGAACTGAAGTTTCGGTAGTAGTTTAATGTTTACTTATGTTAATTATCGATAGTGACGGTAGCTCAATTTCGTATAGAAATAGAAAAGAACGCTATGATAGTGGATTCGAGTCTCGCTCGTGTCATACAATTTAAAAATTACGAGTGTTGCTTTCCAGTTTTATATATCTCTATTCTCCACAGTCCGCATTTGGGTCATGAGACCGGTAATGTGTATATTTCATTAAACTATTATTTATGTTTCTTAGAAAATCGATTTGTCTTGAAATTCGAACCCAGAACCTCTTGCTTTATGTAATGATAGAATGACGATCTTAAAAATAGGAATACGGTGGGTATAATAAAGCATTTTTAACGGTAATTTGAATTTAACTTATAAAGTCAACAAAACGAGTCTGAACTAATATATTTCGCGTTAAAAGCCGTTGAAAGTGCTTTATTTAAATGTATACAACTCGTGTAAACTACACACCATCGTTGACGGTGGTGATAAATTTTGATTGTGAAATAAGCGCCATTTTACGAACCATACATCAATTCCATCGCTCCTGAGAAACGACGTTAATTACAAGATTGTAAATGTTTTGTCTATGGTTTACCTTAATTAACATAATCTTATGAGGTACGAAATTCTATAAAAAAAACGCCTAATTTTACAGCATTACCTTATATAACCTTAACAGAAAAATCATAAGTATTCATTGAAAAGATTGTACTTAACAACGTGATTAACAATCTAAGCAAAAACTTAAACATAACTTATTCACCAGTCAGAAAATATTACCTACAGTTTTATACAACATGAAAATTATTTAAATAACTCAAAATTTCCGTTATAAGTTAACGTCGGTATGATATATAGTAAGTCTATAATCTTAAAAAAAAAAGTTTTTATTTTGTTTCATTTCTTTCCTTTTAATATCATCACTGTATTGTAGTGAGACAATATATATTTTGTGTTAAGTAAATATTGAGTTAATTGTTAAGGCCCAATGCAAAAAAAATTTGTTTTTTTTTTTTTTTTAAACCCCCATTTTTTTTTTTTTTATAAAATTTTTTAAAAATTTTTTTTTTTTTTTTTTTTTTTTTTTTTTTATTTTTTTTTTTTTTTTTTTTTTTTTTTTTTTTTTTTTTTTTAAATAAATATAGAATTGTATTAATTACGAATGAATTTCATAGGTGACAAGACATGATTGCGTTAAATTCCATGTTCCTTCTATCTACGAATCTTGCTACGCGCTACGAATCCCTGGTGTAGCCTTATAGCTCACGAAGGTTTTAAGGCGCTTCACTTATTTTTATAACACTATGTTAGTTAGGCACATTAGTCAGGCAGTGTTATAAAAAACACTGCCTGACTAATATTACAAAGCGGAATTTTTTGGTTGTTTGGCCAAACTTAACTCAGGATCTACTCATTCAAATTAAAAAATGTGTTGGTTAGAATACTTATCGTGGGAGGCTTAAGGCTTTAAAACATCAGATTTAGATACAAAAAAAAAACAGAATTAAATATTCATCTTTGTGTATTCTTCAAAAATCTAAACAAAAATCCGCGATAGTGTAATTTTTAAAGATTACCTCACAAGAACCATTTTTATGGTAATAAAATTTGGTTGGATGATCTGGCAAAAGATGTTTGCCAGATTATCTCGTACTTAATAACTATAATATTTTCCCTGTAACGTCACCAAGAGAACAAAAATCATTTGTGTAGTTAAATGTGTTAAACTATATATGCCAACTACTTAGTTTCTACTTTGACTATGTAAGTATCTTACGTTGCAGATTCATCGCTGGTGGGAAAATATGATGATTCCTCATAGCGGCATCTTGTGGCCGGGCGCATTGTGGAGGCGGAGGCTGATACCGCATACCCTGGTACCGATACGCTGCCTGTGACATCTGGCCGCAGGAAGCCAGCTCGCCCCACGACAACTCACCGCCACTCGAACCCAGGCATCCTCCCTCAAAACCACTGCCAGCACCGCTAAGATACCCGTACTCCATTTTTGTTATAAGACACTAACTAAGCTTCGAATTGTTAAAGTTCGAAACGGGAGCGGTGAGCGCTAAGCGCGCCGCGCGTGGCGCGTGCGTCTCTCGTCGGAAGTCGAGAAGGCTCACAACCACATAATTGGATGAGCAGCGAGTATATCGAATTATGGCGATTACAGATGGTATCGGATCTCGAGGATAGTTTTTGCTAGCGAGGAGGACCGCGCGCTCGCCCCACTCGAAATCGAATGATAAGCCTAATTCAATAAGGGCGACGTTCGAGGCGGGGCGGAGCGCACCCCTAGCCAGGCCAATGGCCGGGGCCGACGGCTAGCTACCGCCCCGCATTGGTCGCGCGCCCCTCTCCCCGTCACCGCTAGGGGGCGCCTGTCACGACACTTCTCTACTTTTCTTTTCGCCGACAGTTCCTTTGTCGTTGAGGAAAATAAAAAAGTTGTAATTAACGATCCCAGGTACGTTGCTAATTAATGGCTGTTGATCTTTAATTGAGAATACCTTTTCTTGCACTCGATTCGTTCTGATAACTTATTTTTTATTCAAAGTTTGTTTGAAAGTTTTTTACTTGAATAGAGTTTAATGCAGTCACTTAGAGTAAGGAGTAGGTATAATTAATTTGAAGTTCAGAAATAAATTTGTAACAATTTTGCGATAGATTTATTTTTAAATGAATTTTGTATTTGAGCCATCTTAGTTTATTTTGTATTTTCGAGTTAAATAAAAATTAAACCTGAAATGACATTACTTAATTTCAACATTGAAACAATTTTATAAAGTACATAATGTCATATTTTTATGAACAGATTTAAACAACTTAAAAGGGTGCGTGAGAAAATGACGCGTATAATATTCACAATATTAGAGCGAGTGACGTCGTCCCGCGGGAGTTCGCCACACGCTCCGCGAGTCGCGACTTTATTTATTATTTATATTAATTTTACTGCTCCGCTTCCCTTGTTTTATTTTAATTTTTATATTCACCGTTCTTTCAACCCAGGGACAATTATTGATTGTAATCATAAAGTGAATATCGTTACCCTTAATGGCTTAATGTACAGACAAGTACCTAGTTTCTTGTTCCCTGCCCAATCACAATAAATATGAACCGGGATTCGAACGCCGAATCTGGCGTGATTTGCCATTGCGCTAGGAAGGCACTGAATTCATTTGAGCTATATTGCTTATATTTCATATCATTCAGAGAGATTCTATTGCTTTGCATTTCAGGATTTACAGCGCTGTTACTTAATATTTGTTGATGATAATGTTGTATGTTTTATTTCACAAGACTTCGGGTTTAGGTAGATCAATAAAATATACTACTGTATATAGTTTACGCGAATAGTACACATTGAATGGAGGTTTTTTCCACGAAATTGTGAATGAGCAATCTAACAAAATACTCATACTAAATTCTAAGAAGGAGATCTACATACATAGATATAGTACACAACAGGAAAACAAAGTCGTAAGTAAAATATGTGATCACTTAGCGATCTGCAATCCAAACAACTGCGTAGCTTTAACTTCCCTTTATGACAGTTTTTTGGTGCTTTGCCTCTAATATAATTGATTTTACAAAACATAAAACAGTAATTTCATTATAAAAGGAATTAGAATAGCTATTTCCTGTCTACCTGAAAATTAGAAGCATATTTTATCATCTGATAAAAAATTGATTGAACTAAGTCAACGATTACTTGTGAGCCCCGCTAGCTCAATTGGTGGAGCAGCAGCTCAAAACGCGGTCCCGTATATATTTCTTTTCACGAAATCTTTAATTATTTTTCATGGCCCAAACCGATAGGAACGTAAGTTACTAATACTAATGCAAGTAATAGTAATGCAATTGAGCTACAAAGTTTATTAAGCTATGTGATTTAATTCGCACTATGTCCAAATCCTGTTTTAGCATCAGCTGTTTTTACATAGGAAATTTAAGCTTCCTTTGGTGAATCCCATGCTCTAGTCTCTTTTGTCGTAGATAAAAAAGAAAAACAAAAAATAACAAAATTGTTTCACCACAAACATGTATTGATTAGTTTTTTTAACGAAATATAAAACCCTCATCGAACTATAAACGCTCTCCAAAGCATAAACAAAGATTAGAGCGTAATTAATGCACTTGGTACGATTTGGATGCTGTGATCTTCAGCGAGATATCTAATCTGATAATGCTGTGGTTATGGGCGGCGTGCGTCTTTCCCCGTTTAATTCAATTTGCGCCCCTGGGCCACATGCCGAGTTGCAACTGTCCCTATACGAGTACACTGTTTTTAATTAACGGACGAGTAAATTACTCACATTTTATGAAAATTAAATCTCAGATATGTAAGTGAATTATTGTAATGTATACATTTATTTACTGATACATTACAATTATGGACTTACATAGAATCCTCAAGACAGATATATACTGGCGGACATATTCTGTGTCTAAACAGACACAGAATATGTCACTCAGTATCTATGTCATGCCCAACCAAAATATTTTTATTATGTTTTCCCGGGATTAATACCAAGGATCCAGGTTTAACCAATAAGTCGCGAAAAGGACAGTGATTGAGATAAGCAACATATAATTGTGTCTACTTTAAATGTTTTGTATCTAAACTCTAACATTAGTAACTAAGTATACATTGAATAAACGATGTATAGACATGTATCTTTTATGCATTACTAAACTTATAAACGTATATATGTAAACGGTATAAAACGCAAAATATTTTAGATAGCTTATTTTAACCCGACGTTTCTAATGCTTGATCCTTGGGGTCACAGTTTCTGCATTGGGTAATATATTACGTGTTTTATACCATTAAAAGTGTTTTATTTAAATGTTCAGACTAATCATCTTTGTTAATTCAATGAAGTACTGATAAAGGATGGAATCACTATATTCGGCAATAATAAGCGATTGAAAGAAAAAGTATTTTTTAAACTGTACGTAAAGTTATGGCGGGGAGTGGGGAGTGGGTAGGATGGCACTGCACCTGAGCCCGTGATTGATGAGTTCAGCCATTGTCATGATTGCCAAGTGCCAACTCCCTGCCAACAAGGTGTTCTCGTAAACGTCAAAAGTGTTGGCGTTCGGCTGGAGTAATAAATCAATAACAGGACATTCTTACAACAGCAATTAGTCAAAAACCAATTATCCTTACTGGTAAGAGATTTTTTGTAGCCTAATTGGGTTAGCTCAAAGGGGGTAATCTAGAATTAAGTGTATTCAGATTTTTTGCACCAATGTTGTCTAAACATTGATTCAAAAAATATACATTGATTTATGTTTTGCAGTTTGTTAGGTAAATAACATTATAATAAAACGCAATGTAATGTACAATAGCCAAAGAGGGAATCAATTTTTAATTAAAAAAAATAAAAATAAAGGAGGTATCACTAAAATAGGTTCGACCTTCAAAACAATATGGCAGCTGACGTACCGGTGTCATTTGGTTCATTTTTTGGATATAAGCTATTTATGGATTTATTAGCCTGATAGAAATAGGCGCAAAAATAATTCTGACTATAATTATTATGTAATTGAAGTCTTACCCGATCGGGGTACTAGGATTACTATCGTGAAGCGGTCATTCTAGTAATTTGAATTACTAGAATGACCGCTTCACTCCGCTAGAATCCGCAAACAAATTATTGGTATTTTGTAAGGTGAATAATTTAATAAAAATTAATAAAATAATGAGTTATAAACAACGAATGAGTTTTTGGTGACGCCTTTTATGTTACAAATTAAATATAAAATTTTGAATACATAATTTAATAAATAAAAAAATATAACATATAACAATTGACGTGCCTATTTATAAAACAAATATTTATTTTTATTATATCTTATGAATTGGTCTGCTATTGTTTTTGGAGGTTTAATGGCAAACCAGGACTAAGTTCCAATTGTTTTTAAAACAAAAATAAATTTTCTTTCAGTACCATTAACTATTAAAGGTATCTCTCCTCTACGTGGCGTATATGTGAAGCACCTTGTATAAAGTTAATAAAATGCCTATTACGTATCCATCTACGTCTGTATAACGTAACCGCTACATAAACTAAGCGAACGTCTCTATTTACCGTGTCGAATTGCGATAGCTTAAGCTAACCTTAGCTCAGTAAAGGGAAGACGTGTCCTCTCCGTCAGACCGAGGCGAGGCGGGTCCTGTCGCCGTCAAAGTGGCCGACGGCGTATTTGAACAACTAATGAGCGGCTCCCCTGAGACGGTATGTTTGTCTCCGACGCCCCAAGCCTCGCATTTTCGAATTGTGGACCCCAAACCCCCTCTCGATATACCTATGATATACCCACTCGGCGGTGTATTATTTTACAGGTCATTATTATAAAATATAATTCTTGTCGCATACACAATTTTCATTTTAAAACTTGACTTTCTTTTACCCATATAAATTAAAAACTTGAATCGGCATCTTCAGCGTTCCGTGATGTTGTTAAAGTATTCTTTTACCAATTTAAAAATTTGAGCAGCCGTAGATTAATCAAACGAGTAGTCCTCGCGTTAACTTTAAACATTTCTTTTACCTAATTAAAAAAAAATTAAACGTAATAATAATCGAATCCAGGATTTATGGTGTGCAAGTCAATTTGTTAGCAACTAAGCTACCCACCTGTACACAGTAGTTTTCCTAGAATCCTTAATATTTCGACTTATACATTTCAAATACACTAAAAATAAATAATACGCCCTCTGTCTATTGAAGTAGACAAACCCCAGCCGTAATTTGCGACATCTTTATAATAAAAGTGGAACTAAAATTAAACATGTCGTAGTAGATTGTTTTGCAACACGTAAGGTGAACGGTGTTTATTCGGTTGATTAAGTTCGTTACAATATTAGGAGAGGGCGCTATTCGAAAAATGTACTTAAACATGTTAAAACTATCTAATAATTAAGAACTACTATTTTTTAATCTGCTTTATTAGGTCTATTCTTTCTATTCTAATCTTATAGTAATATATATAATAATAATCTACAGAGTTTTGAGCTGCCGCTCTAACCAATTGAGATTAATACTAAATTATATATTCATTCAAGTTTCGTAAGCAGTCAATATTAATTAAAATATATGAAGTATTAGATTGGTTAGTTTCTTTAACTTAATTTTAACCTTTATATTATATACCGGTTTTCCAAACATTCACAAGATTACCAGTCTGTGTAAATTGTAATTAACATATATACCTAACTAGCTGTGCCTGGAATAGTGACTTGTGGTAGAATTTTTTATTATTTAGGCTGTTTATTAATTTATGTAAGGGCGCATTTAGGGCAGCCAATCTATCTCTCTCTCATTAAAATATCTATTTACCAAATTTCATTTAAATTAGTTTAGTAGTTTCTGAGTTAAAGCCGGACAAACGAACAAACTCTTCAGCTTTATTTGGTATCTTGAACCGTTTTCGCAGCGTACGCATCTGAAACCTACAGAGATGAAGAAATTCCCCCGTTTTGTTCACATTTCTTGCTGTATCTTCGCTCCTATTAGTCACATCGCAATGTGTTGTAGCCTATAACCTTCCTCGATAAATGCTCTAACCAACACAAAATCGATTCAAACCCGTACTTCCTGAGATTAGCGCGTTCAAACAAACAAACAAACTCTTCAGCTTTATATATTAGTATAGATATAGATTAGTATACATACGTCTTTGAATAGGACAATACGTTATAAGAAAAAAATGTTGTAAATGATTAGCTTTAATTATATGCCAAAGAATAAAAAAACAAGCTGGATTAGTTTTTAACATTTTATTTTCAGTAAACTCCACATTTGTATTGTAATCTAAAGTAACTTAACTTATTTGCAACATCCACTTAAATAATAACAAAACAAACTTTGTGCATTATTGTAATCATACATCGGTAATGAAATATCATTCAATATATTTACAGGACTGACACGGTTCAGTTAAGTGGGAGCATTACTTTTCATTGATTTATAATATAATATAGATAATAATAAGTATTTGAAATTTGAGTTGTTGATGATTTTCTATCAAAACACAAACAAAAAACCATAGATAATATTTCGGATCATTATCACTAATCATTTCAAATGAATGTTAAGTTATAAGCAAGTACCTCATCATCAGTTTTTTAATTGGTTTAATCAAGACAGCGTAACCAATATCTACGTCCTACTAGAGTAGGGTCAGCATTAATTTACAGGATACGCTTTGGTACTTACAAGGTCTTATCTTTAAACCACATTTAGACACGCAATATAATAAATAATGTGATTTTGGTGAGTATTTACAATTTCCAAAGCCTTTTATTGTTTCAATGAAAATAATGCTTGTTTTACATTATACCTGTCGCACTTATTTAACATTTTAGGTCCCAATTATAAGTTAAACTTAAAACAAAACTTTCCTCGCATACTATAGCTAAATATTAAATACCTATTTATAACTAGAAATAATTAATTCTACGTATAAGTTTGGTCGATAACAGGAATGTGTAAAACGTGACTAGAATTTACTAAAACTTAACATCGACCTAAATAAATATTACAATATACTTTAACATCGAATCCGTAAACCTAAGAACTAAACACAATTTACAGATGTTTCATTGAACATTTGGAATTTGCTAACTGAGATCTATTATTATATCAATAGTTATTACGTCTCCTACCATGACACACAAACCAGTCACCTTAAGCAATATAGTGTTCCCTTTGTTTAACTTAATGATTATGTTAGATTAATTTAAGTAGGCGCCTGGTTTAATCGATACGATGTGATTATGTCGAGTATTTAGCTAATAACTGTGACGAATTCTTATTGTACTTTTTGGAGTAAACGGAGATCAATGTGTTAAGTTAAATCTAGAATTAGTTAAGATATCCATAATTATTCGTCGCGTAGTCTTCATAGAAACAATTTTGCATTAATAAATAACTTAATCTACAGATGTGTACTCTAATAATAATTTGAGATCAATGGACGTTTTCATGGTTTGATTATTCAGAAATCTTCTTTTTTTTCGCCCAGCAGCTTTTGTTGCGCGCCCAGGTGCGCGGCAAAAAAGCAACAAAGATTTTTTTAAGTATTGGATTGTACAGACGTGTAGCTTTCGCGACAACCTTGCTCAGCTGTGCCATACCAATAACAAATATAGATAGGCGATTGTTTTTTAACACCAAAGTTTTGACAAGCGTAGTTCATTGAACTAGTATAGGTAAAATCAGCCGAGCTTCAACAAAGACATGCAGAGATCTTTAGAATTCGTGGATTAACGTTGTATTGATATTGGTTTCAAAAGCGGACATCCTGAACATCTGTGGGTGTATCTGGAAGTTGAGTTTGATTTGACGAAGACTGTTTCACTGGTTGGACTTCATTCAGTCGCATTCTCGGTTCTTGGGCTTGTGTTTCTCTAGCCAGCACCTTCTCCACGTATCGTGCGACGAGCTCCGCGGAAACTGGTGGCGATCTGGTGAGGAGGCAAAGATCGCTCACGCACATTCGAACGCGAAGACCACGCGCGGCCGCTGTAATGCAGGCGACGGCAATCAACGATGGTGGAACAAGCAGAAGTTCCGTTTCTGTGAACAAAAAATTCAAATTAGTAAAATTATTTATCTTCTCCTATACTATGATACGCAATTCTTCGCTAGAGTTATCAAACAATGGAAATAAACTAATAAAATGTTATTTAAAGACTTTGACTACTCGGTAATTTTTGCCTATATGACCATTTCTCGCAAACAAGTCGAAAAAAAGTCGCGGGCACGATTGAAATGAAAAATTAAATAGGCCTCCTCATACACAGTAGGTAGGTAGGTACTTATTTACGTTTCGTTCTTTACCACATCCGTTCAAAACCCAGTTATTGTACTTACATTTTAACACTTTAACAGTTCAAAACGTAAAATATATGAGTTAAACTTATTTACAACTATTTTAACCCAGGCAATTAGTATGTAGAATTCAAGAGTGCACAGTGAGGTGAATTTGCAGTCGCGCGATTGCAAATTCAAATAGACATATTAATAAAAGGTGCGTAAAGTCATGATTTATTTTATAGCATTCCCTTAGCGCATACGCAGATAGCAGGTAGAGAGCATCTGTTGAGAGGTAATTACCTGACGCGGACAGGTGGCTTGAGCACCTTGCATCTCAGCGACCTTGCGTCTCTCTTTTGTTTATAAAGCAGTCATTACGACTTTAAAGCTTTTTCAGACCACGCTATAAAACAAATATACTTCATAGCACAACAATATCACGCATTCATTATGGACTTGCGCATACTTCACTGTAAATATTGGCTTTTGTACTTTACGTTATTGTATAAGTAGTTTATATACTGTCTCCCCGTGACCATGGCTGCTGCAAAGCATCAGAAACGTCGGGCCGTAGTTAGAATAATTTTCAAATAAGTTTAACTAATACATATATCTCGCATTTAAACCCCTAAAGTGTTTTATTTAAATTTAAACCGTATACTACACTAACTGTGTCAGCGACATTGTCCGCATAGAATAGTTATTTTGGGCATAAAAATTTATGTTTGCAAAAATCTTAAAGATATAAGATTTTTTTTCGAAGCAACAGTTCCTGAGATTAGCGCGTTCACACTAACAAACAAACTCTTCAGCTTTATATATTAGTATAGATATATTTTGGTCTACGAGGAGCTTAACGCTAATAGACCGGTAGTATTAGAATCGCGAACGCTATACTAATCGAAGGGTCTCAAAAAAAATCACGTTACATTTTGCACAATACTAGCGGCCATTGTTGCCTGAGAATAAGGAAGGAAAACTCGACAGCTGCCAGATTTGTGCATTCCGGCCCCGTCTGCATCTTTGAATTGCGTACCTACCGGGACAATGGACTGAATATAATAGCAATTTACATCTTAAGTCTACCAGTCAAGGGCACAGCTGCAATCATTTTCGCTAGGGACGAAGGCGACAAATTTTTTTACGAACCTTATCGATTACGTATTTCGAATACGAGACAAGGAGGGCAATATTCATATTTATGTGAGATCAATAATATAGCGATGAAGCTTTGACTTTTAAATAAGGCTACTTTAACCGAGTTAAAACGTAATTTATCTTAAACTAGCCGACCTGGCAATCCTCTTTTGCTATAATATGAAGTATTTCGACGAAATGTGATTCTTACAAAAACGGATCTTGTGATTGTCCCCATTTTCTCCAAATTTTCCCCTGTTTCTTTTCTTTTATTAGATAAAGTCAATTTTTTATAGCCTGGCCTTCCTCGATATTTTTTTTTAATAAAAATATTTTTTTCAATTCGAAACAGTAGTTCCTGAGATAAGCGAGGTCCAACAAACAAACTTGTCAGATTTATAATATTAGTACAAGTTTGTTGAATTCAACTACAGCGATTTAGATTGTTTTTCAGCATAAGATTGATTTTAAGAAGCTACGGAGATACTAGAGATTGCTAAGCATTATATATAGGTTTACTATATAATATTCCAACCACAATCCATCACTAAGCCTAAAGTACATTCGTAACGGGAAAGGCAAAGCAATGGAGCATAACTTGGAACAATTAAGGTAGCTCTGGGCGAAGTCGTAAGGGTAAGCCAAGACGGTCGCGGCAGATGTAAGAACACCTGGCACGACCCTTCCGCTACCTCCAAGTAGGGTCACTGCCCACCTACACCCTTCAACCACCGTGCCTTTACGCTAGAAACATTAAACATGCTAACTCATAATTCTTACGTAAAAAGTGTCCGCTAAATGTCAACTTAGGTTCGTTATACGTGGTGGAGGTCAACAACGTGAAGTTAACGAAACTGATTTTGATGAGCTTTGTGATTAACATTTTAACCGTCCCTCGTAACGTTATATTATAGTTGATATTAGACAACATAACATTGTCCACATATAATTTATATACTCACATAAAATACAGATTGTGATGTAATTTAAATGTAAACAAACATTCAGCTTACTGGAAATACCACAGATTAAACTTTAAAATACATATTATATATACTATAAATAAGAGTATGTATTACTAAAATAAAAACTTATTTAGATAAAAAAACCACATGGGCGGGACTTGATACGGCATCTACAGAGTTCAATGTTGGTACTCTAACCAATTGAGCTACCGTACCCTGGTGCTTCATTAGAGCAACAGCATGAAAAGCTGTGGATGTTGGTTCAAGTAATTAAAATCATTTTCGATTTAGTGCTGAGTTATATTTATGTATTTTAATTAGTATGATTGCCAATAGGAAGTGGATTTATTCGTTAAGCACGAACTATGTGGGGTAATAGAGTATATTAAAATCCCAACTGATAGGCCGGTATCAGGCCCAGATCTCCACGTTTACGCAGCGGACCGGCGCGGTACGTTGCGCGACAGGTTGCCTGTCAGTTGGTCCCAACATCTGGTGCAGGGCCAAGCGGTCATACGTCTAAGACACCCCCGTCTTACCCTTCTAATTACAACAGTCAATGTAATCAACCTCTAACAGACTTTGCGAGCCGTTATGTTCCGTTTAAACCTGTCTCACCCCAACATCAGACAGTCGACTATACAAACAAAAGACGAAATTGCAGGGGTTGCAAATAGTAAACGTCATTATCTAATTGTGTGGAACTAGTTCTAATGCCATAAATGTCTTATTTTTGCAAGCCGGTGAGACGTGGTGGGTTGAGCGGGGCTTTCTCAGTATTTGCATTTATCTATGAATAATAATTACAATAAAATTAAATCATAAAAAAGCAGACTAGCGCTATAAACACAGAAGTGTGTTTACGTATCCTATCGTCATTTTTATATTAGGCAAATTAAAGAAAGAATTGTCTTGTAAAAAAAAATATTTCTATGGAATATTTATAGCATCATTCTTTTCCAATTCCTACCATTTGTTTTTCTTTGAATTACTATATAATTATGTAATTTAAATTTGTTTTAAACGCGAAACATCATAATAGCCTTCTTTTTTTTTAAATTTTTCAATCTGGCTTCGATACGCAATTGTAAATGGAGACGGTAATGCGTAATGATAGGTTTATAACCTAACGGAAAGAGATATTTTCGAGCATTCAGTTCAGAAACGTCGAGGTTTCCGAGTCAGATAGTAAGGGTCGGGTTGCCAGGTGCGTACCGAGACGATTTGGGACCCATTGTCACAGAGCGGGACAAGCCGACTTAAGTACAATGGCCGCGTCTTCGCGTATTGTCGGCAGCTCAGCTGGCGGCTCCCCTGTCTTTAGACCTGGCAACTCATAAGTCACCGCGACCCTGACACGCTAACTTGAATTATTTGCTTATCAAAGCATGTATTCGTACATGCAGTAAATCATAGATAGCCTTCGATGGTTGAGAAAACGAGTATATATGCGCAGGTATAAAATTCAGTGACCTTTCAAACCGAACGCCACTAGTTTTGGCATAGACTTACAACATATACATATACGTTTTAAAAAAAATATGGAATCTAAATCTATACTAATGTTTAAAGCTGAAGAGTTTGTTTGAATGTGCTGGTTCAAATTCAAAAATTCTTTTAATAACGGAGCATTTATCGTTGAAGACTATGAAACATCGCGCTGCTTAATAGGAAGAGACAGCGGGAAAAGCGAAAAAAAAAAGGAATTTTCCCTGTTTTCTTCCATCTTTGTAGGTTTCCTTTGCGTACGCTGCGAAAACGGTTCACCGGTCTGTCGGTTCAACGGTCCCCGTGGTCACGGGGAGACGGCTGCTGCGAAGCATCCGAAACGTCGGGCCGAAGTTAAAAAACATTAACTTTAACTAATATATCGCGTTTTAAAGCGTTAAAGTGTTTTATTTAAATGTGTACTACTCGCGTAAACTATAGACAGTATCTCTTGAGATTTTTTACTGTACCTAATAGCTCAGAAAAAAGTATAAGTACAGGATTCAGAAACATATTGGTTTCGGTGGGGATTGATCCCGTGACTCGTGATAATAAGACATCCATTGCTACTGCTAGACCAACAAGCCCGTCAAAAGATACAAAAAAAAAACACTTTTTACGGCGTAAAACACGATATGTATTAATTATTTACAATTTATTTTCACTACGTCCCTACACAACTAATAGGTACATTTCACGTTTTAAACCGTTAAAAGTGTTTTATTTAAATGTGTACTACTCGCGTAAACTATAGACAGTATTCAAAATTTTTTTTTCAAAACCGATGAAAACGGATGTGTAGTAGTAGTAGTTAGTTGTAGAGAAAAGGGTTAAGGGTTAAGAAATGCTATTAACCTGTTTACGCCTCTAAAATGCGATACCGGTAATAATTATTAGTTCAATAATATAATTGTGAGAGGGGTTTACATACGTTAACCGATATACAGTACAATAACTGCTCTATAGCTTAAGATTTTCGAAGAATTACCGAAATAATACCAGAGGAGATTTTTATGTCTGTAAGTGTGCATTATTATTATGCAGGCACTATATATTTGACAAAGACATTTATGAAATGAACACTAAACTCAACGAGCGTCTTAATTATGCCCAAGAACGAGTGCTTTGTGAAACACACTCGGGCTTAGGGTCCAATTGAAGCCGAAAAGTTATTTGTTTTAAGTGGCCTACTGGATATGCTATTTCAAACGGATGGAAAACTTTTTGAAACAGAATATTCTACCTAACTTTGGGAGTATTCTATTTATTAAAAATAATATTTTATACTTTAAGCAAGCTTTCAAGTCGATCTGGTAGTTTTATATAATCCACGACTGAACGTGAATAAAAATGTAAATTAAATAACTGCGGAAGATAAATTTTTGTTAAACTTATTTTAAAACTATTTAATATACGGCCCGACGTTTTTTATACTTTTACGTCACAGACACCCTCCATCTTTAGTCTCCCCGTGACCGATGATCGGGCGTAGTTAAAATAGTTTTCAAATAAGTTTAACTAATATATACCACTTTTAAACAGTTAAAGTGTCTTATTTTAACAAGTACTACTCGCGTAAACTACAGACAGTATTTAGTGTAAAAAGTACGTTGCCTTCGAATGACAAACTGTGTGACTTATCCTGTTCTCAAACATTTTTTAATTAGTAAAGCTTACTTTGAATACAGCCATTCTCAAGTTAAACATTTAAATTAACTTATTTATTTTTCAAACATCTCAGACACATGATACCCATAAATAACACAATATTATCTTAACTCTCCGGACCATAGGGGCATACCGGGTTAAACGCTATGGGTTGACAACAGATAGCGGTCCTTGTTAACGAGTGTAGTCCTTCAAATTCCTGATATGGAGTATTTGGTCCTCAGAGAAAATTATTAAGGTAGACGAATGCAGGGCATAAAAAATTGGACTCACATATTTTAAACGTAATAAATTTAATTATGAATGGGAAAAAAATGCACATTCACTAATCCCGCCCGTGTCGTCTTTTTTTAAATTTAAAATTATATTTAAATTTACTCACATTAGAGTTACAGTGATGTATAGCCTAAGAGCTTCAAATTTAAACAGCATCCCCGAAAACTCGAACAATTAAGAGCCGGTTGCAATATTTTTTGTGTAAGTGGACAATAATAGGGGTCAGTGGCGGAGGGGTGCCGGCAAGGTGTGCGATATCACGGCACGAGCGGCATGTGCGTTCCGACAGACCCTCTGGCCCTCCTAAATACTTATACACGACCGCTCCTGCACGCACCATAATCACATTAGCCGGACAAAGGGAGGTACACCCTTACGAAATTATCGGTAAAAGTGTTAAAGAACGCGCGCACCTATTGTTACTACGAGTATAACTAGAGCTAGGGCTCAATATTATACATTACATGTGCAATCAAAATTATTACTAATGTAGGCTTAAAGAACACAATAGCAGCAAGGAACGCTTAGGATGCCGGTTCAAGCCCCGACTATAATCTTAATAGATTTTCAATTCGAGAAACCCAATAACTAATAAACCAAATTTATCTGAGTGATAAGTAGTGTTCAAAGCTGAGAAATAAACAATTTATCTATCGTTTATTTACTTTAAAATAACATAGTTAAATATGTCTATATTGAGTTGAAATCTAAATCGATAGTGATTAAATAATATAAATATCATACAAAAAATTAAATATATATGTTACAACAATAAAACTAAAGATATAACATTAAAAAATAACCTATTACAGAAGATTATAAAAAAAATTGTTCCTTCACATAACGTACTTGGAAATATACCGATTATTGTAACTTATTAATAGTTCAAGCGAGTTTATAGAGTATATTGGGACAGATTTTGCAATATTTGTCTACCGACTGATTTTGGTCGTAGGTAACTTGACAGAGGTAAGACATTATCGATTTAATAATTAACATAATGCCAAGGTTAAAAGTCCTAACCCGCATCTTAAACCATTACGCAATAATATATCGACCTTTGAAGCTGTAAATTTATTAACTAATCTTTTTTTTAAATATCCACAGAGCAAGCATTAGTTTGTACTCGATGAAAAGTGGCACAGACCTACGATAGAGTTAGGGTTGCCAACCATATATGTTATACTTTACAACCTGTGTATGTATACTGTAAAAGTAATACGAAAAAATACTGCCTACTGTAATAATAGTCTACGTAAAAAATAATATTTTCAATGTCTTAACTCTCTCTGACTCTAACAAAGAATTATTTTTTTAATTGTCTTCTCTACATTAACTTTTGAGTGTTTTAAAATTATTTTTCGTAAGGTATCAACTTTAATAAAATCCACTGTACGGCGCCATAAATGTGTGCATCGATTTTAATTATATGTAATATATTTTTAAAGCTTCAATTAAATTTTTACGTTGTGATTCACATGTGTGTAGCGGTCACGTAAGTATGTCCGTTTCACTGATTTATTTACAGACCTTATTGGTATATTAGGCTTTTATATAATGTCTAATTGTTTGTTGTTTCCCCTGGATTTAAATCTAGGACCTCGTGCTTTAATTAATTTAACAATCGAGCTTATATGTTATTTTATCAAACTTGTCACTTATACCGTGTTACCCTTACCTGTATAGCAGACGGAGGTGAGTGTAAGAGCATGTGTTCGAACTAGGGGGTTTAGTCGGCCCCAAGGTTCACGGGCCAGCAATGGCTCTACAAAGTCGAAAGCCGTCGCTATGGAGAGCTGCCAATTGAGTCGCTGCACCAACATCATTTCCCATTGCTGAAACAAGGAGCTGGATTAATTTCATACAATCTTTCTTACTGCTAAAGCGGCTTAAACACGATAGCTAAGCAGCTAAGACACTCCCCTAGCCTAAATAGAATTCAAAGCTGGAAGTTTGTTTTATCTATACTAATATTATAAGCCTAAAAAGTTTGTCTGTATAAACGCGCTACTGCTTCGCTGAACTTACTGGTTCGAATTGAAAAAATATTTTTGTATCGAATAGACCTTTCATCAAGGAAGGCTATATAAAATAGCTACGACAGAAGAGGTACGTAGAAACGGTGGAAAATGTAGTAAAAACGTTAAAAAAGATTTATCTTTGGGGACTTCCGCATTCGCGGCGCACGCTCTGATGCGTGTTGTAACCAAAAATATGTAAACAGAATGATTTCTCTTTAAATTACCTGAAAAATATTCGAGACATTATGTTTATTTTTTAAGATTAACTTGCAAGAAAGGAGGGACGCGTCTGACGTCACGCGTACAGCTATATTTTAAAAACTGATGTGATAGCTAAAAAAAGTCGCCAAATGATGCCCAAAATAACTATTCCACGCAGGCGAAGTCACGGGCACAGCCGGTAAATGGTATATGGCCTTCGCGGCCATTTTGCAAACGCCTAAGAAGCAATTGATCCAATTTGAAATACCCGCAGTTCGATTATCTCAGAAGAAATCTCTCTTCTATGTTACTTAAAAATATAAGATAATTCATAAGCGCCAAATGTTAGAAAAAATCAACGAAATTATAGGGTATGGGCTGGTTATAAGCGGCTGAGCCCATATTGATACAAACTTCGCAAACATAAGTTGAAATATTGGGTATATTACTTTTTACTAAACACCAAATTTGTACTTATCAATATCTATTATAAAACAAGCAGTTAGAAGTAAATTAGCCGACAATACTATACACGGAATAATTGTTACTCGTCATACACGGCGGATCAAGCGGAAACCGCAAAAATAGCGAATCCTATTTCTTGTAAAAGTAAAAGAAAAGGGCAAATCCAGGGAACCGGTGGACGGTGTTGTTCACGTAGGGAAGCTCCTTAAAATAACAAGGGGGTTGAAATTGTTTGTGTAAGAATCACTGCGAAACCTTACAAAATTGTATATGCAACTACGCATAGAAACCGCATGCCAGGATGTTCACATTATACACATTTTTCGTTTTATATATATAGGATGGTAAGTTTCACAGTTCACGTCAATGAAATTTATGTAATTTTGTATATCTAATTCATTTTGTAAAGTATTCAATAATTAACTGATTGAGGGTACCGTAGAGGAAAGAAACTCGGAACGAAAGTAGGATTCATCTTTTCCATTACGAAAAATAAGTGTGATTGAGATAAATTACACTATTTTATTTGAATTCTGCACATTAAAATATGAAAAATAAGTATTTATTAATTAAAATACTTAATAAAAACCATGGATTTCCATTTATAAGAAAAAAATATCGAATTAATTTATAAAGGATGGCATACCACCCAATCACCATTGTAAGTTGTCAAACTTATCACCCTATAATAAGCGTATAAGTGTAGTTCCATCATACCTAAAACCTACATTAATATATCCCTTAAGACTTAAACTTTCCCACGACACGTTTATTGTAATTCGGTATCCAAACGCCAACTGTCAAGCAAGGTGGACGAAGACATGGGAACACCACAATATGATCTCATTATTATGCCCATCGACTTATCTATAGGCTCATCGTATGAATTAATTGCAAGGAAGAACGAGTGGGTGTATTTTAAAACATTAATGCCATACGGTACACGACATATCTCGAAGCATGGCTAACTTTCTCACGGCATGTTTTAGTGGCGCTTGGCGGTAAAGCCCACCAACCCGCACTGGCAAACTTAAACCCTTTATTCTGCGTGACGTGGCAAAGATTTAAATAAAACACCTTAACGGTTTAAAACGCGATATATATTAGTTAAACTTATTTGAAAATTATTTTAACTACGGCCCGACGTTTCGGGATACAGGAACTATACAAATTAAAACGTGTCAAAATATATGTTATGTTGCGTTGGCGCCTTTACAATTGCGTGTGAACTGTGTGAAAAGTCAAAAACTCATGGGTGCTACCGGGCTAATTGATCGAATCGCACCTGCCTCACACACACAATATTCAAATTGTAAACGTGGCGTTTTACGGTGCATACTCACTTTATACGATATTTATTTTAAAGGCTTCCATACAACATATGTGCTATTTGAATGATAAAGGACTTGATCGTAATTCGTATGTGAAATAGCCTATAGCATCTAAATAAGATGCGCTATCGACCTTTTTTCGCTTTGGATATTTGGAAATCCACAGACTGCAATACAACGCGATTAAACTTCACAGCTTTTTTACCTGTAGACGGTAGTTCGTCACCCGGTTGGATATGCCTACCATTTTAATATCCAGATTTCCAGACGAAGTCCAACATGTTTCGGAAAAATTATACATTGAAAAATATAAACATATTGGACCCGTTGATTATTAGCCATACACTCCAACCATACACATACATTAGACCAACGAGCGCGTCAACAATAATTTATAATAACAAATAATTCAAAAGGTATAATAAAATAATTATAGAACATAACATACACACAGATAATGCAACAAGCAGTGTAAGAACAAAGTCTCTTATGAATTGAAACAAAATATATTGCTAAATGAAAAGAAAAAATACATAGTTCGTGGTATTTTCACATACAGTTTCACAAACACAAAACATACATTTTTTACCACATCTTTTATGGTTGAAAATTACAACACACACTTTGCAGTTATCAAGCATTAAATACTGTCTGTGGTTTACGCGAGTAGTACACGTTTAAAAAAAACACTTTAACGGTTTAAAACGCGATATATTAGTTAAACTTATTTGAAAATGATGCCTCCCCGTGACCACGGTTGCTGCAAAGCATCCGAAACGTCGGGCCGAAGTTAAAAATCATTTTCAAATAAGTTTAACTAATATATCGCATTTTAAACCGTTAAAGTGTTTTATTTAAATAAAATACGTTTATCTAATATATATCGCGTTTTAAACCGTTTAAGTGTTTGTTAAATGTTATCAAATATTCATTAATATTATGTCATTTATTCTAGTGTAAGTGTTGAAAATATGCCATATTCGATTAAAAAAGCGATAAGTCTGACGGTACGCTGTATAGAAGCTATATTCTTGTCTAAATGATAAAATCTTATGGTCGTGTAACTTCCCACATTTCCGTCGGAAGTAGCGTCTAATTGTAAAAGGTCTTCGTCTCACGGTACAGTAAAGACGTAGTGTCGTAAGAATACAATAAGGTGCATCGTGGCAGAAGTAATTACAGGAAGCAAAAGGAAGACTAAGGAAACCGGCAATAAAAAGGCGTCCCCAAGGGGTGAAGTGAAACAGTGACATTTGACTCAGCTAATCGAGTGCCCTCGCAATCAAAACAATGCTCGGTCGATGCAGGATATGAGGTGTTTGTTGTTACGTACGTTTCCATTCATTGACCTTCTTCGTAGTAATCTTATTCTTATAAGGAAAGTTTGGTAAACAGTGATGATACGTAACGCGTTAAGCGGGCATATCTAGCTTCGTTGTTTTCTTAGGTTAAACTATTTTAGTTTCAGTTATAATTTCAAAATTTTTATTTCATGTGATAATTCATTTGATAATTCACTTCAAATATTCCATTCTTCCGATTGGAAGACATTAAATTAAACCCTTGCAGTGGTTTTAAACGTGCAATATAAGTCCCTTATTCCCCCATCACGGCTACTCGAATGTCCGTTGGATCATGGTTAAATATAAATTATGTAAAATGACAATTTCGCGTTTCAAACGACTATTAAGTGTTTTATTTCATCTTTATTGTACTTGACGCGTATGACACGTTTTTTATAGTTTTTATTTAAAGTGGAAATATATAAATAATACTTTTGTTAATATTTAGCCCGTTACCTAAACGATAATCAGAAAAAAGTATCAAACAAAATACATATAACAATCCGATACGTTACTCACTCGAACTTCGTGCGGTAGAACCGAGCTGTCCGTGTAAGCGCAGAGCAGGTCGATGGACAGAGCGTGGCACTGGCGGAATTTCGACGCTACCAGGAGAGCAGTAACCGCGAGGAGCTGCAGCTGTTGTCGCGAGATAGCGACCTGCGCCAAGAACCTGTCCACGTAGCTCACGGCCAGGGGGAAAACCTGCTCCTCACATTGTTGCTCTTCGCAGACCTGAGTGATGAAAAACTTGTAAATCACCATTGCTAATTAAACATTCGCATATATTACAAAGAATTTTATTCTGTTGATTTATTCTTGTTGAATTCTGATTATTTTCTATAAAAAACTACGTGAAATCTATTTTACCACACGTTACTACAGTGTCTAAATTTAATAAACAAGGCATTTCAACGACAACATATAATCCAGTAGAAAGCTAGATTTTTTGTTACCTATATATAGATCGTTTAATAGCAATTGCTAAATCCATACAAGGTAAGCAAACGTTGATAATATTACGCTAACTTTAGGGTTTCACGGAGCCCTACCAAGACTAGTTAAGATTCCCTTGCTCATCGAACCCAGACCGAATATCACTATAAAAAGTTGAATAAAAAAGCTTCCGCTTAACGAACAGCAATTGAAAGGGCTCATAAATTATACACGTGCCCTTAAGAAATAGTATTAATGGTAAAAAAATAATTTATAATAATCATGGTAAATACTCGCTTAACCTTTATTGATGACGTAATTAATCTAATGTAGATGTAAATATTCTTTTGAGGGTAGTTTCCAAGTTAAATTTGTGGCGATGACTAATATCAGTAATGACGTAATACAAAATAAAAAAAGGGTTTACAGAGAAAGCTCTTCCTTAGAAATTAAATAACAAGTAAGCCATCTACAATTTAAAGGTCGTCGACATACTTAATCAGCTGTTGACGGAAACAGTAGGCGATTTGTACAAAGGGAAGTGAATTACACTTCATTGTCGAGGCATTCCTTATTATAATGAAGCACAATTCTTACCTCCAACATCCACGTCGTAACAACCTTCCGCATAAAAGGCTGGATATCAATTTGAACGTGTTGAAAATAATCCGTGTGCAAGGCGTGAAATCTCTCCAAGGACAGAAGGTTGGTTAGCAGATGAGGGTTGCGATCCAGAGCCCGGTCGGGACCCGCGACGCACATATCTGTTCTGCCACTGCTACTACTGTTTCCTGAATTCGGTAAATTCTCTCCGCACGACAAATCCATTTTGAACACAGGAAGTCTAAACACTTTTCTCACAGCGTATCTAAGTTTATCTACAGCCGTAGCTTTTGTAGACATAAAGTTTATTTTGTGCGCACGTATAGTGTAAGAATCGGCGCAAGCGACGCAGCCTGCCACCGAGCGACCGAATTTACGAGTGTTGTGACGGAATGTACCGTATACGCTACGCGACTACGGTTCGCCCCACCATTCCTCCAATGCATTGTGCTTTAAAGTTCTAAGACCCTAACTTTATTTATAATACACGATAAGTATTACGAGTTTAACATACATGCTTTTGTTTACGTGACACAGCTAATCATAGATATAAAACTAAAGATATAAATGTTGTTTTTATACTCTAAAATGCTACACGTAAAAACGAATCCTATTCATTATCAGAGCGTATTTATATTTTAAAACAAATTTATATATTAAAACTATTTTAATAAATAAAAGCCCACCACTTGCAATTGAATATTGTAATTGTTAAATTAATAATATTCAGGAAAGTATTAAAAAGAAATATAATGAAGTAGACTAATTGTACTTAGCATTAGGAACTATTTTTGTCGAGTACTTTTATGTCCTCAAATGGTCTATAAAGCTTAGTCTATTGTGTTTAGGAAGGATATATTTGGGTTCGAGTTTCATCCTTAGACGATACATTGTCAATAAGGGATTTCATGTAGTTAAGACAGTAACCTCCGAGCCATCGTGGGGCTAATGTACGTTAAAAGTCTAGTTAAAAGTGGAACAATAAAAAACCCATTTTGAACACGATTTATTAAAACCAAAAATTTATGTATACTAATTACAATAACCCATAACAATAACGCAACAGAGGTCCTGTTTATTCAGAGGGCGCAGCCGGAGGGCCGGAGGGCCAGGTGCGCCTGCGCCGGCTGTACGCGATCCGGTTGACATTTTATAACAAATCCTGACACACCTGATCTTCGAAAGTACTATTATTTTATATCCATTCACTCTCAGCTTCTTTTGTTGTAGAACACGTGCCCTCTCTTAATGTATTCAAATATAAACGTGCCACACCAAAGGCCACATTAAAATTAGTTTTACTAGTTCAGTTGATGTAACTAATCTTTAAATTTTGTATTATAAAACGGTATGTATCTACAGATACATTTCCAGTCGGTCAGAAATACTATAGTCACAAAACTCGCAGCGCCAAAGGTCGCTAGCGTACCAGCGAACATCGACAGACGTTCCATTTGCTTTTTATTCATAATGTATTGTCTTCGTAATATTGAATTATATTACTCAACAATTTCGAATTTTTAACTAACACATGTTTAATGAGACATATCTAATATATCTTACAATCACAAAAATAAATCTTGCATATTATATTCAATTTTATTCTTTTCTATAATGTTTAGCGATGTTATCCGCAATTTATTTTTGATTCAAAATGACGTATTTTCTTTCGCAATCGTGTCAAAATGTTTATCTTTTTAATTTGGTTAAAAAGTTGAGAGCAAGTAGAACTAACTTGTTTTTATTGAAACAAGTTACATTGACGTCAATTTAATAATGGAACTACCTATCAAGGTGATATGATTGTGTATAAGGTTTTGCTATATTTGTTCTAATACAGACAAACATAATTTTTAAAAATATAATTAATGTTTTAAAAGACCTAAAATATTTCATATACAATTTATTCATGTATATTTTTATTTTATTTTATACACACAATCAATATGATTCCCTCGCTGTAATGACCAGATCGCATGCTCGAAACAAAATATCACCCAATTTTAATAGATATTCTGCTGGCCATAACCACTAATTGTGTTATTAAATTTGTCAACCCGTTCCCAGCTCATTTTCTTCTCGGTAAGTTTAATATATACAAATTTCGTGCTAATAATTTTCTATATGAACTTTCATAAAAGTTTGTACTTTTCTCTATAAGTAGTGGTTTTGGATCCAGAGAAAAAGAACCATTGGGATCAAGATATTTATTTTCAAGATATTCATGGCTTAATAACCATTAATATGTATATTGATTAAAAGTCAGGTAATTACCAATCATTAATTACCAGAAAATTAAAGTTTTGCTAGCGTAATAAAATGTGGGCTAAGAAGTTTAAATTATAAAATTTAAATATATAATCAGAATATCAATATCACATTATATAATTATATTGACATAGTAATAATAACTCTTCTATATATAACTGTAGATAACGTCATAGAATCTAGCCATAAAACTCATTATTTGCCGTGTATATTATATAAACAACATATAACTTGGCAAAAGACTACAATAAATATAGCCATAGAGAACACTAGTTCTCTCTCAGGCCAACCCTAGATGGCCTGTTGTTATAGAATTAAGTTGTGGCCACAGATGAAACAGGGATAGAGAAATATCGATTATATATGGACGAAACGAATTCAATATTCAAACTCTACCTCAATTCAACAATCACAATTTCTTGTAGTTTATGTATTTGTTTACCAATAACGCCAAGTTAGAAAAAATACACTTTACTAGCAAATGTCAGTGTCAACTAACATTTACAGCAGTTATAGATTGAAATAGAAACGATAAACACAACAAATAAATGTAACATCATCAGGAAGAAAAACAAGTATTGTTCTAACGGAATACAGAAGGTATCGATGGTGACCTTCTTATTATATTTTTTGTCCTTAATTATTAGTATTAGTAATGACTTCAGAAAAGGACCCTCTTGTGAGTGAAAGGTCAGGTACTGTCCGTGAAGTTGGAAATCATGCGATCTGGAGTTTATCATCATGCAAACCCGGTAAGGAGCCGTTTCAAGTCTATATATATATATATACTAATAACTACAGATCCAATCTACTAAAGTAAACTAATCATTACTTTACGTTTGTTTCAAAGGTTTTGGTATAGATCAACTCAGAGATGATTGTATGGACACTTACTGGCAATCAGATGGTCAACTACCACATTTGGTAAATATTCAGTTCCAAAGAAAAACTATGGTATCTCATATTTATATCTATACTGACTATAAACTGGATGAAAGTTACACACCAAGTAGGATATCTATTCGTGCTGGGACACATTTCAATGATTTACAAGAAATTGAGGTGATAGAGTTAATTGAACCAAGTGGTAAGCTAATGTTGCATTTGTTCATATATAATAATGAATTTTAAGGAGCTAATTTTCTTCATTTTCATTACAGGTTGGGAAATGATTCCTATCAAAGATATGCACGATAGGCCAATAAGAACATACATGATACAAATAGCTGTTCTCAGCAATCATCAAAATGGTCGAGATACGCACATGAGACAAATTAAGATTCATTCTCCATGTGAACCAACAAGTTTCGACATCAACAAATTTACAAATTTTTCTACAGTACAGTTCCAGCAATTTGCAACTATTAGATAAATAAAAAACATTATAAATAAAGAATAATTATCATATTGATTATGTACAATATTCTGTCTTCTATTCAGATTCTTCACTTTCTTCACTTGCTTCATTTAGCCATTCAAAGAAATTGACTAATGATTTCTGCTGTGCAATTTCACTTTCATCTGTTTTTAAGTCCTCATACCAGGCTAACAAGGAATCTTCATCAACAACATCTGCATTATATAACAAATGTATTATTTGCCCTGCTTTGCCATTAAGCCAATCATTTTTTAGACAACTATCCTGAAAATAATATATATTGATATGTAACAAAATGATACTAAATTTAATAAATAGTATGTTTAACAAATGATTTACCTCAACAGCTCTTAAACAGTCCAAAATCGAAGATTTAGTCTTAATGTAGTTAACCAGAACAGGATGGAAAAATTTAAATACATCTCTGACAGTCACTAGAACATTTTTACTGTCAACCAAAGTTGGCAGGCTCAAAATAGCTCGAACAACATAAAAATTGACCTCATGTAATTGGATGTTGTATGCATATCTTGATGAATTAATTTCAAGTATGAGATAGTCACATTTTAGTTTCTCCTCATAGCCCCTAGCAAGGCTATCAATTACTTCTTGTAAAAAGACTGAAAATAAAGTTTTAAGTTTTTGTTTTTCAATATTAACAAGGTTATATTATAGTTTTTGTCTTTCAATTGAATAATTAAAGCAAACCCCTACTATTTGTATCATCTGGAACTGGTGAATCTGCTAAGGAAGACTCTGCACTAGAATCAGATGAATAGCAAGATTCACTGTCTGTCCACTGCTTTTCAAAACCAATAAATTCCTCATCACCATCACCAGAGGACTCATTTTCCCATTCAGTGCCACTTTCGGAGGTAGATTTTGAAAGACCCTTTTCTGAAAAATACTTGAAGACTTAACATTACTTTTTCATAGCTTTCACTGCCATTTTTTATGCAAACTTCACAAACCACATTGATAGCATAAAGCACACTCTTACCAGTCCTGTTCACCTGTTGCTTTTCAATAATGTTTCCTTTTAATTTGGTGTCTTCATTTACTTTTGCACCAGACCCAATAATTACACCATCAAGAATACTATTTTCATCAATTATACAATCACAGTCAATAAAACTGTTAGTGATTTTGCAATTGTCCTTAATAACAACATTGTTCATAATGTGACTCCCTTGAATAATCACATTTTTTCCAATATGGCTGTTATTTCCAATAATTGTCTTAGTAAGTGAGGCCATATCACTTATTTGAGTGTTGGAACCAATTAAAACATCTTCTTGAAGTGTGCAAGACCTAAAGAAGAGAACACAGCTATGATTTTTAATATGTAAAGGAGAAAAAAATATATAAAAATTTTGTTAAAAATTACCTGCTTAGCACCGAGCTTGTTTTTATGTAGTTATGTTTGCCCATAAAGGTATAACTATTCTGGTAAAAGGACCCTGATTCAATTGATAAGGGGTGGACCCAACGGTGGAGTATATCCAAGCTATGATTAAAACAATATAAATACATGTTACGTTTACAGCTACAAAAACAAATTATAATTTTAATGTTAACCTTATGATGTGGTAAGTCTTCCAGTTAGTTACAGCAGATGCATATTGATTTCCTTTTAACTTAGTATAGTACAAAGAACTAGCTAAAATATCTTCATTTATAAGTATACCATGAATAAAATCATTTCTATTTTGAAAATCAAAATTATCAGAAAAAAGTGGTGGAACTGATGGTGAGCACAGTGCAATGTTTGTGTCAAGTAAATTATGATGCAATTTTACTTCAGAATGATGCAAGACGCTTTCCTGAAACGCAACACAATTATGTGAAAAAATAAAATAATATCGAAAATATTTACATCTAAATAAATATTAATAAAAGCCCAATGTAATTACTTACCAGTGGCAAGGATACTGTGGTATCTTTACACTTTGGTTTATATGTATTGTACAAGAGTATTTTCTTAGTGTTACCATCAGCTGCTAGGAAAACAGATTTATTATTACTGATAAGTGGATGGTCCCAGGCAACCTCCTTATAGACCAATGTCATTGCTGCGCCTTTATCTTTTTTACAAATTTGTCTATAATAAAAAATAATATATCATATCAAAAATAGTTGTAATACTTATTTTTATTTTTAAACTAGGCTGTTTAGAAGGAAGAAAGTTAGAGTGGAAGAGTATACTGACTTGTGCTGGTCTAGTAGAGCAGCAAAATTAACATTAGTTATTGTATTTACACCCAGCAATATAAAATATCCTCTAACTAAACCTGCAGCATCTATTTCTCTCATAACATCTCCCATAGTCTCACACGTTTCAGATGATAATATCTGTACATCCAGAGAAAATGTCCAAGGAACCATGTCCTGTTTACATTTCCTGAAAATATATTATTATCTTGAATATGTTAACCGCACAAATATAGCAACATATCTAAGAATAAAAAGGTGGTCTTACTTTATATGTTCCCTAACTTTTGTCGGTTCTTGACAGGAAAACAAAATCACTTCGCCAACACCTCCAGCTACGAGCGACTCTAAAACATAGTCGATTAGGGGCACACCAGCAACGGGTAATAATCCCTGAAACATGACCAAGTGACTTAATAAAATCATACACATTTTACAACAAAGTAACTATATTTCGTATACTAACCACAGGATTTTCAGTACATATTGGGTTTAGGTTATTATTAAATAAGTCCATTATAACAACGGCTTGGACTACATTTTCTTTTTCACCTTCCATTTTATATGGATCCACCGAAACTATGCTAGGTGAAAATATGACATAAAAGATTAATAAATACAATATTTTAATCGATCTTATACAAGAATGTAATAAATCGTAACACAACAAATAGCTGTGTTTTGACAATTGACAAGTTTAAACAGAATATAAAAATTGATGATAGAAGTGCTGTGTCGGTGGAACGTGTTAAGATGGATGAAGTTTTTTAAGCCTTATGAGTACTACGATTTTACTTTTATTTTTGAGATGTGTTGAAAAAAGTACCTCTGAAGGACAAAGGCTGATTTACTATATTTTTTATATTATAAATATATATTTGAAATAGGAAACCAATAATAAAATATTACAAATAAAATAGTGTTTCAATACTTGCTTTCCTTTGTATTTATGGCCATACAAAGTATAAAAAAATAATTCTTCCTTCCTCAAAGGATAAAAGTTCTTTGATGTCGATTTATGTGTACATACATACATATTTGTTGACAGTAGCGGTTACTAAGGTGCCTTGCATTCATTAGGACCGCTCTAATGGAACTTTTCTATAATACTTACTATATGTAAATTAAATCTTTAAAAGTGAGAGACTTAGGATTTGTCAGACACATGGAGTATGATTTGTCACGTATAGATTATACAATATGTGGTATTACATACCCGGATTCTTTAAAAATATTACCAAGCTTAGACGAAAAGGTACAACAAAAAGTAAGTACGTAACTTCAATACCAAACAACGAAAACACGAATTATGATCAAACTTGTAATTTAATTTAAAATCTATTTCGATTTAAAAAAATATGTCACGGCCGGACTTGAACCGGTACAATCCATGCTCTAGCAAATTAAGGCGCAGTAGCTTATTTCATAATCTATTTTTAATTTATATAATGCCATCCTGTGCAAGAATATGTAAAAGTAATCAAGTTTCCAAATTAGTTTTTTTCATTAGCTCATGTATGTATAGCGTATTCATGTTCTATTAGACTGATGCAGCAGTTCTTTTACAACTTACTGAACTACTTAATAACATCATTGATTGATTACAACTTACGTAATGTATGCAAGCAATATCATTATTTCAGTTCGTTGTTGGTGATAAAAACGGAGTATTACAATGTTTGGCGATCAAAGATGAAGAACCTGTAGTTCAATTTAAAACATTACCAGGCAGACCAATAACATCTGTTCAACTAGGTTGCTCATCTGGTATAAAATTTATTCGTTTTATTTCGTACGTCAGTCACCTATTTCATTTTTAGAATGTGCGAATATTCTATACAAGAACATTTTTCCAGACTCTCATGCAGATAAAACATTTGCTGCATCCGGTAACGAAGTGAAAGGTTATACAAGAAAGGGGAAGGTATTTCTTACTGTTTCAACATTAGTTGCTGAAACCATCACGTCAATGTAAATTTGTATACTAATTACGTTGAAAAAAATCTCTTTATTGCTTTATTCTATACAGTTGTATTTGTAAACAATTCTTCCCTCTAGGTGTGTTATAGGCAACGATTTGATACTGTGCAGTGGTCGCACAGTCACGCACTGCAAAGACTTTAATGAAATGACATCTTTCACGTGTGAAGATAGAATATTAGACGTAGCCGCGTTCAACGCGCCTAATGTAAGTACTAACATAATAAATAGGTTTCGTTAGTTGGATGCCAGGGCATAAGCGAAATGGACGTAGAAATTTGTCCGCAACATCATCAATCATATAAAGCCGCACAATTGCTAAAAGTTTTACACAGGCGCAAACTTTTTCTCAATACATTTGGCGTAGGTATTAATAATTAATCTATTAAAATTTTTAACTGATTTCAGAGTACCCGCATCCGACTTCTTTTATTAATTGCTAATAAGGGTACTGCTATCGCTGACAACGGGCATTTAACTGTACAAACCCACATCAACTCTGGTCCTTCACGATTAGCAGTACCTAAATCTATTAGACCTTCCGAAATATGTGCATTCTATGGTGCTGCTAACGGTTCTATAGGGCTTATTTCGTACAATAAGTATGTGTAATTTTTAAACTTATTTAACTTCTACAAGAAAATAAATGATAGGTAAACCCACTCTTGACTATTATAGATCGGAGCTAAAGAGCAAGTGTTTGGTCGATGGGCAGGGACTGGGTTCAGTCATGTGTGTTGGTTGGTATTCTAATCACGTTGGCGCCCATCTCATCGTTGGACGTCATGATGGATCTATTCAACTATATCTTACAAACCCCCAAAATTACGAAGATAAACTGCAGCTTAAATATTCTTATGTCTGTAGAATATTTTTTATATTTACAATCTTCGCTAAATGTTCTTTTGATTCTCAACGTATTAATATCATTTTAGTTTTGTGGTGAACCTATAACGTCCATCTGTGGGGGTTGCATAGGGTCAGATGAGCCGGAGGTACTGGCTACAACTTTTTCTGGAAGAATATTTGGACTTAGACCACGTCGTTTACTATCAACGGCAGCTATATTGAGTAACATTCCTGCTGAAGCACTAGCAACAAGGAGATTAAAGCTGGAGTTTGTATACTTCCGGACATAAAATTATTTAAGAATTAGAAAATTTAAAAAATTGTACTTATTTCATTAATTAACTTACAAAATATATATTTAGGAATGAAGTGGCACGTTTGGAAAAACAAACTGCTAATGAACGAGATAAATATCAGAAAAATACGCGATCTTTGCAAAGCAGTTTGTCTGTGCCTCCACTATTAGATGTGCAGTACGAAGTGAGTTTCTATAAACAATGTGTAAATAATATAATTCCTAATTAAATTAAAATTTTAATTATTAGTTAGAAGGCGCTACAAAGAATGGTTGGCAAGAGGCAAGAATAACCTCACCTGTACCACTTGATATGTTGTTCATTTACTGCAATAATAAACTGGATTTAGAGACAGATAGTGCAGGAGTTCTAAGCCTCTGCCCTCCACAGGTTTGTACATGAATAGAAAAATAATATTTACTTCGGCTTTAAAAAAAGGAAGTATTATTATTTTATATTTAAATATTTTCTTCTAGAATGAAAAATCGTCAGATATATTGGCGACTATAAGGTGCCAGACTGGTACCAGAAGGTTATGGATTCATATGCGAAGTACTAAAAATACGACGATAATTGAAAATATTAAAGTATTAATATATGTTTTACCAGCAGGAGCTCCAAGAGTATCTCGGCTTTTTAAATTCTGTTTGCCTATGCTACCCTTCTATTGGCAACATGAAAACCAGGAATCTCTCAATATAAGAAGGTAAAATTTGCAAGTAATTTAAAAATTAAATAACACAAGTGCTTACTTTGAATAATATTGCAGGTGTCTATGTGAAATTCATGTGACAGGAACATTTTCAGTTGTAGAAGTTACTTCTTGGCTTAGTGAAGCTTTACCGGGGGAATTACCAAGGCCAGCTAATTCTGTTAAATTTGTGCGTTCACACACACTTTTAAACACACTTCTGTCTTGTGAATATGAGTATGTATGCCTGTACAAGTGGAGTTTACAGAAGTGTCAAGAAAATAACTCAAAAATTAATAAAATTTCAGACGCGGCTCAGCTATCTTCAAATCTGATAATATATCGACAATTGCAGACTTGAAAGACATAATTTCAAATTGTGTTGTAAGGAAGGGACTGAAAATAAATATTAATTATGGTGAGTGAATTGAGTAATCTATAAATTAAGTATTCCTGGCATCAAACATTTATATATTGGACAGATATTTCTGAGAACTGTTGTGCAGAGGCCTTTGACATTATAGAAGAGTCTTTTATAACTGAGTATAAGAAAAGACAAGAAAAAAATTTAAAAGAATCGTTACGGTAAGTAACAAGTTATTAAAAATAATTTTAGTTATAATTATATACGAGTATATTAAATAATTTCAGGATGCTGGATTTGGATAGTAGTATTGAAAATAGTGAGGCTAAATCCTTTTTATGTTCAGACTATTTAAGAGTATGGGCATCACCAGATACTTCAGATGAAACATGCTTTGAACAACTGGTTTGTAAGTTAATATAACATTTTTTCATATGCAATATGAACTTTTTGCAAGCATACATTTGCGTGTATTATAAAATAACTACTTCTAGATGAAATGGAGAAATGGTACAAGGATTGGTGCAAATTGTCATCAAATACACAATTCAGCAGTAGTGAATTTAAAGTACTCCATCAGTCATTGAAAAATTGTGACACTATGGCTGTGAAAAGCATTTTTAGGAGAAATGGATCTATGGAATTTGTAGAAAAAGTATAAAAAATATTTACCTTACACTTTGTCTGCCTTTTATATTGCCTATAAATTATATATCTCACTCACTGTGTATTATATTCTAAAATAAAAATGCAAATAAACTAATTCTATAATGCTCATAGACTTTAATTGTAATTTATGACTATTTAAAACTGTAAACCATCTACTATCACACTTACAAACACATTTACTTTTGGAAAGGATAATAATCTAATCCTGAATTGTAACTAAACTTATGTGTAAATCTATTAACTTGAGTCTTTCCAACCTCAATCATTTTTTGAACTTCTTTGCGGTATGCGGGTGGTAACAGTTCTTCTTCTAGTGTACATTTATGCTCTAGCTCTTCTGTTACCTTGAATACTCGCTGTCTTACAACATCCACATCTCGGCTATACTCTTCTTTTAAATCAGAAACAACAGTAGTAGCGGTGTCAATTTTAAATACGAAATAATTGGCTTCTCTGTGAACTAGTCCATGGGCACTCGTCTTGTATGGAAGTGGTCGAAATCCAAGATTTTCTATGTCTCTGATTATTCCACCTCTCTCAAAAATTGCGTTTGATATTCTCAAAAGACTATTTTTAAGTTCAACTTTAGGCATTGCCCGAAGCATCATGGCTAGCTCGTAAGTAGGCATCTTGTTATAAAACAAATAAAAGATATTTTGCTTTAATATATATTGAAATAGCTGAGATTTTAGGTTATGCCTTAATGTTTACACTTTAATAAAATTAGACAATTTACATAGGTCATGAACTTTAAATACAATTGACATGCAAACGGTGCAATACATGTGACATGCCTATTACATTAAATTGTAAAATTGTAGATCATCTGTAAATTTGTTATTATCTATGGTTTCGCTATATGTCATGGCTGCGGCGTATGTTTTTTTGTGACTTTGTTATGAATATCGGAGTTAAAATATTTAATTTACCATGAATACGAGTACAAAATTTATTTCAGATTATTGTAAGACATGGGAAAAATCAGGCAAAGATTTATTGTAAGATATTGCTCTAAACAATATTTATTAAAAGCAAAAACCACATGTTGATTTCTTAACAATTTGAGATTTGTAAAGCCTAATTTTAATAATTATTAATAACATTTTGACTTCAACCGAATGTTTTATAAATTATTTAATCTTAGAAAATTTTTGAACTGTTGACGATGTTCTTAATTATTTTCTTGCGACGATTTACTTTTTTGCAATTAACGTATTTTTGTTTTGCTTTCTAGTGTTAAGGTTATCACACAATATATCAAAGATGAGGGAAAGAGTCCCTTATTTACTAAATCAGGAAAGCTTTCTGGTCTATCTCAAAGTATTTATGATTTATTACTTTGTGGGCTAAAAGGACATCTTAAAAAGGATGCTGTTGTATCAGTACTTCGTGATATATCTGTAAGTAAGATTTGACTTTAGTGTCAATAGGAGGAAATTGATAATACATAAAATGACTACATTGTTTTAGATGTTACATGCAGATATACCATCCATACTCTTAGATGTTGTATGTGTACTAGATGCTGAAACATCTTTAGATACGCAGAGTGAGGAACGATCAATTTTTTGTTATTTTGTCCGTGAGCTAGAACCATTCCTTTCAGACAAGTTATTAAAAGAAAGGCTAGAAATTGATACCCTCCAGGATGTTGGGACATTAAAAAACAAGAACTTTTACACAAAATTTATCAAAATAAAAACCAAATTATAGTAAGTGTTGTTCACTTTAAGGTACATTTTAATTCTTATAGTTATGTAAATATTGTATATATTATATTTTTCAGTTACAAACAAAGAAAATTCAACCTTTTTAGGGAAGAAAGCGAAGGTTATGCTAAACTTATTGTTGAATTAAATCAAGAGATCTCTGAAAATACGGAATGGAAATCAATACTAGAAATTATTCAGTCACTTATTGGTAACATAATTATTTTTTCTATTATAATGGTTTTGTTTCTAAATAAACAGTTTCTAACACTTGGCAATACTTTTAGGTTGTTTTAATTTAGATCCAAATAGAGTACTGGACATTATATTGGAATCATTTGAAGCACGGCCCCACTTAGATAAATTGTTCATTTCATTAATAAAGAACTATATGTGTGATCCTCAAGTAATATCAGAAGTAATTGGATTCAAACTTAGTAATATGGAAGTATTGGATAACTACAAAGAACCTCCACATCTTATGACTGTAATAGCTTTACTATTACAACATCAAGTTATTTCTTTAGATGATGTTTATCCATGGGTAAGTACCGTGATCACATATTTATAATTATAAACGTGATACTTATCTGTGATTGAATTACAGTTACGTCCTGATGACATAATTATGGCTAAAGAAGCAGATAAAGAAACAAAATTGGTGCAAGATTTTCTCCGGAAGCTCAACATAGTATCAACTAAAGGGCCACAAACAAATGGCCCAGCTGAAGTTATAGAAGAGAAAGCTGATCCACAGGTAATGTTTTAATATATTGGAAATTCAGTATAAAATAAATTCGAAAACTATTTTTTTTTCTGTTTAACTATACAGTCTACTTAAAGTGGTCAGCAGATTGATGGTCAATATTTTATAAAATTTGTCTTCAGGAGTATTGGGCTAATCAGAAGTTAGTGCTATGTGAAGCACTACTAAGAGTTTGTGCCTGGCGTGAATTCTCGGCACTCTTCAGTCGGTTACATGTTACATCAATGCCTGTACGACCAGCAAAGGCCCTTTGCGACATGTTGCATGCTGTTATTGAGCCTTTGTATAGAATGTAAGTTAAATGTATGCATGTATTTTTATATAATTTGTTTAAAAATACTACTACTTAAGACCAAATGTTTGGAGTATTTATATTATTCATATAAACTTATAGTCTTATAATACACAAAACCTAAATGAATATTTACAAAAAAATATAAATTATGTAAGATCTCATTTTATTATTGAGGTGTTATATAAACCACTAATTACAATTGTGAACTTAATGTCATACATAATACAATACATTTCAGACAGTGCCGTGTGGCTCCAAAGATTATAGGGAAACCAGTATCACCTTTGAAATCGAAGCTGGCCCCAAAATCTTGTAAATCCTTTGAAGACATGAAAGAAACAGTAATTCCTGCTCTAATTTTACTGGGACCTGCACTTCATCATGATCCTATATTAATGTATAAAGTAAGTACAAGCTACCTAAAATACTAGTTCTTTAAAATATACCCAATAACTTTTTTATTAACTAAATTTTAACAATAACAGAGGCAGATCTCATCGTTGATTGATCAAACTTAGTAGACTTTCAAACTTTACAGACAACACAACTTCATTTTAAATATATTATTAATTACCTAGAAAATAATACTTCTTGAATAAGTAAATATTTGACAAATAAGAATTTATATTCTTTTTTCATTTCTTTTATATTTTGTTAGTAAAATAAGAAAATTATTTAACCGATTACCGATTTTGCAGATAATACGCATATTACGTACGTCTCGCTCAGTTGATGGTGATCCCTTAGAGCATGAGGCACTAACTGTCCTGGATGCAGCTATTTTGCCCTCTCTTACTTTAATGGAAGGGAATTGCTGTATGTCTGAAGAGGTTTATACCCTACTTAAACTATATTCTTACCAATGCAGGTATGTCAATACATCTTTTATCACTAAACAATACTGTAAAATATCAAGATGTTTGTCTATGATTAAGATATATATATAGGGGTTTAATTTGAAGAAGTCTTCTTTTATACTGGTAAAACTTAATCACGTAACTTATGTAATTAGTATATTGTTTCCAAATGTGACAAAATTAAAGTCAGTAAAGCAAACAAATAATAATGTGTTTGTGTAGCTTTTTAATTAATCGAATTTATTTGCTGATTGGCAATTGTGTAATAAGCCCTTTGCCCGATCTGACATTTTCTTCTTGTTTCCATGAGTTTCGAACCCAGTACAGCACTTTTACGATTGCCTAAGTCATACCTCATATAACAGTAACCATTAATACGCAGATATTGTTTGTACGCGAGATGGAAAAATGAATCTGGTGAAAAAATTCCTGCATTGATGCGTGTACGCGGCAATTCACTGCAGCGGATAAAACATATAATGAAACGGGTTTCCAAGGAGAATATAAAACCACAAGGGCGTCTTATTGGTAAACTTTCCCATGCTGCACCGGCTTTTCTCTTCGACTATATGCTTTTGCAGGTATGTTATGTTCTTCTACAATTTTTTGCCTCTTTTTTTTTTTTTGGTTCTTTGATAATTGTGATAGACACGGGTATTGTACATAATAGTTAGTAAGTGTATAAATTCGCTGTTCATTATATCTGTTGTATACGCCAGTCCATTTGTGGCTAAGAGAGGCCTAGGCACCAAAAATTAAAGGACAATTAAGTGTGCAAAATATTCCTTTTCCATAGATATGTGTTTTTTAATAAATTCTGGTAATAATTATACTACTAATTCCTAGAATGAATAGAGCTTTTATTCACATTATTTCATAATAGACTTGATATTTACAGATACAAACATACGACAACCTGATTGGGCCCGTTGTCGAGTCCCTTAAGTACCTAACGTCGTTGTCGCTGGACGTACTAGGCTATTGCCTCGTTGAGGCGTTGTGTACGGGTCGGGGTTCGGCTCCTGGCGCTGCTCATCCACCTTGGCTTCAAGCCCTGGCGGCTTTTGCTGGTGCCGCATTCAAAAAGCATAACATTGAGCTCACTGGATTATTGCAATTTGTCGCTAACAGATTGAAGGCTCAGCAAAGGTTGGTTGTTTATCCCATTTAAATACGTTATTGCATAAAACTGTAAGCCGAGTATGAGGCAGTCACATTTATGTGTCCGTTTTAATGATTAAACAATTAGGTTTTTCCTCACGCCTAACTAGTAAAAATTTGTGCTTACTATTAACTAATCACTATTTCATTTTAGTCAAGACCTCCTAATTCTGAAGGAGATAGTCCAGAAAATGGCTGGAATAGAAGCTGCAGAGGAAATGACACCAGAACAATTAGATGCTATGGCTGGCGGCGAGTTGTTGAAGGGCGAGGCAAGTATTATAATATTATGGATCATATTACGCGTAGATATTTAACTAAAATCTAATTAGACTTTACACAACACGGTCTTTTTGATCTGAATAGATTTTTAATATATATACAGCCATTGTGTGCATGATTTCTTAAGCAACAAAGCATAATACATTGAATTCCAATTCGTAAAGGTAAAGGTTGAATTTACTTTGCGCAAAAGATGGATATTAGAATGGGTTAAAAAAAATTAGACGATGACGTATAGGACACGGTGCGGTAGCTCAATTTAAGTAGCCGCACGGAACTTGAACCGACATCCACGTCGGTTGTCGGTTCAAGTCGCGCACGCGTCGACGTTTTTTTTATTGTTTATCTAAACAGATTTAAATTTATACTAATTAGACTCATTTAAAATATCTAAAACTTTCAGGCTGGGTACTTTTCACAAGTGCGTAACACAAGGCGTTCATCTGCTAGGTTAAAAGAAGCAGTCGTGGGGAACAATTTAGACATAGCGCTCTGTATTCTGTCCGCACAACAAAGGCATTGTTGTGTTTGGAAAGGTGAGACAAAAGATGTTACAGTAATTATTACAGAAGTAATAATTAAATTGATCTAGCAAGTTATTATTTTGTAATAACAATTTTAATGAGAAGATGTAAAGTATTAAAAAAGTTTATTCAGTAGAATAAGAACTCCAAATATCTCCAAGACTCCACAGTAAACTTGTTTATTAAAACTAAAATGAACTGCTTTAAATAGAGGTAACGGACGACGGCGGCAATGAGACTAGTGGATCTCAATTGAAGGTGGTGGGACGTTTGGCTGATCAATGTCAAGACGCCCTAGTACAACTTGGAACCTTTCTCGCCTCATCCCACGCCCCCGATGAGTATGCAGCTCGTCTGCCTCCACTGCCGGTAAAAATAAAAGTTTTTTTTAATTTTACCTCAAAAAATTGGCAAAAATCATATGAATGTATTTCAATTCACACAAGCTAAGAGTAGTAAATTTTGACTACCTTCCCCCATCCCCCCCTGTATTGTATGTATATACGTTATTAGTATATTATTAGATTATGAATCTTTTTTCAGTAAAAGTATGTAGAACAGTTGCCCTTAAGAATAGTAGAAGTCAAATACAATGGCTTCTAATACCTCTGTTGTTATAATATTTGTAATTTTGAAACTACAATACAAAATTTTACTTTTAACTTTCAAGCCCTGACTATAAAGCAACCGAAACGTTGGGTTCCAGTAAATTTAGAATTTTAATTTTGGGTATTAAAAGTGCTTTATTTAAATGTGTATAACTTGCGTAAATAACAGACATAACATAACGCCTTGCTTATAGGAATTGCTCCGCGACTACCATGTAGATGCAGACGTAGCGTTTTTTCTGCACCGGCCAGTGTTAGCTCAAAAAATCGCTGCAAAAGTGGAGTTTCTACGGAAAAGCTCCGATAGTAAATCGGATTCCCAAGAGAAGAGTGTGGTGCGGTACAGTATAGCATCAAAAGAAGCCTTGGAACCTATAGTTACCTCTATCACACCACTTCTGCCAGCTAAAGTTTGGGAAGATATATCTCCGGAATTCTATGTTACATTTTGGTAAGTAATAATCGTTTGAATTGTAGAAAATATTTCCAATCTCTATATGGTGTAACGGGCTCATTGCTGTATTGGTAGCAATGTATGACTAATAATCAACAGGTCGTGGGTTCCATTTTTTCTAAACAATTTATAATATATCCGAAACACGTTGGACTTCGTCTGCATATTAATTAAGTAGGTGTTAGAAATATCGAAATTTCGCTTAAGTCACGAACCACTGTCTAAAATTAAAAAAGGCGTTAAGTTTCATCGTATTTCGGTATCAGTTTCGATTTTTTAATATTCAAACTAAGCTGACTACTGACAATAGGCCGACAGCGCATCTTGTCTATATGTTATATGGATGCGGAATTTCACCTACCAACAAGTGAGTACCGCTTGTCTGTCTGTGTAAAAAATACATCAATAATAAATACAATTGCATTTATGTAAATCATAATAATATAGTATTCACAAGGGCATATGTGCTGTCACTCCGCCATAAAACTTCAGTACTTTTCTCTATAAGTAAATTAGTTATATATTTCTTTCAGGTCACTGTCAATGTATGACTTACGTGTGCCTGTAGAAAGCTACGAACGAGAAGTAGAGAGGTTGAAAACTGCAGCAGCAAGTGCGGCTAAGGACACTTCACAGGGCACTAAGGGCAAGAAAGAACAAGAACGGTTTAACACTCTCATAGACAAATTGCAGGTCAGTAGATGTTATATAATTATTGAGCAAACGCATAGTAGATTATAAGTTTGTTTAATAAAGTAGAAAACTGTTTCCCTTCGTAGGATATGCGGCGAACACTGTACTATGTCCGTTTCGGGCAGGTAGTTAATACTTCTAGACCCTAGTTATCCCGAACAATCTATTCTTTCCCCAAGATTCAATTCCAGGACCTCTCGCGCTTAATGCAATGCTGGGCAACGATTAACCATTAACTACAGAAGTGGTCAGGCGGTTCAACAAACCAATTTATAATTGGTCAATGTTGGTCGACAAACCGTTACAGAAAATAATAAAGTTTTTATTTAAAAAAAATAGTTAAAAACACTGTTTGTTTTCTCGGTCGCCCGGTTTCGGTGCGCGCGCGGGGCGGGGGGACCGACGGATATATCGCTAACCGTAATTTTTTTTTTATATTAATCAATAACTACATACTTGTATTTAAAAAAGACCATAGACAATGTTAACTGTTTTTATCATAATAATTGATCAGAATATTGATGGTTGCGTGGAAGAGATCGCTGCTTAGCGATAACGCCGCCTATTATTTATAAGTTAGTACGTACGATTTTATTCTCTTTTTGTTCAGTGGTGTGTTATAAATAATAAAGCTGTAATAAATTAATAAAAAATGTGTTTTTGTTCCCCTTAGGATGAACGACGTCGCCAAGAAGAGCACGTGTCCCGCGTACAAGCGCGCCTATCCCGCGAATGCGCCGGTTGGTTCCCGGCGCGCGCAGCCAAATCGGCCAAGAACGAAACAGTGACACGTTTGATGCAGCTATGCCTCTTCCCGCGGTGCGTCTTCACAGCTGCCGATGCGCTGTACTGTGCGCAATTCGTTCACACCGTCCACGCATTGAAGACACCCAATTTCTCCACCCTTCTGTGCTATGATAGGGTTAGTTAGTTCATTTGAATTGTTTCTGGAAGATACTAAAAACGCTATATATTTCAAAATACGTATATAGTTCACTCGAGTACACACTCATACACTTTTACGGTGTAAACCGCGAAATATGTTAGTTATTTTTTTTTATATTTTAACTACGACCTGACGTTCTGATTAAAAGTGTCAAAAGTGTTTTAATTAAAAAAACTTAGTTGCTTACTTAGTTAATTAAAGTGACACTCTGAATTTATGATTTTTACTCAAAATTACTTCACTTGCCAACAATGAGGAGTTGGTACTTCAAGTTTCTTTGGTTTTTTTTTAATGAAAAATTTATTTTTCAGCCGTAAAAAAAGTTGGTACATAATTGAATTAAAAATATATGTTTACACAACCTGTTATAAAAGCCCAACTGTTCATAAATTTTAATCAGTTTCTTTACAAAATTGTTAATTTTATCATTGGAAGGGACACAAATGTGTTCGCTCCATGCCCCACGAAGTGGTGAAATGGCGAAATAGAAAACTAGTGAAAAGGCGCTTCACCCGTTTCACTAGTTTTAATATTTATTTTTATTTAATATATTGAGTAAAAGTTGTACACACCTTTAAGTTAAATTCATAAATAGTAGGAATTATTTTTTATATATTAATTATGTTTGTACTCTAGTTGGAAGCTATTTTATAAATAAATGAACTGTTAATATTACCCAGTTGTTCTGCGACATCACGTACTCGGTGATGTCGTGCACGGAGGGCGAAGCGGCACGCTACGGGCAGTTCCTGTGCCGCGTGCTCGGCACGGCGATGCGCTGGCACGCGGACCGGGCCGCCTTCCACGCGGAGTGCGCGCACTACCCCGGCTTCGTCACCAAGTACCGCGTGTCCAATCAGTTCACGGAGGCCAACGACCACGTCGGATACGAGAATTACAGGTTTGTGTACAATGTTCCTCCAAAAGATTCTAGAGTGGAGACCATATACCAGAAGTCGAGAAGTCTCCTAACGGGCGATGATGGGGGCGGGGTGGTGTTAAGCAGTGGACACCGAACATCTGGAGGCTGTTCAAAATTGTTATGTATAAGCTTACGGCGTTTTGTGGTGAGGTAAGTTTACTGTGTTGGGACTCGCTAGCTCAATTGATTAGAACACAGAACGCTGACAATGCCGGCTCAAGTCCTGCCAGAGTCGTAAATTTTCTTTTAATTTTGATTTTGTCTAATGTTTTTATATCATAATAATTTATTTGACTGTAATAAGTTAATAAAAAATAATAGAGAAGCGAAATCAAGATAAAAACTACGCGATGATACGAAATCGTTTCTCTGTAACAGGCACGTGTGTCACAAGTGGCACTACAAGATCACGAAGGCGATGGTCGTGTGCCTGGATTCCGGGGACTACGTCCAGATCCGGAATGCGCTTATCGTCCTCATCAAGATCTTACCGCATTTCCCCGTACTGGCTAAACTGGCGCAGATCATTGAGAGAAAAATCGAAAAGGTTAAATTTATACTATTGTGTTAAGTCTTTTAGTCATAGTTGGTGCTATCTAAAGCGTAATCCATGTATTTCTCGTTTTCTATTGTAAAGATTTATAAGAGGTCGAGAACCTTCACAAATTAACATATTCCAAATCTAAATAAAACACTATTATCTGTTAAATGTTTCAAATACAATGCAAGCAATTTTCACCTCGCATAACCTGGATTTCGCGTGTCATCAATCACTAAAATTAACACAAACGCTTAAAATGGTTTTATTTTTTTAGGTAAAAGAAGAAGAAAAAATTCAAAGACCAGATCTTTACGTTTTGGCGACTGGATACAGCGGTCAATTGAGAAATAAAATCCCTAATATGATGAAGGAAAGCGACTTCCATCAGGTATGAAAATTAATTATAATTAGCCTTAATTTTTTCCGTTACTTCATTTCATCTGCATGTTTCTATTTTACTCTAATTTAAAATATTATCTAATTGAAAATGTTCTAAAATTAACTTTCCTATGTTGAGGTCGTCGATCAACACAAAGCAAATGCTACGGCGCAAGCGGCTAACGTTAAAGAAGAGACCAAACAAAGTGACACGGTTGCCTCTCCCGTTCAAACTTCAGGTGTGTAGCAGTTTATCTGAATCTCTATTTCACATATTTTAATGTGTACAACAAGTTTAGTTACACACACGGTCTGTACAAAAATATTGTGCTCATGTTCTTCTTATATCAAGGCCTTAACCCTCAAAAATATTAGTATACTTCTTAAGAGCTATTGCCGATACCAAGAAAGCAATCATTACCTTCTCTTTTGCTTGTACAATACAAAAACGATATGCCTTATAATATATAAAGGGGTTGTATATTATAGACAGTATATTATTTTATAGACTCTGACAAAAAGGAATCAAAGAGTGATAGACGACGTGACGAATCGGAGCGTGAAAAGGATTCAAAACGCGAATCGAGATCGTAAGTAGACTTACAACTAATTAATTAAGGTAGCCTTAGTGTTACCAGTCAATAAACTTCAATCAATCCAATTTCTAATCTGTGCATATTGGAATTGCTCTAAACATTGTCACTCAACCCAAAAATGGTTAAATGATTATAGAATTCGTTTTTTTTTGCATTTATTTATCAATTTGTAAAGGTATCATATAAAATACATTTCTAGTATCTTAAATCTATTAACGTTTTAAAGGTCATTGAAAGAAAGAAACAAAGAAGAATTGAGAAGTAAAGACAAATCGCCAAGAGATAGAACTCATAGAGTAAGTACTTGAAGTGAATTTAGTGTTGTAGTAATGAGAGGAGTGGACGGGCTTTAATTTTATTGTATGTGTTTTTAGGAGGAACGCTACTTGGAAGCTATTTCACCTCCCCATGAACATCGACATCCGTCCGATGATCTAGATCGTGGTAAGTTGTCAATAATGATGTATATGTCATAATACATTTTTGACGGACTTATCCAATGTTAACTCGCTGTGGTTAATAGATATTGAGGTTTAGTAGACCCATCGGGCCCGACGTTTAAAATCAATTTGAACATTTTCTGTAACACATGTTACACTTGTCCAGCAACAAGTTTGTGAGTTTGTTATTTGTAAGGGATCATGTTGAACATATTGTAATGATACATGACACTAACCATGTTTTCTTGTGTTTCTAGATGTAAAACGTCGTAAAGTAGAAAGCAGCGGTAATGGCAAGGTGAGTATCGTTGTAATAAACCGACCTTGCATCGCACTGGCGCCGGACTGACGATTGGGCGACACCGACAAAAACAGTGAAAAAATTAATTAAGTGAAGAAGAAAAACAATGCTACATAGTGATTTAACAACTGGGACTTTGTACAACTATAAAAACAATTAATTAATTTTACTGAATTTACGAATGAGAAGCAACATTTCAACCAGCTATACAAGTAGAATCTTAAATTTACATCCAAGAAGAACAGGATCATTAGAAATTACGAATCAAAGATCATATTTTATAAATAAGAAGAACAGAAAATCGAAGACTCGTCTTAATCTGGCAACGTCTATAGCAGCATCACAAGATCAAGCGCAACAAAATCTAGTGATAATTTATAAAATTTTAATAAAGCCTTAAAATACTCGTTAAAAATTTTCAAAGAATCAAACGTACGTAAGTCAGCCCAGCCCAGTCGAGCAGTGGTAAGGTTTTTATTTTTTTCATTTCAAGTGAGCCAAACGGTTCATAGCATTATTATTAGACGTTGAAAAGGAAACTCCAGAATTGTAATCAAATATGGAAGAAAATCCGATTTAAAAGAAGAATCTCTTATAATATATAATATGGACTTATGAAAACCAATAAACACATGCACGCGATTGTCTCCCAAAACAATATGAAAAATGATATTTAAAAAAATTCAAATTTCAATACAAAAACAACAATACTACTTTGTGGAACAAATAGTACGAAAAGTCAACAAAAAGCAACACCTAAAGAAGATCTGCGACCTGGAATCCAAGATTTTCATTAATTAAAATTTTCCAGTTAAGAATATAACTTTTTAAACTTACCATTTAAATAAAACAACAAAGGACCAACGAAATTTGAAGACCAAACTTATTTCTACATAAAATAAAAAGCCGGCAAGAAAACTGAAGAACCTACCAGATATCGAACTTGAAGAAGAAGATTTCGTGTCGTCAAATAAATGTGGATGTCCAAATATCGTCGAAATGAAACAGGCCAACCAAAGATTTCTGAAGATTTATTTATCAATACACATCTATGAAATAACAAAATGAAGCCGTCAGAAAACGTAAGATTTGCAGACGCAAGCTAAGCAAAGATAAATCGACTCTAAGGTTCTGTTTTAATTCTATGTTCAGTTTGGCTCATAATATTTTCATTCTCAAAGTTATTTGATAAAATTCTTATTCGCCTTAAACGATAATAATATGTTTTTTTACGAGCAGGGCAATAAAGAGCTTGACGATCGTTCGCCGGAAAAAGAGAAACGAAAGACTAAGCTAAGAGGTGATGAGCGCAAAGAACGTAAGATAAGTAGAAAAAGGGTAAGTAAGGGGTATTTATTGATTTGGTCCCTAGTAAGTAGTAGTAAGTATTCTGATTAACTTATATTTCTTAGAAATCAGTATCAAATATTTTTAAACATTATTAATTCTCAACAAACACTATGTAGTAATGTTCGTCGAGTACTTATTTAATAAATACGAGAGTGAAAACGTGGATTCAATTACTTTTTACATGTTATGTATTTTATTTATACTCAGAAACGAATACTTAAAAGTAGTGCTCAAATTTTTTTGACGGTAACAATGCTGTGTTAGCGAACGATTTATTTTCTACTTCTACCTTTTTAGGATAGAGTTGAAGAGACTCCAATCTTAGAACAGAAGCGTCGCCGCGATGACCAGAAGGGTAAATATGCCTGTTATGTTATTAGTGAATACGAAATGTATTGGTATTCATAAATCTATATATTATTTACAGCTGTGATAAAAATGGCAGGCCATCAAAATGGTTCACAAGAAGATCATCACTATGAGAAATATCATAAAAGGGTAACAAAAATCAAATTCAGAAGATAGTGATTTAACGAAATCGATTCATATAACAATGATTTTTATAATTAACGATACCTAATAAAGAATAGATTGTGATTTAAGCAATAAATTGTGCTACCTATTCACCCATCCTAATTATTAATGTCTTACGTTATTCACTAGGAAAAGTCACCGTTTCGAGATCGATCTCACGAGGAGCTCAGGGACAAACAATATCCTTTTTAAATGAAAAAAAAAAATATATAATATATTATCACCCATTAATACTTATAAGACTGGTTTTGCCTGTTAATTTGTCTCGATAATCAACAGATTTCTTAATTTCTTTAATTCATTCACACTAGACGATCTAATGAATCGAAAATCAGGAGATAATCATCTGGAACGCCGATATCTTCCTTTCGACTTTATGTATGGATCGTGTAATTAACATTAAGGAAACTTTACTATATAATAAAATAAATGTAATGTCTTAAATACGTGTTTTATTATCGAATAAACGTTTTATCCTGAAGGAAGGACCGACTGAAAGATCAACGCACAACAACCGCAGTCCACATCTACGGCCTTTTTAGTAATCTGTGTAAAATTTGTAGTACGAGCATCTTATGCATCACAATATCTACGATAAGTAAGGTTTTATTGTAAAGTTTGTTAGAGAAGCGTTATTCATTTGTGTAATCTACGATTTTTTCATATGCGTTTTGTATAATATGTATATTGATTTAATGTATTACAAAGTTATGATTTATACTTGTATTTATTTGTATCTTACGAAAATAACAGAAATCATTACACACGACGTATTAGGTGATAAATATATTATCTGAGTATCATTTGACATGACGCTTATTGTATTTGATTTGATACAGTCTAGGTAGATAATATTTGTGTTGTATAAAGCACGAAATCTTAATATATAATGTCATATAATCTGTGTTCTGCCCTATACAATATTGGCTAACATTAAAAAAAGATTGTGTAATGTCTATGGACGCCATTATTATCGTCCAATTTTTACTACATTAATTATTTTATTTGTATTTTAAGATATTTCAAAACTATTACTTAACTAAAAACTATATTCTTATATAAAACACTTAAAAGGATCCCACTCTCCCTTAATGTTAGTATCTGTAAAATAATAACAAGGATTATTGCCTGTGGTCAATGATCGTAGTAAATTATTAAGATTAAAATGAGAGGTTAGTGTTTGAGATTTTTTGTTGTTTGTGATAAAATATAGTGTTTCTTATAAAAATATATAAATCTCTTGGCGAATTGCGGCGAAAACACGTGTGAGGTGTATATCGTTTATTATCTAAAATAATTCATTCAATAGATGAAAGAAGATGAATGTCTAAATACACGTCGCGCTGCGGCCATTTTGTCTTTTATTATGACCACGTGATTATTTGAAGTTTGAAACAAACGAAACAGAATTTGCAAAACGCATGAGACGATTTATTCCTACAGGTAGGGGTTTATCTTTTATGTACATTCTGTATACTTATAACTTATTCAGAATAATTGAAGCAATAGCTACATTGCCACTAACAGTACAGAAAGATAAGTTTAAACATATTATGTAGATTATATCACAAATCTTGTCCAATCACATTATTTTAGGCACGCTTATATTTAAAAAAATAATAATTTTTCAAGATAAAATTGTTTGTATACAATATTGTAAGTTTACCTGTAGCTGTACCTAAACAAAATGAACAAAATAACTATTTTGTTCAGCCATATTGGTTTTATTTTAGTGTCTATGGTGTCAAATGACAATTTACTATAACCTCAAAGAATTATTTTTAAGTGTAATAAAGACATTGCCTTTGCGGAATCGGAAGCTATAAATAATTAAGTACTTCATTCTGTTAAAATTTTTTAAAATAAATAAATTCAAACAATCGGTGTAAAAATAAATTTGGAGCGTCTTGGCTGATGAATGCCAAAAAACAAAATGGTCGTTGTCTTACTATAATTACTCCGCCCTTTTAAGAACTTTGCTTTTAAATTTAAAAATTAAATTTAGCACCGATTATTTGATTATATTATGAAACAACATTAGGTAATAATGGCTTATATAAATACATATATTTTATAATATTAAATAATTTTACATTTTTCACGCGCCTGTAACTTCAAAAGCTTGCAACAGAATTGAAAGCGTGTAGTTTAAGAAAACAAATATGAAGTTGCAGTTATATATAAAAAGAATACCTAACAATAATTTAATAGCTATGTGTTGGTTTACTTGAATCGAAGGAAATCTACATAAGGAGCAATAATCAGATTAATAATTTTTGCAAAAATAAAAAAAATCGATTTACAAGTAATCAAATGGCGAAATATATGTATGCAAAGTGATCTGCAAAAAAGCCTAAAAAACTACTCTATAGTCTATACTCGATTCTGACAAGGCAAGATGACTTCCGCTGCAGCTAATAAACCATATTGTACGTAATAAGCGTACGTACGTATTACGTAGCTACTATTACTAATGCTTTGTAAAGTTATAAAACTTTTTTAGTATAGTTGTGACTAACGATATATATTTTGTTTCAGTTCGTAATCATGGAGGATGATTTAAAGGTTTTTAAATCCAGTATTATAAGGAGCAAAAATACCTGCAATAATGACTTGTATGATTTATTAAAAATAGTTCCAGCTACACCGTTATCTGTAAATGTTGTTACTGCACCTATTATTTGCGATTTCATACCGAAATCTGGTAAATACTACGTACCAAAGAAAAAAAGTAAATTAAAGGTAAAAACACTTCGTAACATAAGAGAATTCTACGAAAGAGATATTTACGACACTTTGAATGTAGAATTGGAAAAACATAAAAATTCTTTGTTACGTAAAATTAGAACCGGGTCTTCTAAAGAAGACACTACAAAAAAGATGGCACATAATCTTCTTCGTAATAATTGTCCTGTATCCAGACATGTTTGGCAAATGTTAACTAATTTGAACCCTGAAAACCATCCGTACTCTAAACAATTTGTTCTTTGGAATCGAAGTTCAATACAAGTTAATGGTAGTAAAGGCGGTAAAAACAAATTTATTAGCAGTTTTGATATAGGTGAAAACAATATTAAACATTTGAATAAATCATCAAAATTAAATAAGATTTGTCCTAAAAAGAAACTACTTCGAAGTTCTTTACACGTCAAATTTAAGCCTGGACCACTTTCTAAAAAGAAATATTTAGACGCATCTTACCAGAAATTTCAATTCGGCGATGCTGCTATTGTGAACTTGCCAAAACCAGGTTTAGATATTCAACCTTCGTATGGCATACCATTGGGGTCAACACTTATAAATTTTATAAGCGATAGTTTTATGCAAAACTCAAATGGTGAAATAACAGAGAAATGGGCAAATTTCTCCGTTTCTATGGTGGGTTTCAATAACAAGGGCTCTGCTCTTCAAATACATAAAGATGGTCCTACAACATTTGACTTAACCTACAAATGTAATCAAAGTCGTATTTTGATGCGTAACGCCTACGATAACATAAGGCAAAGTACCTTAACTCCTTCATTAGACAATGATGAGTCTTCGATTGCAGATGACGTGAACACAATAATGTCGAAAATGTTAGATTACGTGGAGATAAAGCAAGAACAAGAAAATCGATACAATATCGATGGCGAAGATATTTCATGCAACAGTGATAAGACTAGGAATAGAGATACAGTATTTAAAGACAAATGCAAACGAAAATTTGGAGAATTAGGTCGACTGGATGTACGAGTGATTAGATTGTCTCATGTAGAATCCGAAAATTCTAAGTGCAATAGAGACTTTTGCACTTTAGGTTGTATATGTGATTCTTTAAATGCTTCATATAATTTGAAAACTCATTGTGGCCGCGTGGAATGTATGTTTGAATGTAAATGTAGACTTACATTAAGAAACGATAACGAATCACACTGTAATTCATTTACTTTATCTGGCATAAATGATTTAAACAATACATTAAATATTGGATTGGCAAAAGAAGAACAAAAGTTTCAACAAACTGTTGTTTTATCTGGAGAAAAAAGCATTTTAATTAAACCTAGAAAAAGGGATTGGAAATCCTCTAAAAAATATGCTGATTTTTATAGTAATCTTTGTTTAAAAACAGAAAACAAACCAAAAAAGGAGTTATTTATTATAACACCAAAACTAAATTGTGATAGCATAGAACCTTGGTGCATGGTTCATAATCTGTACAAGTGTTTTTGTAAGGGTAAATTTACTGAGAGATTAATACCTACTGAAGAAAGTATTCGATTTGAGAATAATAAGGAATTAAGCGATTCAGTTGTCCAGGATTCAAACATGACTATTAATATACCAGTGAAGGATAAGCTAAGAGTACGACCACAAAATGAAAATGTGACTATTACTATTGACCTCGAAAAATACAATTCATATACGGTAAATGAAATTCGTGAGAAGGACCCTCAGGCAGTATGCGCGAGAGTAAATTTATACCAAGGAAGAAAGTATAATGATAGTTATTATATGGAAACAAATAAGAAAATTGTCGAAATGGAGAAAAATGATGATTCTTTGTTAAAGAAATTAAAAAGTCTAATGAATATTTCTGATCCCGAGATGAGTCTCGGGGTGGTGAGCCAAAGTAATGAAGATATCAAAAACGATAACTTTATGAGCAATAATTGGCAACCGGATAAATATTACAAAGTTCTTTTTAAAAAACAAATACTTAATACGTGGATTGAGGCAAATTACAGATCCTACAAAAAGCATAAGGACCAAGGCTTAGTGTCTACTATCTTGAAACCCCCAATAAAAGGAAAATTAGCATTTTATACATGGGACTTAATTTACGATAGATATCGCGAACAGAAGAATTTGTTTTTTATGTCTCCCGTGAAACCTTATCGCATATTTATAGCGAGAAAAATTGATGACCCTAAACCACAGGCTTGCCAGGATTTTCGAGAATTAGACTTGACAAATATTGAAAAATATCCTGCTGTAGTTAAAAGTTTTCTTTCAAGTACAAATAATTTAAAAGATTCTTTTTGCGTTTTACTTGGTTGGTCCCACTGCTGGGAATTAATAAGCACAGTCTCGAAAATTGAGGAACCGAAAGCTACTGAAAGCCTTAATACTTCCAATTGTGATTTAACTGAGAGTTCAAGTAATAGTACTGATTTTTTTACAAACTGTCCTACTTTTTCGGATGATAATTCTCAAGATAACTCTGTAGACTTGAAAGATTATGTGGATGTGGAGTCATTCGGAAAAAAAGATATCGATTTCGAATGTCATATTTCAGAAAATAACAATAAGAGTTGTTCAAAATGGTTTGTAATGACAGTAGAACATGACTTTGATGAAATACATTTTTACAACAAGGGTTTCTTCGTAAAACATGAAAGTATTCTTAAGGCCATAAATATATCACGAGTTTCAAAGAAAACCGTGAGATTGTCTTCTCAAAAGACCACTGAAGGCGATGATCCTCAATTTGGAATTTATGCTATTCCTAATGAAAGAGAATTAAACGTTTTTATTGGACCGTACGAGCAGGATGAACAACTTGGTATTGAGACTGTTAAATTGACTTTACCAAAAGATAGTACCAGACAAACTAGAGGAACATGGTTAAACGTTAATAAAATAGAAAATTCAAAGATAATTGACACACCTATGTCTTTTCTTACTTCGACGTTGGAGGTACAGACAATGATTCCATTAGAAAGAGCAATTTCATCCATGCAACCAAATATTGTTGGTGAGCAGTGTAAAGAAACGAATACAAATAATATAAATCTGCAAGCTACGGAAACAAAGGTCACCGTCGCCAAAACTGTAAAGCCTATAAAAATTCGAAAATCAGATGGATTTTTCCAAATCGATAAGTTGAAAACAATAATGTCTAATCTGTCGCCCGGAAATAGAAACAGGAAAATTTTTAAAACCGTGGATACTAGTGAAATAAAAGAGAAATTAATAAAGATGAGTAAACCAGTTGCTGAAATTGCTCCACAAATAAAGGCGGTTGAACAAAAATCTGGCACAAAATCACTTCAGAAAAGTGGCATGAGCGTTTTAAAACCTGAAGAAATTAACAAAAGGTTGCTGGAACCATCTCAACCGAGTAGTACGCTTCGTATAGTATACGAAGATATCGAAAAAGATATTGAAAAGTTCCTAGAAACGGCTACCGTTTGTCAACCGCCACCTGATGACGTTTACGTCATATCTGACGATGAAGGTGATACATCCGATATTATTGATGATGTCTGGATACAGTCAACCAATATTCCCACTCTGGGCTGGATCCCAGCTAAAAGAAATCGGAAAGGTGAAATAAGTTTTGAATTTCCCGGATTTAAATATACGGAATTTTACAATGAAACAGTTGCGATTAGTAAAATCAACTCGTAAGTCTACTAGTTTATTTAAAAGTTTGTATTAAGTTTTTTTTTCTACAAATTAATGACACGTTTTTTTATTTTATTTCTCAGGGTGTTTTCAAGGAGAGTATATGTACCCCGATTGTTAGAGTTGAAATGGGAGATTGTTGATGATATTAAGAAAATTCAAGGCAGAAAAAAAATGTTAGCATCTGACTTACGTCCTGACTGTGTAAGTGAATGTTGTTTTGATATTATTTAGGTATACACTAACTATAATTACTAATCCCCTTTAAAACATAGAAAAAAACACTAACATACTCTTTATAATATAAAGAAAACAATGTCACTGCGTTAAGCCATAGAGGGCTTGGGTATAAACATTTTGTCTAACCAGGCACAGAAGTCTTATTAACAATTTGTCTGTAAATAAATATCTAAACAATATTATTAAGAAAAAACTTACAATAAACTACTACAATAACTTAATAATTAAGTCATTGTATTTTCTACAGACAGTAAGTATCATTGTATTTTAATATTTGCTATACATTTCACTTTTAGATAATGACAGCAAAAGGCTTGAAACTAAGAGGCGATTTAGTGAAAATATTAAAACAAAAAAGGAAATTACTAGACAAAGAGACAACAAAGGAAGGTACCAAAGTAAGTACCAGGGATTTCTACATTTAAAAAAATGTAAATAAAAATGTAATTTATTAGAGGATCAGTACAAAAAATCTTAACAATCGAACTCGAACTTCGTCCGATCCGATTGTTTCAGACCTCGTAATTTGCAGTCGATATCTACAATCAAATGGCTTTTGAAAAGTGGTACTTTAAGGTTTTCGATTCGATGTATATGTATATACTAACTATGTATACAAATTATGGCTACACTGCAATAATAAGAATGCTTATTTGTATTCCCAGAAACGGAAACTTTTAACGCACTTACAAGATATGACCAGCTCATCCTTGGAAAATGAAAACTCACTCTTAAGTAATGAAGACGTCATCAAACGAGAAGACATCCTCCATAGTATCTCTGAAGCAAGCAACCGGCAAAGACAAGAGATGAGGGACAGACTTAGCGCCCTTCTAACAAATTCAGAAGTAGCCATAGTCCTCTAGTCATCATTAAAGGTTGAAAGTTCATTAGAGCTCAAGTCAACTCAGAACTGAGAAGTGTATTAGCAATACACGCGATGGGGAGATATTTATTTTCCTCTATCTCTGTCTACTGACAAAATCAATCAGTAATTTAATCCATAGGTCGTTATGCAATATTCTACCCATTATCTTGAAAGTTTTTCTTATGACTGACTAATGTTTAAGACTGAAAATGTTTGGAGAGACTTACGTTGATCTCCAATTAATTATGTATATTTTTAATGCTAATGTGTCGGTGGATGTCTATCTTGGCGCTGCTGATGATACTACCAAACAGGATTAAAACAGTACTAAACATTATACTTATATGAAAGTTATGTTTTAATCGATATTCAAAATTAAACTTATTCCTACAACTAAGGATTATTAGGATCTTATCCTTCTCTGCAAAAGATATCTATATTCGTATTATAAATCTAAGTTCGTTAGTTTGTCTGTTTGGCTGAACGCTCTGATTTCAGTAACTACTGGTTCGAAGTGAAAAAGCTTTCTGTGTTAGATAGACCAAGGAAGGCTTTAGGCTATAAATTATGTAAAATGTTTGTGTTGGTTAGGGTATTTATCCAGGAAGACTATACGCTATTAAAACATTGCGCTGTGACTATTAGAAGCGAAGATACAGCGGGAATTGTGAAAAAAACGGGGGAAATTTTTCATCTCTATGGGTTTCAGATGCTTACGCAGTTCAACATACCTAAATGTGTATGAAACACTGATTCCACTTTAAATTATCTAAAAAAGAGTCCTCGACGCTATATATCTATCTTTTAAGATTAACTTGCAAGAACGACCCGACCCTGAGGAGGTAGTTCGCAAAAACACATTTTGACGCCCAAAATAACTATTCTATGCGGATTGTTCCCGACAGTATATTTCACCTTAAATGTAACGATGAGACGCGATCGACGTCGTGAGTAACAGCTAGTTTAATATAAAAGTATGCAGGTGATAGATTCGTGTCTCTTTCGTGTGATGAAACTTGTTTTTTTCTATTTAAGTAAGTACTTGTTTTTAAAGCCTTTAGCTACTGAATTTTCGTTTAAGAGTACAAAAGAAGTATTTGGATTGCTCTAAAATACCCGATTGTTACTGATTTTGCTGACGAAAGCACTGTTATGTAATACAAGTAATGTAAATTTTATACATATCTATCTAGGTAAAATAACCTAGTTATAAAGGATCTTTTTTGTTGAATAATTGAGTCAAAGTTCCTTAATTTTTTTACTGTGATATAAATTGGTGAGCCCTTTGTTTTATGTATTTCCGGTGAATATTCGGCATGTATTTGTTTGCGTATACACAATAAGTGTTGCTATAATGGTTCAGACCAGCTTATGTAAATAAAACAATATATTTTGGCTTTCATGTTGAATTCCACAAGTTGTGTTTACGTGAGTGTTGTTGGAATTGTAATGTTTAAGTTTTAAGCTCTGAGTCCGTTTGGAAACCAGTTAATTTTGTTAAAAAATATTTTCTTTCGTGGCTGCCAATAAATTACAAACATGTATACCATTTTCATTTGTTTTATTTTGCGATCCTAAACATGTCTAAGGGTCGACAGCGCATCTCGTTTGAATGTTATGAAGCGTTCGTATTTTAATTTCTTCCAATCCGTTCACTCCATCCTTGTCTGACCTCCTACGACCCAAAAAAATTCAGTTCAATAAATTTTCTGAAGTAAAATTTGAAATAGAAGTTAATAGACTCAATTCTGTTTACTTTTTATCGAAAGCTGTTAAGCAGTTTTTGCTTGTAGTTTAGTACCTAATAAATAAAATTTATAACATATTTGCTCCTAAAGTGGTTGTAATTACACCAATTTCAATATCGTAATGTATCTTATTACGTACTTGTGCGATAATGTAATGTAAAAGGCACGTGTTTTTTTTTTATAAAGTTTTAAGATACTCCGTCTAAAAATGAACAATACTTTTAAAAATCTTAGCACAGAGGTTTTATGTCCAGAAAGTGGTCAATATTTTATGAATAAAATTAACTTTAGGAAATAAAATCACTCACTTTTAAAAATTGTTCAAATGTTTATAACTGCTTTAACAATTAATTAAAGTTTTATTAATTTCCTCGTAAATAAGTTTTAAAACGTCGTATGACATACGTGCGCTTTGATAATTACAGCCTCTGCTTTCTTATAGCCCTCGCCAATGGCTCGGGCTAGTAATATCGCCTCGGCTGTAATTTTCTACTTACCGCACTTATATCATAATGTACTATTATTATAGGCCCTTAGGTTTAAAGCGTAGACTCTCATTATAACAGATCATTTTTAAAAACCGTTTTGGATTGTTAGAAGCGTTCTAAGCCGTTAAAGGTTTTATTTAGAAATAAAAAAATATGTTCAATATCATCATATTTATTATCGTGGGCACATTGTAGACAGCTGATATATTACATTTTGACGTAAATCTTTAACATTTCCAATTTGTCTAATAACAGTGTAGCATAAATAAAATAAAAACTAATATATTTCTTAATAAAAATACTGTAACAGCGCAAAAACTTTTAAGTACATTTTCAAATAGATGTAGTTTTCTATGAAAATATCTTTTTTTTACTATGTTAATTCATACAAATGTTCTGCAATTATGAGTAGAGACAGATCACATATGAGGGCAAATCTAGGGGAAAAGTCACTAACCTCCCTTTTGTTTTGCCTCTCCTTGAATACCTACATGACCTGTAATTTTTATTTTTTCAAAATTATTCTAAATCCCACCAAAACTCGGGCTATTTTGACACCCAGATTTGCCCTTTATGAAACAAATGTTCTGTAATGTAATTATATCGGCTTGTTTCTTTAAAGCCATCTATTATTATGAACATAGCTATCGATATAAACTATTACTATAAAAATATGTCATTAGGAACTACTTATTGTGACCTATTATAAAGTATTGCATTTCTATGAGACAATTATATTTTTATTTCTCTTAATAATGGTGATGTTTATAAAGTGGCATGGACAATTTTGTTTTAGGTATATTTAATGGATAAATAAACAGCAGCTAATGTAGCGAAAAAATTAACCTATAGATTAATTTTTTTCGCTTTCTTAATTGTTGTAATATAAATGAGCATCATAATTTGACTTTTATGAGAAATTATTCATTAAAATAAAATATGTATCGCGTAATGATCGCAAAATTCAGAAATTTCTGAATTAATTTAATTACTGTTTATTATTGTAATAGACCGCTGGTTCCAATCCGGCTTGAAGGACCACCATGTCACGAACTTTAAAAAATACACTAAGGTAATGCTAAAAAATATAATGTAGAAACGATAACCGCTGACGCAGGAATTATATGGTCATTAAAAACGCAAAAAAAAACTGAAAGAGGCCCGATATTTGGCGCATTATATTCAGTCTTATCGAAAGACATGTGATGGGTGTGAAATAAAATGAATGTCTATGGGGTATACGTATATTAAGGTGGGTCTAGGTGCGATCTGTGGATGGGCGGCGAACTGGTCTCGGTGGGATAACGAAGTCGTGGTGCGCGGGGGCTGCGAACGGATTGCTCTGAGCGAAGCCCGCGCTCGCTGATGTCTGCCGTTGTGGAGTTGCGCCGGCGCGTCGTTGAGGTGACGCTCTGTACACAATAAATCTTCATTAGTCTCCAAAAATGCTATTACGAAGTACTTAAATAGAAGTTGATAAACTATGAAAAATAACAAGTTGAAACGGTATTTCTTTATAGAATTAATTGTTTAAGTAATGCATACTTTTAACAGGTTGAGTATATAAGTTATTAGGGTATGTACATTTGTACGAAATTATGTTCTAAAAAATATTCCGGTTAAACAAATAAATTCTCAATGCGCCATTTAAGTGGAAATGATCCTTTCTCAATAAACTTAGAATTACAACGATTTTGACGAAATGTACGTCGGTACCAGAAGATTAAAAGGAGCTTAATAATAATCTAAGAATAGATTACTAAATATTCTTGGCTATAACAGTCTAGACAATCACTCAAGGAGAACATGGGCTGCTTTAAACAATCCTTCTTCTACTAGTAAAGCTTTATACAGACAAGGATAACAAAATGCTAAGACGAAGTTTGCAAAAGCGGATTCATGTTATGCCATCTACAGAGCGAAAGCAACACAGACTACTTTGAATGTACTATTACTTAGGTGAGGTGTTGAATTCGACGGCAGACATTTGCCGCGGTGGTAAAGCCGGCGGCGGACCGGGCCGAACGTTCGTACCACTCGCTACCCCGCCGGACACGCCCACCCGCGGCGGTATCTGCATACACATCCGTTTTTACGAGCGCTTAGTAATGTATTACAGCCGGCGCGAATTACCCTTTAGCTATGAATTCTAAGTATTATAAGATTTAGTAATGTCTGTAGTTTATGCGAGTTTATGAGAGTACACTTTTAAGTAAAACACTTTTAACGGTTTAAATCGCGACAAATATTAGTATCCCCCCCGGAGGGATCCAAAAGTTAGGGCCGTAGTTACAATAAATAAGTTATGTAATATAAGTCGCATTTCAAACCGTTGAAAGTGTTTTAATTATCGCCTGCTGGCAAAATGACGAGGGCGTACGCTGAGTCCTGAATCCGTAGCCAAGCAACGGAAAACATAAGTTTTCTTCCAAATTAGAAGTCATATAAAACGAGTCCTATTTATCTATCATTTGTCAACGTTTGATGTACCAGTTTTACAATCCGTAAAACGCGTTCTACTGTCACTCAGGACTCAATCTAGATACAGCGTTTAAATTTAAGTCCTAATAACAATGATATCAAACTTATATTTTTAATTGTAAATTGCTTACTGTTGGTGGATCATGAGATTTTGGTGGAGATGATTGTGATTGAGTCCTGGAAAGACGTTGTTGTAAGGGCGCTGGAGGGGGTGGACGACGCGGGGGTAGACTTCCCGTGCGGTGTGCCAACACTTTTCCACTATCTCCGTCTCGGTCACTCGTTAGACGTCCACTATCTCTTTCGCACTCGCTCGTCCGCCTGCTATCTCTCCCATTATCTTTTATACTGTCTCGTCTCTCTAAACTTTCATGCATTTGTCGCGTTGTGGCGTAATCCTTGAAAAGGAAAAATATTTAAGAAGTAGAGCATCGTTTAATCTATAATTAAATGTGTTTAACGTATATTTCTTAACTTAAAAGCTAAGAATAGGACTTAACAGACTAGAATAGGACTCACTTAGTAGGAGAAATACTCTAGCCATATAACATCTAAACACGATAGTCTATTGACCTATTTTGGTTTTGGATATCCAGAAATCCACAAACTGAATCCGAAATGCTATTAAGCTTGACGGCTTTTTAATCTGTGGACGGTGTTTCGTGACCCGCAATGAATTTAGATATTACCCATTAAAAATTCACATTTCCAGACGAAATCCAACATGATTCAGAAAAATTATAAATAAAAAAATACTCACGTTTCGTACGTCCGGTCGTTCAGGCAGTGTCCGCGATGCTTGGTGAGATCTGTCAATTGGTGGTGACCTCTCAACCGATCTGTCAGACTGATGTGGTCGTTCAGGCAGAGTTCTGGAGGTCTGCCTATCCGGAGGTACTCTGGGACGGTCGCGGGACGCTTCTGGACCTTTTGACACCCTGTCTTCATAACGACTTTCTGATCCTGGTTTTTCTACCTGTAAAGTCATACGCGGTCTTTAGTTTTTTACAGAGGGCGAAGTGACAGTTCCAAAATGATAACGAATGTAAAAACACGCACGCAGTGGAAATTATACCCCACAAAAAACATAGAAAGTGCAAAATAATCCTCTAAATTGGAATTAAAAATCGATTTTAAAGAAATTGTACGGAATAAAAAATATATAATTTTCCAATCGAAATAGTTAAATAGATTTTAAAATGTCCGCTTAATCAATTATATACTTACATATCATATATATGGTTTTAATGATAAAGAAGGACAGACATGTCATATATCATCTATAGCATCTAAACATTTGCGCTGGTGACCTATTTTGGCATTGGATACTCGGAAATCCACAGACTGAACGCGATTAAGCTTCACAAAACACAATCCCAATATTCATACCTGCTCTTGCACGTTGGATGAACTGGTACGAGCCTGGGCGCCATGTTGCGGTGACGGCGGGAGGCGCGCTGCTTGCTCAAGAATAGCTTTCTTCTGTTCCTGACCTGCCGCAAAGTACGAGAACACACACAGGACCGCGTAGCATATTTGGTCCGCCTATAAATTAATTGGTTCTTATAGCTTCCTTTAAAACTACAATCATAGAATAAAAACAGTTTGAATTCTAAGTATTATAAGATTTAGTAATGTCTATACTTTAGGCGAGTAGTACACATTTAAATAAAACACTTTAACGGTTTAAAACGCGATATATATTAGTTAAACTAATTTGTCTCCCTGTGACTACGACTGCTGCAAAGCATCCGAAACGTCGGGCCGTAGTTACAATAATGTTTAAATAAGTTTAACTAATATATGTCGTGTTTTAATCCGTTAAAGGGTTTTATTTAAATAAGTAAACGTAGTTACCAATTTTTGATCAGTTAATAATAATACTAAGCAAAAGTAAACAAAGCAATAGCAAAATATTAAAAGTGCAATGAGAACATAAAGCTAGCAAAGAGAGCAAAAATGAATTAAACCAAAAGTCACAAGTACATACTTCAGGGCTAGGGAACATAAGGTGAGTATGACCATTCGGGTTCATCTAGCTGAACATATAGATAGTACCGAGAAAGCCATATGGAGAAGAAACGATGGAGATCAAGCACTACTTTCTCTGCCTACAAAATAAAATGGTGCTTATCAGTGCGTGAGAAACACAGAACAGGATATTTCCCACAATCACGCTATTTAATGCAAATACAACTCAGAAATATGTATTAATCTAATATGGTCTACGTCTTTAACGATTAAAAACGTCAGGCCATAGTAAAAGATAACGAGTAATAACTTTTCGCATTTTAAACCGTTAAATTGTATGTAAAAATCTAAAAAATAACGTGTTTGTAGAAAATTCTACTCCAATTAAACTTACCATAACTGATTTGTACTTTCTTTGCGTTATTTGTCTTGTCTTTGGATCTGGAAATTTAGTTAGATTCATTGGAAAATTGAAATAAATATATCTATACTACATATTAGGGGCTAATACTTACTGAATTCTTCTAAAACGAAGATACCGCCATTCTGTGTGAAGCATTTTCTGATGTGATCCAGTCTCACAAAGAACTGTAAGATAATGTTTAATTTACCTCATTTATTTATATATTTCTACGCAGGCAAATACTGCTGCCGACATCTGACGGGCGATTAAGATATTTTGTACTTGATACCCGACAGAACAAAAGAGTGTTTCAAAGAGTTTGAGTATTGTTTCGTCATTTTGTTGTCGGAAGCGATATTTGGTTTTTTTCGTTAGTTAGCGGTACCGTGAAATAGCTTCTTATAGCGTGCATTTAGCCTAAAGTTTTTTTCATTTTTAATCTATGTCTTTTTCACTTATTTAAAAAACATTCAATTTAGGTTCACAGCAAACCAAAAACACAAATCGTTACAAAAATAGACACTAGAAGAAATACTACGATATTATCTCCTACGTTATACAGCCTTTCATGAGTAGTAAATAGATACTACAATAAAATACCATGCATTAACTACATAAAAGTATATAAAATTCAAGCATAAAATAAGTACTAAAACTCAATTACTACATTAGGAATTAGCATTGGACATTTAGTACGCTTTGTGAACTACAATTTATTACTTAACATTATCGAATTAAACATTATGTTTTATTGTTATCAAACATTTAGATAATAATAAAACAAACGCGTTTAACACGCAGAGTTATTTATACAATAAAGCTCTTTTCAGACTCAGCTTTTTGCTATATAGTATAGCATTACCTTTATACTGTATAGTACAGACTATAGGCGATATATTTAAAAGCATATATATTTTCAATGGCGGCTGGGTGCGAGGGAAGAGGGCGGTGGACGCAGCATATAATACACTCAATGCATTGTTCATACAGTAGTTAAATGAGATGTCCATGATGTGGTATGAGCTTTCATTGCTGTTTAGCGTAGTCTGAGAAGAGCCTTAGGCGGTGCAAGGATGCGCGTGATGGTGTGCGTGGGTGCGGGGTGCGGGGAGGCGAGAGCGAGGGGGTGCCAGGGCTGAGGGCCGGCAGAACTTGTGAGATGGCGAATGCTCTACGACTGACCTCGTCGCAGCGTCCGTCAGCTTACGCCTACGGAAACGCTCGCTCGGGCTCCGGGCGGAAGGGAACGACTGACCCGGTATCGTGCGAATGACAGATCTAAGAGACCGCTCGCCGGACGATCCGTGAATGCAAGCTATCGGGTGCGGTTATGAACAAATAAAAGAAAGGGCGACTATGTGCATGCACGACAGCGCGCGCGGGCGCTCGCCGCACTCGGGACAACTAAAACAACGCTAACAACGGCTAAAAACAATCGAAAAGCCTCAAACTACAAGTAAAGCCCTACGAGCTCGGACGATCGCCGCCAATGCACACGCTACGGTGACCGCGAGGCGTCGTGCCGATCGTTAGAGCCGTCCATTACTAGGTTATGAACCACTGAATACCTCGAAATCCTTCAGCGGCGCGGCGGCAGCGGGTCCGGGGAGAGAGAACAGACAAAAACATGATATTAGTTGAGGGCGGCCGAGCGCTACTCAAGGACCATCTCAAAAGTTCCTAGCAGAGCGCCGCAGCGGGACGGGTGATGCAGACAGATAGCGCATGCACAGATCATATACCGATATGGATAGACCAATGGACGTTTAACCTTAAATGTAAATAAAACAAACAAATGACTAGCTATTACATCGAAATAGTAATAGAAAATACAAAAATTATTTAGCAAAAGCTGCATATTTCGCTCGGTCTTAAGAAGTTCTAAGAGGTAACGGGCTCGAAAGATACTTACATCGTCGGGAATTCACAATAAGATAATATGTTAAAGGGAGAAGTGAAAATAGGAAAGTTTGAGAGGTCCTTGCACGGTCTTCATATAATAAACAATGGATCTAACGACTATAAAGTTTTGAGGGTTTTACAGCTAAATATTATAAATATAGTTAGTACTAGTTTTACTTTCGACAGAGAATTACAAGAATGATATCCTCCCTAATGGACTTAATGACGGAGTATAGAAGTGTGTAGGGTTACTTAAAGCAATGTACTAACGTCACTGGTACGATCAGACAGAGAAGCGGCCAGCCAGGGCCTTAGCCAATTGCATGGAACATCGTCTCTTCAGAACGACATTCAGAGACATAATTGATACTGAGAGAAATCTTCCAGAAATCAAGCGTAGAACATACAGACAGCTTACCTTCTCTCAATAGTAATGTGTATACCAAAACTATAGATATAAATATTAATGTATTGTTTTGGTATATCGCGGCGTATTACGTACATAAAAAAGCGGACTAAAATGTAGGTGCACGATAAAAATTGAACCTACCTTGCTGTGGTGGAACAGAAGACCCACGCCTTCCATGCAAACCTTTAACATATGAATCATTTCGTAATATTAGGTTCATACTCTTGGAGAAGTTAAAATTAAAGCAAACATAAAATTTAGAAGAAGAAGAAGTATAATTTTGACTCAGCACTGCAAGCTTTATGCTCCTAGTTTTGAGAAAATGCTAAAATTTATAAAGCCTTTATGAAAAGTATAAAGTATATAAAGCCTTTATGAAGAGTATTCATTGTACAATAACAATGATGATTGATGTTTATCAATTATTCGTCGTATCCTTGTAAATGTTTAATTGCGACTACTAAAACATTGAAATGAAATATTGTGCTGAATTTTGTTCATATTAAACGTTCGTGTATGACGTTTGTTGGCGAGAAAAGAAATTAAACAGAAGACAGTGAGACCTGTATGAGCCCGCCCTCTCCAGAGGCGCAATCTTGCACGGGAAACTCTCCTCCCAACTCTGCTGCCTCTTGCTTTCTTCCGCTCTTCTCCATAGCCTCTTTAATGCTGTAGTACAGCGCTTTGCACTAGTGAACAAAATTTTCTTTATTTATACAGAAAATATTTAAGGGAGTTATATTTCCCGGAAACGCAAACCATTTTTCTAAAGAGGCATTACCTTTTTAGTATAATATTTATGTAACTGAGTCTGGCCACCATTTTTCCTCCAAAGGCACAAAACTCGTATTTTAGGGCTATACGTCATGTTTACTAAACGTTCGTACCACCATCGCTCAATTATCGTACCTGGAAATTAGTTTTAATGAATAAATTGTAGGCAGATATATTTGAACCCATTGTTTCAACTTGTACGAAGATGTGACAGTAATGTTATATTTAAGTAAAGTGTTTGTGTAGAAAATATTTTTTTTGTTTTTCTTTTAAATTACAAAATAGGAATATTTTTCATTGTTTTAAATCTACATTATGTCAAAGGCACAGCGGTCAGTTGAGTTGACAAGGATATTGGACGTACAGTAAAATACAATACAATAATTAATAAGTCGGTGAAACTAGCTGAGTGGTTTAGCAGATAGACAAAATAACTTTGTATGTTTTACTTATGACACACAGACACACGCCACAGCTATATTATAGTATAAATTTACGTAAAGACTCCTATTCTTACATTAAAAACACTTGCTCTGTAAAACATAATGTTTACGTTACGTTATAAACTGTACCTTGTGTTGATCGTAACACAAGACCATCAGTCCGGACCTCCATAAAACGTAATGGCCCAGACGCATCTCGTTCGTGTACCGTAAACGAGGCGCGACGTGCTTGACGAGAACCCAGGGCTTTTAGTTCAATATCGTTGCCATGCTGGGAAGCCAATAAAAGACTAAGATGTAGTTGTAGATTACGATTGGGATTATTATTTATGGAGAATGGGTATTTCAAATTCACAAAAATATGGAGGAGCAGTTAACTTACCAAGTTATGAACAACATCTAGAAGATGATTGACTTCTTGACTGTACACGAGGCCTATATGACTCTTAGCTAAAAGCCTTCGCACTTTATTCCTTACAATATCAGATTCAACACCAAACAGCACCATGGCCGCGGTCAAGTTATATAAAGCCGTAGACAAGAGTCTATCTTCCTCATGTTCCAGACGTTTCCTCTCTGTCTCACTGAGGCATTTGTATCTCTCCATCATTTCATTAGCTCCCTGGTCCATTCCGATCATATCACGTTCTTGACTAACAGCATCAAGAAATGCGTCCTCCCAAAATTGCATTTGGTCCCATAAATTCGATCTTTCCTTTCCTATATAAGAATATAGTTTTAGATATTTAAAATTTCAACCTTTGAATGTGGATTTAGGGGGAAATCTTGAGATACATTCTTAAGACACACTTCAGAAGACACAGACTCTACTTCTTATTTTACGAATTTACCTATTAATCCCTGATAGAGATAAGTTCTTGCAGTATCTGGAGAAGTGAGAGGCGATGTTGCTGGAACTCCAACTGGGGGCTTGTAACTGCTAGTGGACTTGGAGGAAAATACACTGCCGGTGCGTGGTTTCCCTCCTCCGCGACATACCTGCGTAAACTACGTTTTATGTATCCAAATATTCAATTATAGAAAAAATCTAGAAGAATCACCTACGAGATATAAAACGCTAAAATTTGCAAGTATATTTATATCTGTAATACGTACCACGTTTACATGTAGAAAAGTAGTGCAAAGAAGTAGTTAATGGCGTCATATGTGTCGTTTTAATCAATAAATAATTAGAGAAAATACTAAAGCCTTAAAAAATAGTTCAATGAATATGAATTAAATTTAGATATGTTACAAGTATAAATGACTGATTTGTATAGAATATCGAGGTGTTTTGGAAAGGGTTCCGTACCAAAAAACTTACTGGTAAAACTGAACTGTTTTACTCTACCATCTGTCTATCTAGGCTGTATTTCGTTTGCGTGATAGATAGAAACTCAGTTCATGTATTTCCGAAACCACTTTAAACTAAGATTATAAAGATATAACAAATGTGTTTTCGAAAGTTTTTGAAAATACAAAACCCTTTGTGAACGAGTCCGACCTGCACGGTTATGACATCGCTTCGTAGACTAAGCATACAGCTGATGGGGTGCTGTCCAGTGGCTGCGTACATCGAAAGCGGATGATAAGCGTACGCGGGATCTATGACTTACATCGAGGTACATGACGTCAGTGTCAGAGAGATTGGATTTAAAGGAAGCGCGATGGTCGTGGATAGTGGCTCGGTTTGTGGTGATAGAGCCTTCACCCACCGAGCACTCAGATTGCGCCGCCTGTTGCCAATATAATAGTGTACCTAACTTTACTACACTAAGGAAGCACGCTACTGTTCTTAAACCCATATCAATCAAGAATTACAAATTGGATATACCTAAAGGATGTACTATTTGTAAGTTAACTCAACAAAAACTCGATAAAATGGAAACAAATCCAATAATTTCTAAATATATACACAATCTATAAAATGCAAGTCAAAAAATCCAATGGCTCAATACAATCTGCTTACTATCGTCCTATGCATGTTTTCACCATAAAACCTCGCTTAAACAAATTCTTAATACCGTTAAACTAAATATAACATCATTTAAATATCCACCACCTTAATTATCATACATATGTTTAATATCATAACACACTAAGCCATGCTAACTGTATCTTTAGTGTAACATATAATGGGTAGTTCTCATGCAACAAGAGTATGTATGTAAATTCAATGTATACATACGTCAGAGTCGAAAGAGGTGAGCTTGCTAAACAGAAGGTTTCGTTTGGAATTCAACATGTCTTTGAATATTTCTGATGTCGTCTGAGCATCGTTTGGATCCATGTCAGGATAGTTTAAGACTGGCATGTCTGTAAAAAACGTTGGTTATAAAATATTGACTCGTAAAAATTTGCATCTTCTTGGCTCAGCTGTATACTCTAGATTTGAATCTTGAGGACAAGTATTTGTTTTAAAATCATTTGTATTTTTAACGGGACTTGAAATACCAATGCAACGTGCTGTTGCTCTAACACTTGAGCAAATAAATAAAAATATCTTAAATGCCCTGCAGTCAGCTTTAAATCACATAAAACAAAACAGGCAGGTCGGGCAGGCCTTGAACCATCGTCAGCGTTCCGTGCTGTTTCTCTAACATAATTTTTCAATTTACTTTCGGATTTTAATCTATATAGTTCCATCATGTACAATAACATGTCAAATGTTAAAGTTTTTATGCTTTCAATTAGTTGTACTAATTATCCTTACCTGACTGTGAGCTTTTTCTGGACGAAGGCGTCGAAGAAAGTGATTCCTGGTCTTGCCGATAATGGTCGGTGAGCGAAGAACCGCCCATGCCACCCTGTTCCAATCCCGCCACTTCCTTACTCCAATAATGTGTATGCGCCATCTCAGTCAATTGAAACACGGAGGCCATCCCACCCAAACCGAAATTTGAGTATGTATGTTCTAATCCATGCACCACAGCTTGAAGTACCTTGAGCATGCCCTTCCAGACCGGTTTGCTAACAAACTAAAAAACAAAACCTTTTTTAAATTTCGATGACCCGGACGGGACACAAACCCATGTGCAATAGTAGTCATGTGAAAAACAATATGTAAGGTCTTGTAAAATTTTAAAATGTGTACTTAGAATTAGGATACTTATAATGTATAGAACATAATAATATGTATATTTGAAAATTAAAGTAAGTTTTCAAAATTGGCACAATGAAAAACTTCGTTTTGGGACGTCCGACGAAAGTTACAAACTATTAGAAAAGTTTGTAACTTTCGTTGGACGTCGTCGTGTTGTAAGTCTAATTATTTTATTTGATCTTGCGCAATATAAAATGTTTGATGTTATATAAAAAATTTGTTTTTCACTGATAAATATAACCCATAATGTACTGGAAATAATGATTGAACTTTATAAAGTAAAAATGTTCGTGACACTATAGTACCCTTAAATTGGTAACATCTATTGATTCGAGTTTTTTTACTAATAACTTTAACTTACCACATCCTCGACTTTGTCATTAGGCGTTGTCTTCCTGTTAATATTTCTATTGAGTTTGCTGAGAACCATGTTTCTGTAAGACTCGTCCTCCATTAATTTCTTCAAGCGGTTTAATTTAAGCCATCCTACACCTTCACCTTCTAATACGTGTTGGATTAACTGCAAAAAAAGGATTTGAATGAACACTTTTTAACGAATTAAAACGCAAAATGTATTGGTTAACGTATCGTTAACCCTAAACGCTTTTTATTTAAATGTGTTTTACTACAAATGAAAATTCAAAAATTTTACAATGTAAATTTCATATGCACAATGTAATTATTTTATCACAAGGTACAACGCTTGAAACCTGAACAGACACAAGGTACAAGTTGTCTCTAGATTTTACAGGCCTTTTTTATGTAGATCCTTACAAAGTAATTTAAAAAAATCAATGAAATATAAGCTCCTCACGTCATTAAGAAAGGCTTGGTTTTCAGCGTTGGGCGAGCGTGGAGGCTGCTGCTGAGGAGGCGCAGCGGGTGTCGCGTGACGAATCAATGGCGAGCGCTGGACAAGACCGCGCGCGCCTTGAGAGAATGGGCCAAAGGTTGCCGAGAGTGGCGCTGATGATGGCGTTTCAGGTGGCTTCGGTTGTTTTCCTACAATTACAATCATATATAAAATAATCATCTCCATGAAATTTAATAATAAAATTAAGTAATATACAAAAACGTTTTTAATCTCGTTGCTTAACTATATATAATCAACGATCCTAGCAGGGTCCATCATATTTTAATCACTACATTTTTTCTGAAACATAAAATTCTTAAATGACATGAATTCAAAATTCCGTCCGGGTCACGAACCATCATCCGCAGATGAAAAAGCTGTGAAGTTTAATCGCGTTTTGGTTTAGGTCGACAGGGCACCTTGTTTAGATGTTCTTGCTGGGGTATTTTACCTACAATGAAGTGACCCCATGCTTGTCTGTTCTTCTCTGCCATTAAAAAACCCTTTATTATTATTGACTGTTAACATTGGACCAACAAGCCCCTCAAAAGTGCTTATCTTCTAAACACTAAAAACACGTGAAACCATACCTTTAGACCCGAAGAAATCGCTGAACATGCTGGAGGTTGAAGCAGCTAGGCCATTGAGGTCAGAACTAATGTTTGAGAAGAAATCTCTGTGAGTAGTTGCGAGAAGTGTCGTCGTTTGAAGAGCAGCAGACTCCCGACGTCCCATAGGCCCTGGACCTTCTTGGCTCTCACCCTACATACCAATATGAATAAATATCTACACTGTAAACTTTCCGAAATAGATAGAACGCATTTTGGGATCTCATCTCATCACGAGACCAACAAATTACATTAACTATGTACAAACATCGTACATTAACAGGTATCATTAATCATTTCAACTTATAGTGAGTAACGAAACCCTATAAACCTACCTTTAATAAACCCTTCTTTGCAGCAGCTTCCTTGGCGCTCTTAGTAAGATCCCCTAATGTAGACTTTCCTACATAGGTGAGGTCTTCAAATGTATTTTTACTGACCGCCGTCGCCGTTTTACTGGCCTCTAGAGCAGATTTGGAAGCTTCTTGTACACTTTTAGATGCCTCTTCGGCAGCTTTCTTTGCGTGAGTTGTTAGCTGTAATTTATTATACATCAATGACTATAAGAAAAAACAATATTATGTAACAAAACAACAGTTAAAGTTGAAATACATATTTTAGTGCTACAAAACCGAGCTATGAATGCTATGCAATAATAGTATTAATATAAATACAACCTAAAGCGACGTGCTTAAGTGAATTCCATATGGTGAGTTCATTGACTTAGGAATCGATGGTGAAGCCGCCATGAGATGAACGATTCCCATAAAAGCAATCCATAACATGTTTTATTTGTATGAAGTGTGTAATAAATTATAAATTAATAGTGTATGCTATAATATCTAGGCATTTTCATAGTGTATACCTTATCGAAAGGAGCGAACATTTTCTTATCTTCTCCGTGTTCTTGTCCTTTCTTGCGGATAAAGCAAAGATTAAAGAAAAATCAAACGAAAAATAAGAGTAGTAGCGTAAAGTTTTGATTGATTGAAGATTTTGTTCAGTACCGCCAATTCACAGTATGTTTGAATTTCTTTTGTGAACATAAAATTGTATTACCTTGTCCATATGAGCAAGGAGACCCTCTTGGCTACTCTGTCGCGTGGTTTCCCTCACTAATTCCTTAGCTTGAGCTGCGAACTGTTCCAATAATGACGTCTGTGATGCTTGGCGTGAAACGCCTCCAGAACTCTGGAAACAAATCTAAGATTTAAAACTACTTTTAAGGTAAACCGGAATACCGCTTTTAAATAAAACACTCTAAATGTTTAAAAGGCGATATAAGTGAATTATTTACAAATGATTTTTAACTTCGGCTCGACGTTTCGGATGCTTTGCAGCAGCCACGTGGTCACGGGGAGACTGGTCGTGTCTCCCCGTGACCCGTGATATATCGTGTTTTAAACTTTTAAAGTGTTTTATTTAAATGTTTACTACTCGCGTAAACTATGACTAGACTGTAATAAAATGCACCTTTTAACAGATTATATTAATATTTAAGTAATCATGTTTTTAGGGGAGGGTATAGGTATATGCGTTATCTATCTCTTACGCAAACGGTCTATCAACTCAATTAGAGAGCAACAGCACAGAACACTGACGATGCCGGCTCAAGTCCTGCCCGAGTCGAAAATATTTTCAATTTATTTTCGATTTTTAAATTATACACTGCCTTCATGTGCAATAACATGTTAAAAATAATAAAGTTTTCAACTGTATCGTAAACCAAAACTTTAGCTTCATATTAAAAATAAGATTAAATGAAAAATGATCGAACTGATATTTTTGTTTAATATTCTGTTCCATCTTAATATGCTATCTATTCTATATTATATGAAATGTTCTATTTTAATATTCTGAAAATGGCTTTCAGTCCTTATCTTTATTATCCTGATTATCTTACCTTTGTTCTATTAGCAAATTGTGTCCGTGCATATGCGCTTGCGTCTCTTTCGTGTGCTGGACTTGCCTCTCTACGTCCCGCCCTCACCACCGTGGCCGGGGTCGTAGTTGAATTTGAATCGGATTCACGACCAAAACTACCACTATCTGTATCCTATAACAATACAGCGCCATTACTAGATACCATATTAAATGGATATTTATATTCTATTCTATGAAATGTATGTACATAAAGTAGTGGATAAGAAGATTTTTTTTTACGGAACATCAAAGCAAACAAAAACTTTATGTACTTTGTCAGAGTGTTAGCAATAACCTAAAATTGTACATAGAATGAGAGTCACATAAGCCTAATGGTGCAAGAACTCCAGTTAAGACCCATCTTAATTCCTTGAGGTCACGTAAAAATAATTATAATCTTCGTGTTATTCTGATATGTGATCCCCTTGGAACCAATGATTCTACAAAATCCAAAACTCAACGTTCAGATTCATTAATATAGTTCCGACTTCTATTAGACTTGTGACCCCCCGAAGGACCATTAGGTGATTGTAATATTCGGTATACAAAGACGCAACTTACAAGAATACTTACGCTTTTCTTCACAGGTGCTGGATTTCCAACTTCGTTGCTATCAGGCGGTAGATCGTCATCAGAGAGATCGCTATGCTCCGAGCTGGAGGGCGAAGGAGAAGGTGAAGACTCACGTGCCTGACCACGCTGCTCTTCTTCCTCCTCCCCATACATCAGCGAAGAGGGGGGACTATACACCTAAGTGCATATATTTTTTAGCAATATATAACATTGTTTGTATACAACAAAACAAATGTTTTGGTTAAACAATTGACACTTACAGTTTTGGGATCTAATGATGAAGACAGCGTCATAGGTACTTGAATCACGGCGTTATATGTTTCTCCCACCACATGTTGCATTCCTCCTCCTAACATAAAATTCATTATTATATACTAATCTGCTTGACATAGTTAGTCGGTATTTGATTTTAAAGCATCCTTTAAACGTTGGGCCGTAATTAAGAGTTCATCAACTTGTATAGTTCGTGTTTGAAACCGTTAAAAATTCCTTTCTTGTATCTTACTCCCATACATACTGAAAAAATGAAGTTAATTTTTTTCTGACTAAGAATATACAATACTTTTTGTCTCCGAAATATTGCAACTCTCTTCTCAAAGAAACAGAAACGATAGTAAGATGGAGAAATGAGTTAATGATAATAATAGTAGGATATAACCGTATTAACCTGGAGATAAGTCGGAAGACGCCATTTCAGAAACAAAATCACTGAGTGATGAATATGATGAGCTCGTGCTTTCTGCTCCATCCGAATCAGAGCCACTTTCATCTACAAATACAAAAACAAAAGGTTATCCTTCAAATTCATTATAACAAACAGAATAAAATAGATTACACCAAATGTAGCAACCAAAACCACGTGATAATTGAAACAAAATTATTATAACATGAGTTGGGCAGGACTTAAACTCACAAGTCATCACGTCAAGTTTGAATAATTTGTTCACATATGAAAAAGTCATGAAGTTTAATCGCTTTTCGGTTTCAGTCTGTAGATTTACGAATATCCAAAGCCAAAATACAGAGCATTTTGTGTAGATGTTATATGGCGGGGGTATTCCACCTCCCATCAAGAACCACATGCTTGTCTTGTCCACCTCTATCATTAAAAAAAATATTCTACTCCTTTATCTCTTTGTCTTGTTTCAGAAAACTAATCAATACAAATCGACAACCAATAATACCTGTAGGTTGATTTTCCTGTCTTTGCAGTTGTCGCAAAGCTCCATTAAGCGAACTACCGTCATCCCAGACTTCAAAGCGTACTGGTTGCAGCGTGTCCGCAAACCATTTAGGCTTATCCCCAACTTGTCGAGGGTCAAACACTCCTGTTTGGACTCGCAAGAAAGCAACATTGTGAGGAGTCAAGGACCATTCCGCTAGGAACTCCACCGCCTGTTACAAAAACGAATTGAAAATTACAAAGACTTTGTTGGAAAAAAGAGCAAAGAGACCCGAGGAGTATTTCGGTTATTAATAATAATATTTAAATTAAATACTTTTAACGATTTGAAACGCGAAATATATTAGCAGACGTGGTTACGGTTACACGCGGACCACAGCTGCTGTAAAGCATTCGATATATTGAATCGCAGTAAAATTAAATTACATTACTTAACGAGTTTTAAACCTGTTAACAGGTTTTTTTTTTAATGTGTACTACTTGCGTAAAATACAATACACTACTTAGCATATTTACAAATTTTACCTGTGTTCTAGCGAATTTGTTAAGGAAAGCTGATGTTCTCGGCCGTGATCGCAGAAAACTGTTGATTTGAAACGCGACCACTGGTCGAGGGTATAAACGCAACGTGCGCGTGTGTTCCATGAAGTTAGCTAAGACATTCTGCGAGTTGAAGAAACGCACCTGTTGGGAAAAAAAATCTATATTCAAAATATTGGAATATTTGTTTCTGTACTTTTACGAATCTCGGTAAATTGGTCAAACAACTGATTGTCAGAATGGCGAATACTGCTACATAACCAATTAACGTCTTAAGAGGATGTCACTCTTCACCCGTGGTGCTAGAACATTTCTTTTCACATGTATATGATATTTTAATTAAGCAAATAAAAGCTGAGGTAGTACGCCTTGAAGTGAACCGCATGCATATTTGTCCTCCATCTTAAATAATTGTTATTACAAAAGTTTAAGTAGTTAAGATTTGACGTAGCGAGTATAAGCTCTATACTTACCATCGCAACTCTCGTAGCTACATCAACTGAGTCGACATCATTTCCATAAATGAGTGGGTTGAAGGGCTGCTGAGGAGAATGTGGTTGGGACTGTGGTGAATGTGTTGATGCAAAGGAATGCCTTTGGGAGTGGGCAGCGCTGCCGACAGACACGCGACGACTTTCTGGCGTGCTGTGAGACCCTTGAAGGTTGTCTTTGAAAGACGGAGTTTGGACTCTGGAATGGTGAGAAATCTTATTGGAAGATATTTACAAAATTTCAGCAATCCTATTAGCAGCTCACGTCGGCCGAACAGCCCGAGAGATATGCTGAACGATGGCCGTGAAAGCCTTACACAATTTAGCGAGGAGGCGAGGAGATTCAATCAGGAAGCCTAGTTATCTTTCAAACAAATAGCAGTGTGTATTGAAGTTTTCTCATAATCAATGTAAATGTAATGTCATTACAAAAATAATATAATAACAATTTTCTCATAATAATCAATTTTATAATATTCTAAAATATCTTAATAAGCTATTTTTCCAGAATTAATCTTTAGTACCAGATATTTTTTATATTTCAATACTTACTTGAGAGTGGCACCACCCACGCTGTCTCTTCTTGAAGGTAATATGGGAGCAGTGGCCTGTTCAGCAGACGTGTTCGTTAGACTGCTTAAAGCCTAATAAATCAGAGAAGCAATAAATAACTTATGAGGCATAATATAAACAATTTAATGATTTCAAATACAATTTGTGAAGTGCCTTTGTGTTCATAGATCATACAGCTTACAAAATTTGGGCATCGATCGAGCAAATAGCATACAAAGATAAATATTACTTGTATATATTCTACTATTTCATTATAGCAAAGGTAAGATACCTACTACTTCTTCATCAGGCTTATTAGCATTTTTGTATTCTAAGTAGTAATAGTTATTTCACACATTCTCACTGCTATAAGCGCAAAATATGTATATACTTTATTAAATGAAAGCACACGTTCTCTAAAAATGTTTTATGAACCTACAACTAACCCAATAGATATATTAACTTTTGAAACATCGTAATCTCATATAGTTTTAAGTTTAACACATTATATCGAGCTATTTTCAACTACTAATATTTCTCTACAAACTACATCAATACCTACGTCATACAAGTAGGAGCACGTAAATCCACCTACTAAAACCGACGTGTACATACACTTATCGTTTAACGCATGAAAACTTACACTCTTTATTTAAATTATATTTATTGTATTATGCACATGCTTAAAAATGTTTAAAGATGACTGAAACTGATGGAACTTGATTAGTGCTTTTAACAACACCATTTTGTCACATCAATTTCAGTCTATTTTATTCACGTTTCAGTTTGTATTTTATTCAGTTGGTTCATTGTCTAACTGGCGCAAACAAACAATACAGAGTGTGAATATAGTATTAGTTAAAAGTGGAAGTGTGCATGTAAAAAGAGTAGATATTTACGCCGGTTCCTGCTGTCCCCATGAGTTGCATAGCCTAGTGCGACAGGAAAGTGAAAATGTTTGGTTAGTGAGTTGACAGTTAAGATCGGAAGAATGTTACAAACATCAAGGGGAATCAATATGTGCTTTAGGCTCTTCTCAGACTACGCTATAATATAATAGTATAGAGTTCAGAGCATACAAATATCACATAAGTTATAGTGTAATTTTTCTAACTTGGCAAAAGACCACAACAAATATGACCGATTTTAAACCAGAGAACTAGCGATGCCCTTTTAAAGAGTGCAGTCATTGCCACAGCTAAAATGGGGCTAAAGAAATATCAATATTTAAAATAACAATTTCATTGTGGTCTAGGTAAATTTCATGCAAATTGTGTGTTTGTTTACCAAATATGCCAAGTAATAAAATATACATTATACACGTTCGCACTTTTCTATGGCTGCCGTTAGAAATTACATAGTAATGTTCTAGATCCTTCTCCCGTATACTAACAAGAAGTATAACGTAGTCTGAAACAAAATTAAGTGTCGCTTTTTCGATATCATCCGCGTTTCAACAAATTTAAGAAACATTAGGGTAACTGCTGTTTACGAAGTTCTGTCAAACTTTTTGCCCCAAATTTATAAAGAAATAAGTTTGATCGAAAAAACAACAATACCAGATGTTGAAACCTTTCTGTTATGTGCTTGAACAGATACATTTTGTATCTGAAGCATCCATTAAAATGGTAGATATATATAGATAGATTTTTTGTATTGCAGATCCTTGCCAATTTTACATCCACCATTGTAATGAACGTTATACATAATTCAATAGAGAAATAAGAAATTTTTTAGGTGATTATTTTTAAATATACTAATTATATCGCATTCAATAACAATAACTCTGCCACATAGATTTGGAGTGTAAGTGAAACAGAATAAGTGAAATACAAATACTAAAATGAAATTAGGCCCCACATTGAAAACAAATTACAGATACAATCTATGAATTCGTCCCACGCATACCGCCTTGTTACCTACCTGCCGTAAATGACTTTTCAAAACAGAACTTTCCGGTTCTGGTAAAGGCGGTAGTTCCTGGTCAGCTCCCGTGGGACTTGTTAACTTGGTGGCGTCCAAGTCCACAAGCCAAATGTCGTCTGGTAACCTTTTACATGGATTAATTAGTGAAAAACTAAAAATATGCCTTCAATGCGAATATTATCTTATCTTATATCTATAAAGTATATCTCAATTCTCTAACCTATTGTTTAGTTAATATTTATGGAACATGGCGTAACAATTTATATATTAATAGTTAATTAATGTTAGATTACATAATCTAACATGAATTATTTTTAGGATGAAATTACGTATTTGTAGTGTGTATTAAAAGCAAATGAACTTACTTGAAATTTTTCTTATACGTTAAGAAAGTGGCCGGGATTCCGATTAGGAACGGTGTTGGTGCCAAAAGCAGTTGCTCTGCGAAGCTCATACAGCTGGGTAGTAAGGGTATGGCCGGGAACATATACTCCAGAGGATATAGCATGGACACCAATGCCATCACAGACATGGAGAGGGCGTTATAGTCACGAGACTGGACCACCACCTTGTTCTCAAGAATTATCAACGTGAGAACTTTTAGGCAAGTGTCCACACCTGTACGAAAGTAAAAATACTTAATGTATGCTCAATGGTTAAATGTGCTAGTATGAGAGGCCTCGGGTTCGAATTCCGGGAAAATAATAAATTGCTCAGTACGAAGGACATAGTCTAATAACTATTTGCCTTAATAAAATCGATCAGTGAAACGGACACGGATCAGTGTTTGCCCAGCGAGTAACGCGGTTTTATATTCTCATTTCGTAGTTTTTTTACAATTTCGAATATTGCGATATAAAAATATAATATTTTCTTTAACATTAAAATAAGTAAAGTGATACTTTTTTGTTCACGGAATAATTTAAACAAGTATGCTATCTAATGTTTTATATATGAAGTATAATCTATATGTCTAAACAAAGGAATGGCTATAGCTAAAATAATCTAATTTTTATTAAAATAAATGAGAGAGTGTTCAAAGTTCATCCAAATATAAAATACTTTAAAATTCTAAATGCATTTCTATAACAACGATAAAATTAAAGGGTAAAGAAATTCTACCAGGCACTACTAGTGAGGCAGTTTAACCACCTTTCCCCTAAGAAACATAATGCTCTTGTTAATTGCAATATTTCTGAATCTCACCAAGAAGTTCTAACGGTAAATGCAAGGGGAAGTCCACAAGAGTAAACCGCGTGTGATCAGGAAGGGCGAAGACCAACGGTGCATGAGCGGTTGGTGACAGGACTTCTAGTTCAACCCTCGTCTTGCCAGGCACCGGTACAGGAGCAGACAGCAATCGCAAGATCCAGGTCTCAATCTCTTTCACATCGTGTAATACTATTGTTGGGGTATTGTCGTAGGCTTGTCCAGTTAGAACAGACCAGACAGTATCTCTGCAAATAATTATATTAAGCTAGTTGAAAGTCAGGTAAGCACATAAGCACAAACACAGGGTGCATGGCTATGTGCGAAAATCAGTCTATAAAAAGAGCATCAAAAGATCTGAAAATTCCTAACTCCTGTGAAATTTTCATCCGAATATCTGAAGTCAAAGTCGTGTAAGATGTTATATAGCTGGGGTATTTCTCCTACCATCATGCTTCTCTGTCCTCCTCTATCATAAGTCTTATCTCTGTCCTCCTCTATCATAAGTATAAACTGCCCTGTGTCCTGGAGCACTTAAGAGTAGACTTACCTAAATATTTGTCTGGACGCACCAACGCGTCGCGGACTGGAAGACTCGTTACACGCATCAATCAGCTTCTTGAGGATAAATAGGCACTCGCGGAAGGTTGAGAAGAATGGATGGTGTGATAAAAGGCAGAGGGAGGTTAATGAATGGTTTCGTATACGCTGTAACAAATAATTCTATGTTATTTTATAGCTAACTGCGCCTTCAAATAGAAATTTGAAGAGATATGAAAGGACCAATTTTATTCGTGCTGCTGTTCTAACCAATTGAGCTACCGTGTCCCACGTGTTATCGATGAAATTTTCAATAGGTTGAAAAAAGGTTTGATTTTTTTTATGTATATAGATTTTTAATTTATGTAGTGCTTTCTTGTGAAGAGTATAACATTTTTACTGAAATCATTTTAGCCGTGCAAATTTATTTATATAATCAGTCAATATTGTATGTAATAAAATAAACTAACCTGACGTTTCCTTGTCGCTCTAGGACTGGGCGAGTGTTCGCCGCCGCTCTCGGAATCCGGCGCGGGCGCGAACCGCGGGGCGCTACATTCCCGTTCCGAGTCACTAGGCGCCAAGTTGCTGCTCCTATAGTCACTGGAACAATTTGTTGCCTTAGTCGATAGAAATATACGAAACCTAATAATAAATAACTTTCAATATTGCCTTAAGTATATGCGACTAATAGACATTCAATAAAACGACTATAATTTATTTACACGCAAAATATACCTATAAGTTCATTTTTTATTGCCTTATAACTTTTAAATGCATTAAAGCAGCTGTCATCTCTAGTTTATAATATAAATGTTTATAAATAAAACTCCTTGTTCTTTCACTTTTAAAGAACATAATTTGATCTCATTTTAACTACACATAAAATTTGGTTGCGAATAATTGTGTGCAAAACCAAATAGGAAATAATTAATAATTTAAGACTGTTCTACAAAGAATAAGAGACCACCTGGAAAACGCCGAATCTGAACTTCTTTCCATGGATTTGCGCCAAGACTCCCTCCTTAAAAGACCACGATCCCTGGGTCCCGGGGCCGGGGCGCGTTCCACGGCACGATAAAAGTTCACACAAATCCCGTAACGGGTTCTACCTGCGGTTAAAATACTTATTTTACATTTAATTATTATATGTCATGGATAGTTTTAAAGATTATTAAAGAGGAATCATTCTTTCATACATATTTTTTGGGTATCTTGAACAGCTTTTATAGCAGAAGCCAAGGAAACTCGCAACAAGAGAATATATTTCACATTTTCCACTGTTTCTTGGCTCCTATAGGTCATATGTTTTCTAAGCAATACAAAAATATTTTTTCAATTCAATCCAATAATTCCTGAGATTTGAGCGTTTAAGCAAACTAACTGTTAGCTAGAACTATAATGTTAGCTTTACCTGAATCTTTATCAGTCAGCGTGAAAACGAACGAGGTAGTATCTCTTGCGGACATGTGAGCCAGCTGTCTTCGTTGGGCCACAGATACACAACCTTCCGGTTGACAGAAGTATACCATGTCGAGGGGCAAGGGAAAGTCGTCATGGTTTGTGAGCGGATATCGTCGGAGTAGTTCTGGTGCCTAATACAAAAACAAATGCTGCGTATAAAATATTGTTCGATATTTACCTACATTGTAAAAATAAAATAATTTTAATACGGTTTAAAACGAAAATATACATTTCTTGATTTATTTTTTAACTACGACGACATTTGAGTTGCAGTTACACGCATATTAACACGTTTTAAAAAGTGAAAACTGTTTTGTTAAATATGCTTCATATTTCTTATAATTTCGACATTATATTACATAACACAGGCGGGTTTTGAAGTGACAACGAACGACGTACCCTTACTAAGTGACGGCATTAATTTTCATTAATATCTACCAAAATTTAGTGCTTTAGGCATATGTAAACTAAGAATGGAATAATTCAATATGCACTGCATATATTGTTTCTATTCATTGTGAATAGACATGAAAACGCAACACAACTCAAACGCGTCGTTAAATAAGAAATTGTGAGACATTCTCGGAATGCGAATAGTTCAAGTTAAAAGTATAAAAGGCATTTGCTCGACCTACGAGTATTGAAGTGCTGTCAAGAACACTCCGGCCGGGTCTTATCAAATACCGTATTATTAGAAATAGTTCTCTTTGTCCGAGTTACTTAAGCAGACTTTACTGTGTACGGACTACTTTGAAAGCTTTTGTTGAATTAAGGTCGAATAGTATCCGTAGTTTACGCGAATAGTATACGTTACGTAAAAGACTTTAAAAGGAATCAACGTCGGGTATTTTTATGATTGTATTAGCTTTAAAATAAAAGACAAACGGTTTAAAACGCGATGTATATTAGTGAAACTTATTTGGAAATTACTTTAAATACGGCCCGACGGTTTAAACCGTTAAAGGGTTTTATTTAAATGTGTACTCACGTAAACTATAGACAGTATTGAATTAAATTAGCTTCTAGATTTCGCATTTTAACCGTTACAAACGAGTTATTTTTTAAGATCTGTATAAAGAATAAAAGGCTTATAATGCAATGAAGAGCAATCAAATATCTATCTCAAAATCAAACAAATCGGGACTGTACCAATTTTACACAAAATTAATTCAGCTATGAAAATTGGTACTCCTTGAAAAAGAAACTATATTTATATGCACGTTCAAATTTTTTAAATTAACAGTTGCATATTAAGGTCTAAGTGTCTATTGGATAAATTACAGAGTGCAAATATAATATAAAGCACCTGAACAGGTGCCAATCCCTTTCCAGTGGTGTATGGTCTCGCCCCAACGATAGTGAGATAGTCCACAAGCCGCGGGCATAGCTGCTGCTTCTGTACATCCATCTTGATATGCTTTCACTCTATTTTGATATATTTGTACTGCTGGTATCATTATATTCTAAGATATTGCTTTTCATAATTATCACTTGAAGTACCTGTAACAATATCGATGTTACACTTTCAAATCATGATTATGGAGATAAACATTATGTGAAGATGTATTAATCATGTCATGTATATAATTAGAACAGGCTATTTTGTTATTATAAAACTATTTTACACTAGGAACCAAAAATAAATAATTGTACAGCAATTTTGTTTGTGAATAAGATATAGCAAACATAATTAACATGGCGTCTTTGACAAACATTCCTCAATCACAGCCGAACTCGATAATGGTCGCGAAAGCTTTTTACAATTTATAATATGCATAATATCTACCAGATATCTTAACACAAACGAAGAAATAAGTTACCGAATTCCATAAGAATAAAATGTATGACATTGCCCCACACTCGCTAAATTATAAATCAATTTTAGGTTGAGAGAAATTTACGCCACGGACAAGACTTGAACCGGCATCCACAACGCCCCGTGCTTTTGCTCTAACCAATTCAGCTACAGTAAAAAAAATATTAAATCAATGTTTAATCTTTATAATGCCATCCTATTGAACATGATGAACATGTCCAAAATATTAAAGTTTTCCATATTGGATGACTTTAATATTAATACTTGATGTACTTTCCCCAGATGATTAACAAGAGCTTAAAATATTCTTAAATAGGTTTTAAGCCCACAATACCCCTGAAACATTGAACAGCGCAGCCCGCCCTTGGCCCCATTTCCCTGACCCAATTACGCTCCAGTACTTCCGTAGCGGTGTGTGGGCTTCGGGAGCTTTAATTGAATAATGCAACAGTTAGGCTCTTCCTAGACTACGCTATAAGAAAATATATCTAATTATATTTTTTAACGGCGAAATAAGAAATAATATTTTTTCTAGTACTGATTTTTTTATAATAAAAGTTCACAGCGCGCTAAAAGTAAGTTACTCATGTAAAAGCTTTAACGTCCTATGGACCTCCATACTTTAACTAACTGAATAAGCTATACATAGTACCCAAAAAATAGTATTAATGAATAATAGTTCATCGTAACAAATAACTTATGAGCAATTCATGTTCAGATGTTATTAAAAAAATATTTACCATTATTTTATTTATCTATTTAGTTTATTTATTTATTTTCATTATAAATATATTCTACCATTACAGAACAATATCCATTGCGAAAGAATTATTAAGTACATATTTCATGGAGTGATGTTTTTGTTTTTTCACCCAAGCTGCACGTGAAAATGTCGATCACCTGCAGCTTGTTGATAACACGCAAAGCACGAACAAGAGGGGGTTTCATCAGTAAGTTGGTGCGTGAGTACGGTAGCGCAAATAACGGTGGTCGTAATCGCCTCCACACGTATCGGTCCGGAACAGACAAGTGTAAGGACTGTAGAACTCCTGGGTTCAACTAACTTAACTTTTGTTAAGGCTAACCTAACCAATATGATCAAGACAAATTGGGTTAAATAATTAATAAGAATAATAAACAATAATAATCATTATAATGCATGGTGCGCGATATTTCTGCGCTATCTCCTAATATATTATTGCGTAGTCTGACACAAGCTTTAATGTCAATCTGCAGGTGCAAATTAATCGCGTCAAGCTTTAGATTATCTTGTTTATTCGCTGATGTGAAGATGCCGTTTTACGAGTTCGCAATACCACTTTAACGACCAGTAGTTTCCTCAAGGGCAGTAAACATTGCCATAAACAAAACGCCATAAACTGCGTGATAAAAGTTATATTGACACTTTGCGTTGTCCAATATAGGTGCATTTATAGCTTACCTCATAACTTTTAGATGAAGGAGATTAGATTTTACTCAGCGCAATATTTATAGATACATTATTTTGAAGGACAAGTTTGGGGCTAACTTAATGGAAGGTGTAATGCACCCAACCATATAACATCTAAACAAGATGCACTGTCGACGTATTTTGGGTTTGGATATTCGGAAATCCACAGACTGAAACCGAACTTGCTTACGCTTCACGGATGGAATTTCAATATGTCGACCCATTTGATATCCAGACGAAGCCCAAGTTAGAAACATGTTGGACCGGATGGGGATCGAACCAACGAACCGTTAATTGTTAGTCATACATGGAATCTTTGGTGTGATGGTTCTACCATTCAAGGCCTCAATATAGAAAATGGATGGGTATTAAATTAATAATATACCATTGCTTAAATGGTATTTATGAACTTAGCTTCATACTTTTGGACTAAAATGTCCCCTATAGATAATAGACCCACCACGCTACCTCTATGCGAGTTGGCTGGCTTTTAATACTAGAATTGAGATGGAAACCATTCTTGGCGACAAGAGAATTTTGACCACTATCAAACTTCGTATAATCTTTCGTTTTTTTATTATTTCAAACGCCGAACTGACCTTTCGCAGTTAAAACGGTCCCACGTGCCATGCATTCGCTACATTGACGTCATTTCGTAGCATCCAATACGTCAATCGCTAAGTGGGAGAGATAGCTAGTGAAAGCTTTCCAGACGATTAGCCACGATGTGTCACCATGACTATGACGTCTGTGTTTAGCAATAAGAGCGTAGGCGAGGGTAGGTTTACTTACCTGCTTAATTGTAGCGCTATATTACTGGAATACGCATACTAAAATTGGAATCATCCAGAGAAAAAACTGGTTTGACGGTACTTCTGAATGCAGCACAGCCGAGCCAGAGTTTGTTTAATTTGATTTTTGCCTTTAAATTACTAAAAAATCGGTGCTGGATTTGAAATAAGGTAAACCAGCCCTAATTTTATAATCCTTTTTAGGTTCCGAATATCCAAAGCTAATATTTGTTGCTAGCGCTTTTTTTTTACAGTTATAGGGAAGGGGTGTTGAATGCTTGACGGATGTTCACACCTTTATCATACAAAATACCTTGTCTTGTTTGATTGGGACGAAAAACATAGCAGCTATGAAAAACTTATTTAATTTCTTAGTTAACTGCAAACCAAATCAACTTTTTTTATGGGTACCACGCCATCAGTCTAGTTTCTTACAAAAGACTAACTATATGTAACTAAAAATCGATGTTAGATTAAGTAATCTATCGTGCCATTAAAAATACAATAAACGTGTAAGCGTTTTGAACCAACAAATATATTTGAAAATTAACGATCCCCTATCTTTAATGGTCAAAATTATCGTATGATGAAAGTTTTGAACTTTTTGAATTATAGGTTATTTTTAGGTTTGTTCGTTGCTGTATGCCAGCCATAAATTGCCCTAAAGTTAGCGAATTCATACTATTTCTATAACATGCACTATTGCATAAGTGTTTATCGATTACTTCTTAATAAACAGAAGCCGTCTCACCGATTAGGGAAAGCGCTTACGTCATTTCTAATTTGAGGTCGTTTAAACTAAATATAGAGGAAAAGTATCCAATGCTAATATGCAAATTTTGTCCCACTTGAATAATCGCACCAGCTTTGTAGCGGATTCAATGGATACGCTGATAAGAGAAGATAAAACGAAGTGCTGGTCCTAATATCGTTTTAAACGTCCTGTTTAAAACTGATATTGCTTCACCATAATAACTCTACGATAATAATAACTACCTAGTAAGTACCTACTCTCAAGGTAAATTCGATTTTGAAAAATATTTAAAAATACATACGTTAAAGTTTGATTGGTTCACGAAAACTTCTTACGTCTATTAAAAATTGAGTGTTTGGTTGTAGCAAATGTAATTAAGAAAACGTCATGCTTCTTGCTGTGTCATAATAAAATAAATATAATGTATAAGTTCTTAATATTCCATCTGTTTAATTATATCTCTTTCGTTAAAAATTAATATGTATTATATGTATTATTGTACTCAAGCACCCTCAATACACAGCTTAAACATACCCAATTAAGCCTGGGAACGACAGGAAGACGAATTTCCTTTCAGGCGTTATTGATTAATTTGGGAACCCATTAAGTTTTGTATGAGACTTTCGGAGGCCGCTATCAAAGAAGCGTTCGACCTTGAATACAAGACCTACAACGATAGGTATCTAGTTTTATAGGAATGGAAAATGGTATCAAGGAAACTTAATACTTTCCGAATCCTTTTTTACTTGGTAACAATATTTAAAGGTTAAGCGCGACATTTATAAAGATTATTATAATATACGGATTACGGGTTCGGGGGATTAACGAACAAGGAAGCGACTACGGTAAAAATTGGATTTAATACGGTAAAACACTTGAGTACAAGTATATGCCTGTAAATGCAGATAAATTACGTCACTCCCTACCTTGTTATATCGTAGCAGTTTATTGTAATCTTGTGAACGTTTTAAGTGCAAAGGGGACTCACCTAAGTTAAATTGAAGCGGCTGGCATCGTTTGTTCTACGTTATTCGTGTGTCGCACGCGAGTGTATTTCGTGCGGTTAGTATTTTACAATATGCCGCGTAGTGCATATCACGGGGCCGGCGCTCGGAGGCGAGTGGCATGCGCGACCGCCCACGCTCGATAACAGCCGCCCTTGCGCTCTTCGGGCCGATATTATCACACGGGGCTTCCATAGTGCCGATTACTTCGTAGTGACACTTTGAAGGGCTTTGACGGTAGCAAAAATTTTACAACTTATTTTATATCGAGAAAGTAAATTCTATTTTAATTCTTCGAAATACGATACTTATGAAATGGAAATCTGGTTGCTTTGAGACGATAGAAATTATTAAACATTATCTGATTCTGATTCACTAAATTAGATACATTAATTGCATAAACTTATCGAGAATATTTTAGATACATCAAATAATGTAGGTATAAGATTTGTAAGGATTGATGTAGAATATAGCATAAGTATTAAAAAAATATTGTTGGTTTGGACACATTTACTATTAAATTTACTGTTGCAAGTTCATCCATGAATCGTTCGTGTCCATTAAAATTAAACATTTAATAGGCTAAAGGAATATCTATAACTCATTCGAGATCACGAATAGAAAAGCCGTAAGACGTATATTCGCCTCTCCAAGTTCTAGAAGCCAAATAAGTTGACAATGTCTTTTGGGATGCTATCGGGCCGGGCTTTTTCACCTTCCTTCGAGTCATTAGATTCATAAGCGAGGTACACACTCAATCAACTTAACTAACTAAATGTAAATTTACAAAACACTTAATTCCCAAATAAATGCATACAATTTCAATGATAAATAATTTATTAAAACGTATAAATGTTACAAAACGATACTGTATATAAATTCATTTTCACAAAACACTACTTTCCGCTATCTTCTTTCAGTGATACGGTTCTATTGAATACGATCTGAAAAAAATACTTCAATTATGTTTCAGAAATGGCAAATATATCTATGAAACCAATATTATATAATCTTTAAATAATGAAACTGTTACTCAACTTGTTTGGTTGGTACCACATTTTTTTTTATTGCTTAAGAGTTAAAAAATAATAATTTTAAACTATGACTTGATATTTGATATTTTATGTCTCTATTCAAAACTATATTTCATATTCTTATTAGTTAAAACGGTGCCCTAATTACTAAGTAATACAGTTCTTGTAAACAAAAGGTTAGTTTGCTATAATACAATTATAGTATATACAGATATAAAAGTTAAAGGTTTTAAAACTGAGCGTGGTTTGTTTTTGTAGGTAATTATGAAAAGCAATTTTAAAACCTTTCGTTGATACCCTAATAATATTTCAAAAAGTACTTACGTTAGATGAGTCTGTATCTGGATCAACGGAAAAGAAGCCAATCCTTTCGAATTGGAATTTATCGTACACTTTAGCGCCTTTGATAGACGAGTCTGCGTATGCGCGTGAAATAGTTAACGTGTCACTGCGGCAATCCGACAGGAACCCACCGGGCACTTCCGCTGGATCTTCGGGGTTTTTGTGTTTGAACCTGCACCATACCAAAAGTTAATGAAGTTTTAACAGAATACGAATCACCTAGTTTTTAATAAATTTAAATTAATTAAATATTTCTTTAAATCTTTATTTAATAGGCTGTAACCAAATTAGGTTATGTCGCCCAATAATACAAATGTTACCAATTACAATTTCAAATTACTAGACTAAAACTATCTACATCATAGCCTTATGATATAGGTTTAGTAGCCTAGCCTCCCCTGAAAATGGAAAGGCTAACACACTACCACACCACCTAACATTTTCGCGTCGCATATAATCGTTTTATACCAGATACCCTTTGTAAGAGACCTCGGGGAGCCCAATACTGTTTGATTTTTACTTTTTTGTTTACAAAAAGGGGCCAAAACGGAATAGGGTTGGGGGGGCCATCGATTCCTTGAGGGTAACCGAGCCAAATGCAGTAATGCGCTTTTAGAATCCGATAAAATTAAAAACTGAGAACTATTTACAGATTCAACATATATTACTTCAGCAATTGCCATCAAATCGCAGTGCATAATAGAAATAGTACATTTTATTTAATATTTAACGAGAATCAAAAAAGGCGGCTCCACATCCATCTTCAGACTTGGACCCGTCTACAAACAACATATAAAAAGATCCAAACTCAACACATAAAAAAAATATTTTTTTGACTCACAGAGGTTCATAAAGTCGAACTTCCACCCCAATGGGCTGAGAGACCCAATGTATAAACGCTTTCGGCTTCTCCGCATTTTCTGTTGACTCAGCAGTGCATTCCAATTCAACCACTTTACCACTGCTATCTTTGTTAACTTTCGATACCTTAGAAGAAAAGAGTTGACAAAACTAATAATTGTAAAAGTCGATGGTTACATAAGGCTGCCAGAGGCAGAGTGGCCTAATAACAATAAACATGATAAGGAGGAAAATAAAATTGCGCAATTAACTTTAGTGAAAATGAATTATACTAATATTTGTGTAAGAATTATGTTAACAATTTTTGGTCACTGGGCTCTTGTAGATTAACATTTTTAAATTTTTATGAAAATATAAATAACTCAAGTCATAATAATATACGCATTGCAGTTAGGCTACTCCGTCTCTAGCGGCCTTATATAAAGAACACAATTATATTTGCTGTAAATCATTTCAATTATGTAATAATTGTTTCCTATGGGGTTTAGATTACCCATGGAATTACTGTTAAGGACTGTAAAAGCATTGACAAAATCCAAGCAATAGTAACAGGTGTTCTGTAAGATCTTGACACACAATCTTTAGGTCTTTAACCTACTAAAACTGTAAAGTCCCTAAAAACAAATTATTTCAAAATTTCAATAAGTCCTTAAATAAGAATATATCATCAATACCTTGATAATATACCCTGCATGCCTTAGTCCTACTGACTGTGTCAGCGTGAGGCGACGGTACCCCTTTTCAGGTTGTTCCTTAAAATCACTAGCTTCAATGTACAGTGTCCTATCCAATACAACTTTGTGTGAACTCTTATCGGGATCATTAGGGAAGTCAGGAACAGTGACTGATATGACTTCATCACTTGGGAAGTTGGTGATGGTGATCTTCAACGGGTCTAGTACCACCATAACTCTGTAACAGCAAAAATTAAGTCAATGAAACTTATTCAAGTTAAGTTGATTTTAAATAAAAAAAATAAAGTATGTATCGAAAATATGAAACACCTGGATGAAGTACAGTTCTAATTAAACCCTTTAAAAGCTTTAACTTGTATAAAAATAAATAAAATAATGTAATAATAATAAAGTAATACACGTACTACAGACTTCTTCCTAACGTACGTCGTTTTTTAATTGATTCAACAACTAACCGTAACGTTGATAACATTACATTTTTGCTACAGTATTATGATAAACTAACCTGGGCGCTGTTAGATTGAGGTGGTCCCTCACGGAAGCATCAAGGAGTGCAGGATCAACTGCGCCAACAGCTCCTGTAACTCCCAGCGCTGCGCAGAATGCATTCACAGCTACAGAAGGAACTCCACGTCTTCGTAACGCGGTCAATGTGAACAGTCGCGGGTCGTCCCAGTCTAAAACGTAGATATAGGTATACATAAAAAAGTTAGTTGCATATAGTTATAAAAGCCAATAAATTTTACAAATTAGTATTAATTTATGAAACCATTTGTAAGTATTATTGCAATAGTCCGGTGGTTTTGAAATTTCTGAACAATGCATTTTTATGATAATATAGTTAGCATGAGTGATAGTACACTTTTAATGGTTAACTAATATTCGAGTTTTAAACCGGGAATTGAAATAATTAGTCATAGTTTTATTATAGGGCTTTTATAAGGCTTTTTAAAACCAAAATGTTGAATTATTTTGAAACCAAAAGTCAAATTGACACAAACCATTGACAATTCCTTCATCAATCAACTTGGCGATTTTCCTCTTAGATACCACAGTATAATTGACATTAAGCCGCCCATACTCCCACTGGACAGGGCAATAGATGTCTAACGCATTACATAGCCAATAATAGGAGGACCTATGGAAAAAAATCTATACTTTGTTTGTAAACAAGGAGTACAAATATACAAGGGGGTTATATAATTATGATAATATTTTTTGCATTAGTAACCAAAACTTAACATCGTAATTTTATATGCTTGAGACAGACAAGCATGGGGTTAACCCCATCCTATATGGTCTTACCAAGATGAATTGTCGCTTTCTATTTTGGCTTTGGATAACCAGAAAACCAGGCCGTAACCGGGACGCGATAAAACTGATCGGTTTTTTAATCTGTGGAAAAGTAAATTATATATCAAACCTTCTAGACTGGAACTCCTTTGTACACAGAGAATGTGTGATGTGCTCTATACTATCACACAAACAGTGTGTATAATCATAAGTGGGGTAAATGCACCATTTGCTTCCTGTACGATGATGCGGCTTGAATTTAATTCTATAAGCCACTGGATCTTGTTTGCCTTCTTCTAGGGTTATTTTCATTCTCAGTGTTGCTTCTCCTTCATCTATTTTCCCATTTTTCATATCCTATAAGATTCAGAAATAATTTGTTTTACAATAGAACTTTTGTGTATTAAAAGTCAACAAAGACTGAGATGCATCGACATCTATATTTTCCAAATGACTGTACTACATAAGATTGCTTTTAGGTTAATTAATTTTTTTTAAAACATCTTTGATATCGACTCCAATACATACAGTTCCTATAAATTGTTATACATACCTCAAAGAGATGCAAACTTTCTTCGACAGGCCTGTTCCTCCACGGAGATGGGGGTGGGTTGTATCCTTTAATCTCCTCAGCTTTCTGATGACACACGTAGGCCAATTCCTTCTTTATCAATTTTACTGCCCATTCATACAGTTGGTCAAAATAATCAGATGAATGGGTTATTTTGTAAGGTGTGTATCCTAAAAATGTATAGAATAATAATTATTGAATAAGCTACTTGACTGCCAGCTATACAAATATATTTACGTCATATTTACGCAAGTGAATTGAAGGAAGGCAAGTGAATATTGGATTGTTACTTGTTTGTTCTACCTACTCAAAATAATATTTTATGTTATTTTTCTAGAATTTAAAACCAGAATTACTTGCCAAAAGCTATATGTGGAAATTTTTCATAAATCTTACCAAGCCATTCAACCATATCCTTAATGCCAATAAAGAATTTCTCCTCTTCTTTCTCAGGATTTGTATCATCATATCTAAGAAAACATATACCGTCATGGGCTGCAGCATAGCCAAAGTTAATATTTATAGCTTTAGCGTGACCAATATGTAAAATACCATTAGGTTCTGGTGGGAATCTTGTACGAACTTTTCCACCAGTTATTTTAAGATGGTCTTCTAAAAGTTTTTTAGTGCTTGGTGTAACAATATATCCATCTGACTTAAAGTTTTCACCAGGGACATGAAACGGTAACTTTTTCATGAGCTCAGATATTGAAACTGCTTCTTCACTTGAATCTACAACACTTGCAGCTCCTGCAAAAATAAATACTATTGTTACTATTGAAAAAAAGTAATGACTATTTTTAGTAATTTGTATTCGATAAGTAATTTTATTTTGTTTTTTACAACTAATAATACAACTTAAAAAATATATACAACTTTTTAAGATAGATAGCTCTAACAAACCTTTGTTATCTTCCTTTTTAGACTTTTTGCTAATTTCACTAGAGGTTTTAGCTTTCTTCTCTGCTTTTGGTATAGGAGCCAAGTCAGCCTCAGTTTTTGGACCCAAGAGATCTAGAATCTGATGCAAAAATATTATTTCAAAGAGTTTAAGCATTCAGTATAAGTTAGTATATTTTTATATATTATACCTGAACATCAACTTCGTTTTTTATTGCTTTACCGTCAGCCCACTTTAAATCGGATCTGACAGCTTGCATAACTACTCCAGAGTTAAATCTGTACCTTTTCTCAAGTAATTCGCTTTTGTACTTTGCCATATGCTTTTCAACAGCCAGTTCTACCTGCTCTGGTGTTACCACAATTCCAACACCACAGGCTTCCTCAAACTCTTTAATGCTAACATTTTCCTCATTGAGATGACTAAGGACATATTCCAAAGCAGCATCTATTCTCAGTGTAGAATCTAATCTTCCGTCCGCTATGTACTTGCAAATAAATGGGAGTTTGCCAACAGATTGCGGCTTAATTTTCGTAGCCAGATGGTACAAAAGTAAACCTACACCGGGTTGTAATTTTTGGACGTCGACCTAGAAGATGTAATAAGAATATTATGAATACCAATACATAGCATGTTTATGTTATTGTGTCTGTTTTGTTAACTTTTCTAACCTCACTTAGGATCTGAAGCAGAAACTTTGTAACATTAGCATTTTTTAGAGTTTCCTTTGCCTTTTGTTCACTTAAGCCTATCTTTTTAAAACCTTCTATAGTTTCTTCAGGAGACATTATAATTGGATTTAATCCTATTTAGGAACTTCAGGATCTACAGACGTTACAAACATGAAGGTCTAAATTCGCCACAAATACAAATTACCATATGATTTGATTGCACAAATGCCTTATATCAACGTCTGTCATGTTTGACATTTATCGAACTGTCAACGTGCAAGCAGAGTGTGACAGTTTACAATGGAGCTATTTCCGGGTATGGTACTTAAAAAAAATACATTTTAGGTCTTAGTTTTGTGTTTATATACGATTTTTGTAATAAGGTACCATAATAAAATAAGTTATTAAATTTTCATGCTTACTTATGTAAATAAAATCGTTAAATTCTCTGAGCATACACCAAACGCTTGAATGTTGAATTAACAATTTTGCTTATAAATATAATTATATATATAAACCAACGTGTTAAATAAACCAAAAGTCAATGTTTTACCCCATTAGCATAGCGATTCAAAATTCCAGTTATGGAACCTCCTTATTCATTTTGTAAATAAATGTCTTTTCTACTTTTTTTTAAAGTGCATATAAGGATTTTTAGAAAAATCGTGAAAAACCTTTATGAAAAATTATATTATTAACTTAATAACTATTAAATTTAATTTAAGGCGTACACGTGCCATTCCAGATTCGAATGGAGTGGAAATTATGCAAATTACTTTAGCCTGTCCCTTCGCTTTATTAAAATTATGTACAAGTGTTTATGATGTTGACGTACTGACGACTCAATGATCTGTAAATTACGTTTTGTTTCTAAATTTGACTACATAACTCTTTGTGTTTAGTTTATATTATTTATATAAATACGTCTGCTTAATCATTTATTCCTTCACCTAAATAATTTTCGCGTCTAAATAAGGTACTTGGCATTAAGTAAATGAACGATGTTTTATTATCAGTAGTTGAAGCACGTGGGATAGTAACACCTGATAAGGTCGTCTGTTTTATCCATAATCTATAAAAAGTGCTGATCATAAAGTTGCCTTTATTATATTTAATAATAAGGTACTTACTGGCAATAAAGCTCGCTTAACTATTGTATACAGTTCAAATTAGACAGTTGTAGGATTTGAACTGTTGATGATTGAAAATTAGTATATATTTTAATTTAATAAGTATCAGATATCTGTCACACAAGCGGGACTCGAACCCATCACTGTCTACCACGAAATAATTATTCTAGTAAGTTGCGACAAAAACAGACACCTTTATTTTTAACACATAAAATTAATATCTAAATACAATTTTTAAACACAAAAATTTAGTATGGTTGAGAGAAAAGTATTTTCAGTATCGTGAATACCTCACTAATACAATGGAAGTTCCTAATTAAAGAAGAAATACACGATATTTTCCAAAGATTTTCGGAGTGAGCTTTTCCGCTCTAATAAAGAGTTTGTCTCTCGCACGGCATCAAAGTATTCGTACGTAATTTGTGTAAATAAACTGTTGTATATCGCTTGAAACGAACGTATTAATACATATTGGTCGCTATTAGCCGATCACTTAAAGCGGAATTAAAGAATTTGTTCTAAACGATTCTTATTTCATAGTTCTAGATGTGAAAACAAACTATTGTCAACATTTTTGTCGTTAAAAGTATCTAGTTTCATAAGAACTATTCCATATAAATAGAAATTCTAATCACCTTAATATATGAAAATGTAAGTAAATGCATATTTTTTGAATGTATGGAAAACTTACCGTTAATAGTATTTTTTTTAGCTTGACAAAAAATCGCTACTTACTCAAATGACAAGTCACTTTGAACTAAATGTATTTTTATTCACTAGTTATAGTATAAATAAAACAATAATTAATTTCAGTACGTATTCAAAAATGAAAATGAGTAGAATATATATAAAAAATGAAGTATATGCGTGCGAGTGTATTATGTTTCAAAATTGCTTACTTGTGCTTTTTTAAAGCCGGGGTGTGAAAGATTAAAAAACCTAAAAAACTTCTGTCTGTAGTTTACGCGAGTAGTACCTACACATTTAAATAAAACACTTTAACGGTTTAAAATGCGAAATATTTTAGTTAAACTTTTTTGATAATTATTTTTAACTACGGCCCGATGATTCGCAGGCTTTGCAGCAGCCGTGGTCACGGGGAGACCACCCTCCCAACTTTTTTGAGTTATGTATATCGCGTTTTAAACCGTTAAAGTGATTTTTAAATTTGTACTACTCGCGTAAACTATAGATAGTATTTTCTTATTGTATATATCGGGCATCTTATTCATTTTATATGGAAAATACATAGTAAAGATTTCCCTCAAAGCACAGTTATGATTCAAAACGTTTCGCGAAATATTGAATTTAAAGTAAACGATAGTATAAAATTATGACGTCAATCAGCCGGGAATGAAGCCCTTAGCGCCTTTAAGCGTGTAGCAGTAATAAAGACCGAAAGTAAACCACATCACCACAGTAGCTTACGGTAGCTGTACCGCGGCACGCGCCTTCTCCATTGTAAAGTTAGTTTATTTACATAAAACGCTTTCAGTATTCTCGCTTTTGTATTATTAGTGCTAACAACTCTAACGGTAAGCATCTTTTAAATAATATATAAATGTTCTGAATAATTAATTTAGTTCATTTATTTATTTATGGTTGTATTAGTTGCAATAAATACAAAGATCGGCGTTACTTTCTCAGGTATATACTGAAAAAAGTAGGTTTTTTTTCATTTACTTATCAGATATTTATGTATAACGTATTCAGAATTGTTCTTGGTCTCTTTGGAATCTTGTGTATATTTAAATAAAACACTTTAACGGTTTAAAACGCGATATATTAGTTAAACTTATATGAACATTATTTTTAACTTCGGCCCGACGTTTCGGATGCTTTGCAGCAGCCGTGGTCACGGGGAGACTGACTCGCGTAAACTATAGACAGTATTTAATCTTGTGTATACTTTGTGAAGTATAAGTAAACAAAAAGCATTTGAGAAGAATTAATGTAAATGATAAAATTTATTGAAAATATATTAAGTTCATTAAAAAATCATTTAAGGATTAATAACAAAAACTAATGATTTAAAACGCGATATATTTTAGTTAAACTAGTTTGAAAAATATTTTTAACTACTTTAATTATTTTTAAAAATAATTTTCAAACTAGTTTAACTAAAGTATATCGCGTTTTAAACCGGTAAAGTGTTTTCTTTAAATGTACTACTCGCGTAAACTACAGACACTATTTAACAACTAATGAATCATTCGGTATCACACGGTACTTACTACTGGAGTATAAAATATAAATACATCATATCTTGATATAAAGAGAGGAGTTTAAAAATAGTTGGATTACTATGACCTAAGGAACATCACGAATAATTCAGCAGATGTAACATATTATTAACATACCTTTTGAATATAATAAAAATCACGAGATCTATAATAATCTTTATCGGACGCGTTATTTTATTGTTTATGGATATGTGTTATATTTTTAAACTAGCTGTATGGCCGCGACTTCAAAAGATTACACACACATATGTATGTTTACCTATCAGTAGTTTGCGTTCTATAAAAATTCATATGGGTTCACCTATTTCATATTTTTCATTTATAATAATGTTACTTGTTTCGCCCTGCTGTGTTGTCTTTCACCCTTAGGTTTATATTATTTATGTGATTAGGTATAAAAGCCGTTAGATACTCATTTTTCATTCATCGTCAGACGTTTTACAACATGCACGAATTTTCAATAAATTTTGAAAACACGAGGAAATTTGTTCCTTTTTATTCTGTTTTCTCTTAACAAAAATGGTTTTATTGCGATTTTTTCAAAAGTGCATAGTGCGGCATATGCCAGTACACTGTTCATTGTTGGTTTGTTTTAATGGCTAAAATGTTTAATTAGCTTTCTATTATATATTATAAGTACTAGCTGTAACTTTTTTTATATGTAAATAAAAAAGATTTACATGTGCACAGTCAACTAAAGCTTTCAGACATATTGACACTTAGTTTTATTAAAATCGTCCACGAGGAGACGTCAATAATCATTAATCAGATACACATCGGGGTAATTACTTCATTGAGTGGTCCTAATTTATGTAAAAGTACAAATTATAGCCTGTAGTAATTATTTACAAAACAGTGCAAATGTATATGTTCAACTTTCAGGTTTATTAACACAACTATGGTCTCAATGAGTTCATCAATAACCTCGCCGAGGACGTCTCTTGCTAAGTTTGTATTGTGTCCAAAGTCAAAGCCGTTCAAGATCATGGTTTTAGGACAATCGGGGGTTGGAAAGTCAGGTATTACCATATATAAAAATATACCGTATATAAAATACACATATAATATAAGATAATATTTATACGTATAGAATTATATTATAAACAACTTCGAATATATTAGTAAAAAGTATTTTGACTTGACGGACTTGCTTAAAAATCAAAATTTAAAAATTATTTATTCATAACAAAAGTTACATATTATATTTCCAAAGACATAAAACAACTATAAATGTTAACGAATTAAAGAAGCTTTCTTAGAATATAATAAAATACTTATTTTTTACGTTTGTACCTGAATTTGTAATACATAGATATATTTTTATTATTGAAGGAAAGAGCCAATCTAGCGGTAAAAGTAATTACGTTTTTAAGCTATAAAAGTTGCCATTAAATTTCAGCACTGGTAGTGAGATTCATTACTCGTCGTTTCATCGGCGAATATGATCCCAATTTGGAGAAAATCTATACTTTTCAAACAGTAATTGATAACGAAACGGTTTACTTTGAAATACTCGACTCTGCCGGCGATCCACAAGTGAGTGCTCTTGCGGAGTTTGCTTAATTATATAATTAGTGTTCGTAACTTTATCCACGAGAAACTTGGAAAATGTCGGAATACGCAAAGACCAAATTGAGATGCATTTACTACAGAAGCGAAGAAATTGTTTAGTCGCCTGATACAGTCTTATCACAGAGAAGGATATATACAAACATGGCGTCGAATTGATGAAAGGTGTAATGCCCCAGTCCTCATCATGGAATATGATTATCGTACCAACGACCTGTTTATTTGCACATTCAGTATTCTTTTATACAATTGGACCAGCGTATCTGAAAGAATAAACTTGTGTGCCCTGCTCTAATTTCCCTCGGATTTGAACTTCTCATGTTTTCTATAGTAGCAGTCAGTTAGAATTATAATTGTTGACGGGCTCGTTGGTTCGATCCCCAACGGGTACAACATCTTTCTATTCAATTTATAATTTTTCCGAAACACGTTTGACTTCGTATGGAAGTCTAAATATTAAATGGGTAATAATAAACCACCGTCTACAGTTGATAGAGCCGTGAAGTTTCGGTTGCAGTCTGTGGATTTTCGAACATCCAAAGACAAAATAGGTCGACCGCACATCTTGTTTAGATGGGGTATTTCACCTACCATCAAGTGAAGCCCGTGCATGTCTGTCCTGAAAAAATAGAGCCATGCTTTTCAGAGGTGCGAAAACTTGGAGAGTCACATAAAATGGGCCGAAGCTTTCATCTTGGTGTATTCGGTGACCGACAAGTGTTCCTTTGACGAATGTCATCGCTTAAAATTCTTAATAAACTATAACAAACGACGGCGCAGACTCGCTTCGTCAGTAAAGGTCAGTAATCTAATAGCGCGTTTCAGCCCACGTAAACACAAGGGGTCGGCTATATGTGCTAAAATCTATTTTTATCATAATAACATCTATATTCATCGTATTATCTTTTAAAAATACGTAGCTCTTGATCAAAGGTTATTATATTCAGTTATTATCGCAGTAGAGACAGCAAAAGTACAATTCGCTGTTAGTTTGTAGTTCGCTATAGATTTGAGCCTGACATCAATTTGGTTTAAATTAAATACTAGCGATTTAAAACGAGGTATATATTGGTTAAACTTAGTTGAAAATTATATTAACACCGGACCGACGGTTTTGATGCTTTGCAGCAGCAGCAGTCTCCAGGTCACCGCGTCTATAATGTAAATAAGTTTAACTTACATATATCGCGTTTAAAACCGTTAAAGCGTTTTAATCAAATGTGTACCATAGACAACTACAGACAGTATAGTTTTTTGTTGAAATATGTACCTACAGCCAGATTTAAAAGTGTAGGTATTTATAGCCAACAAAATAAACATGACTTTTTTAGAACAATGAATCTCAATATTTTCCTCTCTTCACCTACATATATTTTTGAACAAACTTCACCAAGTTTCAGATCTATTAGAGTAGTTATAATTGATCCTACAGCTCAATTTTCATAACAAGGCTTCATATTTCCATTGTTTATAACTTTGAAGGAACTTGTGATTCTGGGGATATTATAGTGCTAGTAACCTTGGTACGTGTATTTTAGTGTTATGTAATTCTAAATTATTAAAATATAACAAAATTTATTTATTTATTAAAAACCAATCACACATCTTTACAGAATATGAATTGTGTTTTATTTTACCTTTTCATTTTAAACCTATAGAAAGGTTATAGATACCTACATTAAACATTCACTTAGGGTAGGAAAAGTAATATAATTTCGACGGCCATCGAGACCCACCTTCCTTCCTTACGTATAGAATCGTGTACACACTATGTATTATAATTTTCTTCCCCATAACCTTCTTTGCATCTCTTACGAAAGGAATAGAGCTAGAAAACATTTTATTTGCTTACAACATAGACGAAAGGGATGACAATTATGTTTAACTCTAGAATAAAGGACATACAAAAAATTTCTTAGTTAGTTAAGCGTTTTTTGACTGTCACTAGTTTTAATGATTGATTAAAATATGTATAAAAGTGTTTACTTTTATACATATTTTGTACACTTTACGAGTACTATACGTATTTCACACTAGTGGTTGTCATATGAGCTGCCGCGACGACAACTGTTGTCAATAGAACTACTCGATAAAAGAACATTTTAGATATAGTAGGTAATCAATTACCGACACCTTCCGTCATACATGAATTTCACATTAGTAGTAATATGTCATTTAGTTAAGCTAATTTATTTTTCTCCTACGGGAGTCGAACTTGCGAACCGGTTTATCCACGAAAGATATTGGCCAATTAAAATCATGGTCTATTGTAGTCCAAACATTTATTGTTGTTTTTACTCCTTAAAATTATATTCTTATAAATTCTAGGACAGCATACACGAGACCCCAGTGGTTCTTGTTGGTAACAAAGTAGATCAAACAGGAGACCGTATGGTGACAACTGAAGAAGGACAGCGGCGAAGTAAGGAAATAGGCTGCGTTTGTTTTCATGAGATTTCAGTCCGAGAAAGCATAGAACAGGTTAGTTGAATTGTATTTATGTAAAATATATACAATTTTTAGTATTTTATCGATCGATGGTTTCACTTCGGTTCGTATTAGGATTTGCTAGTCTGTTAGAATTCACACATTTAAAAAAATTGACGGTTTAGAAACGCGAAATACATACATATTACTTAACTTATTAACAGTTAATTTTAACTACGATCCGTTTGCTTTGCAGCAGTCGTGCACTAGAGCACGGCCTACGGCACATTAAAAATGAATTGTTAATAAGGTATCTCATAGATTTCGCGTTTAAACCGTTGAAAGTTTATCCACCATATTTTTTTTAGTTCAACCTAAATACGGGTGATTATAACGCAAAACTTTACCTTCCATCTTTAGATTAGGTATCGTTATTTAAGTTAAGAACAAGATACAGCTCCTAGCAGCTTTAATAAATATCTATATTAAATCATGTTGAGGTCAAATAAATCAAGAAACAGCTGTTTAAAAAACTTTATTATTTTTTACATGTTATTGCACATGAAGGCACTATATAATTTAAAATTCGATTTTTAAATTGTATAGTGCCTTCATGGGCAATAACATGTAAAAAATAATAAAGTTTTCTAACGATATAACTTTGTAATTTCATCTTCAATGATTTCTTAAGCTGCAAAGCATAAGACGTTGAACCTTAAATCGCAAATGTTAAGGTTGAAATTACATTGCGCGAGAGGTGGATGTATCAATAAGTTGAAAAAAATCGACGATGAGGTGACTTAAATTGAACAGTTGTTTAATTAAAAATATAGAAAAATCAATTTATACCACTAATTGCCAATTTACTGCTCAGGTAAGAATTTTTTCTATAAGTAGCGGAAATAATTACGAATTAATAACATCAAAGAGTAGATGTATATTTATATTTCAAGAAAGTACTCGTAATGCTTTGATACGGCGATATCAAAGAACTTTTCAGTCTGCAATTGCTAGATTTCTTGTCTCATAATTAAAAAGCGTTTAAAAATACTATAAGAAAACACAACTTAGTTTCATAAAATAATAATTTACTGTCATGGACATTTCTTTTGAAATTATTTAAAGAGGAATCATTACTTCACACATATTTTTTTTGGTTCTTGAACCGTTTTCGCATCGCATGTTATTTTCACAATGTCTTCTGTTACTTCGGTCCTTTGGGACGCATTATGATGTTAAAAAGATTTTTACTATGAACCAGTAATTTCTGAGATTAGCGCGTTCAAACAAACTCTTCAGCGAGTTGCGTATGTTGTATGGTAGCGTAAATATTTGTTTTGTAATCTTTTCAGTAATAATTGTTATAGCGGCAACAGAATTACGTGGTTTATGTCTAACTCTCTAGCTATCATGTTTCTTAAGATACGACCCTGGTCACAGACAGATGACGAAGTCTAAATAATATTATATTTAACGCTTTGGGTATCATCTCTGTAATCCTATAAAGCAACCAAAACGTTAGTAAGTATTAAACTACCTTATCCAACTCAAAAGATTGTTTATTTGTGAAGGCTTACAATACGTACTTACTAAATGTTTAACGTAATTAAATATTAAACTATAAATATACTATAATAATACTTTACAAAGGCCTAATGTCTTTAAAACCTTATATTATTCCTCACTCTTATCTATCTATATATTCTTTATTGCACAAAAAATAAAAATATTACAAATTAAACTTATATACTAGAATGGAGAGCAATGGGCGGCCTTATCGCTAAGAAACGACCTCTTCCAGGCAATCTAAAGTTATGAAATGTTAAGAAAATGAGATATGCAAGGTAGGCGAAACAAATTAATAGAAACAATAAATAATCATAAACAAAAAAAAACACAGAACTTAAAATAAAAACATACAGATCTAAAAAGTTAGTAACATGTTTACAAACTTAAACGAAGGGACTAAATATATTTAAAATAAATAGATAGTGACTACTCAGATGACCTTATCTTATAAGATGATCTTATATTTTCTTGAGATTAAAAACATGAAATGTTTCTTTATTAAATAATTTATTTATTAATTAATATTACTTCTTCTTCTTTTCAGGTGTACGGGGTATTTAGAGATGCTCGTCGCTTTTGGAGGGTAGGTAGCAAATACTCCAGGGGAAGAAGCGAGTCCGACATACAGACATCAGCTCTCGGGAGACCTCTGTCTAGAGCGGCTTCAGATACCACAGACTCAAGCACGGTTACAGCTACATCTCTTTGTATGTACATATTATATCTAGTATATATAATTATATAGATTTTTAAACATTTGGCATAACAAACAAAATAAATGTAAGTTTATATCAACTTTAACGAAACTAAAAGAGAGATCTTAAAAAGAATAAATAATAAATTTGTTATATTTCTATTTAATATATTCAGTTAGAATTGTCTCATTTTTACAACCACACTTTCATGGTTGCATTGCTTTAAGTGCGAAAAGTTTTAGGTTGAATTCCGGGAAAATATTTATAGTTTCAGAAAATCGCTTAGTGAAAGAAATGGACCATGTTTAAAATAAGCGTCCCTTTGAATCACGTGAGATATCAAAAAAATAAATGTAGAATGACCGAATTTTTATTCATCACTTTTCATTTCTGTGTCTATAGCATCAGTTAATAATAGGTAAAGACAGTACCCTAGCTAAGTTGACAAGGGCCCCGGTATATAAAGAAATAATCACGCCCTTATTATCTCTTTTCGCGTATCTTGAACTTATATAAGGTTCCAAAATTATACAGTTCCTTCAGAATAGATTTTTCTTGTTTTCTTTTACGCTCATCTGTTTTCAAATATGATGTTAGAGGGCCTCCTCCGCTTCAGCACCTGGCTATATAAAATATCGCCGTCGAGCTTTCTCACACTTAACTAAGACGCAACACGAGTAACCCGGGCGACGTTGACATTAATTTTAATACTCCATTATTCCAAACCATCAACGGTTGAAATCCGCTTACAGAAAGAGGAAATCTAAACACATTTCACAACATTACATTACGAGGACAATACAAATACCTAAATATAGAAACGGGAGACAAAACAAAATAATACTCGTGTTTTCGCTACCTTATTTGATAACAACTGACTTCCTCAATGCCAGAAGTAACGTAATGATGTAAATTGTAAGCGATTATGTTGTATCTGTTCACGCAAGGAAACTTATAAAAGCTTTTTTGCCAAATATTTTGTAAATGATGTCTGTTAAGAATAAGAGAAAGTGCGACTGCCTCGTTGGTGTAATGATAACAATGTATTGCAACGAATCAACTGGTCGTGTATTCGATCCCCACCGGGTCCAGCATCAATCTCCCTGAAACATGTTGGACTTTGTCTGGAAATCTGGTGCCGACAACCTGACAAACAATTGATCCGCATTGTCTAATTTAAGGGGACTTTTCGGGCTCAGCAGCCGTGGTCACGGGGAGACCGCCCCAAAGCATCCGAAACGTCGGGCCGTAGTTAAAATAATTTCTAAATGACTTTATTTACATATATTGCGTTTCTAAACCGTTAAAGCGTTTTATTTAATGTGTACTGCTCCCGCAAAATATAGAGAGGACATTTTATTTCCAGGTCGTCGTTGGACAGAGTTTGATTTAGAAGAAGAGCAGCAGCGTGATATTATACGCAGCGATTCCACTTCCTCCACTGAGGCTATAGATGAATTTCGTGCTAGAGCAAGTACGGATTCTAGGCTTCCACCGCGACCGACCAGATCTCGTCATCCGCCCACGAGGCCTCTTCCAATACCAGTGAGGAGAATGAGCGTAGCTATGAGAGGAAATAGCTCTAGTACATATTAACTAAAATACCAAAATTATTTCTATACAAATTTTAGAAGTCATAGCATGTTTGTAAATACTAAGTATGACTCTGTCGGGCGCGTTGGTCTAATGGTAGCATGTATTGTTAAGAGTCAAGGATTCGATCTCAACCGGGTCGAACATGTGTCAAATAATTTATTGATTTTCCCAAAACATGATGGACTTCTCTAAATTTGGATATATTTTCTTAATTGGGATTTGGAATAATCGAAATCCCGTTCGGGACAGGAACAACTACCACAGATGAAAGAGCTGTAAGTCGTGTAGCGCATCTCGTTTGATGTAATATGGCTGGGGTATATCATCTTACATCAAGTGTACTCAATGTTGCTCGTCGTCCTCTGTTATAAAAAGTTTTAAAGAACGATTTGTGTTGGTATTTGTTGAATTTCATATTATCAGTTTCACGTTGAACGCTTATAATATAACGGTATAAGTCTAGTGACCGCCATGATAGCGCGTTGCGTCAAGCGTGAGAGGTCCTGTATTCGAACCCCTGGGAAACAATAAATCGTTTCGGTCGGGCAGAGAAGTCTGATCAACTGCTTGCCTGTAAAGAGCGAAACGATGAAACGGACACAGAAGTGTGGTCGCCATATCCCAAGGGGTAAATATGATTTCATATTTGAGTTTAGTAAAGACATAAAGCTAGTTTAAAACGCGTGAAGTTTCAACCACATTCCGTTATTCAATGAATGCTGAATATATTTTAAACAGATTACATTTTATTCTATGTACGTATAGAGAATAATTATGAAATAAATAAAATATTGACTGTTATTGTGTTTTTTTTGGAGATTGTAATTTTCTATTGTCTTAATTATTCTACAAATGTTACTATGTAATTCAATCAGTGTGAGACATATACAAGTATACGACTAGTACATATTTTAACGTTTCCTTAACAACGGTATACCTAAATAAAATAGTACTACTTCGTTTATAATATCATACTCGTTGCTAATGTAATTGCATTGTGCGGGAAAAACTCGAATATAATGTATATTTAATACTTAGCAACGAATAATACGTAAGAACCAGTATGTAGGTATGTTTTGTAAGGGGACACAGTAAGAGTTGGATAACCCAAAGTCCCCTGCTAGAAGAACAGGGGAAATAGGTTAACTAGACAGGTGATAGTGTGGACTCATCACTCGGCCTTTATAGGTGTCCCCGATAGAAAATCTGTCGAATGAAGTCTTTAGTTTACGCGACTAGTACACATTTAAATAAATCACTTTAACCATTTAAAACGCGATAAATAATTTTCAAATAAACTTAACTAAGATATATCGCGTTTGAAACCGTTAATTTCTGTATTTAAAAATGTAGGTATTTTTAAAATGTCATTTCGTATACCATTCCAGCTAAACGTGTTTTAGGAGATGACACACATAGAATTTCTGATATGCCCGTTTTAATACGATATTTTCCCACTCGGAAAATAAAGAGTAAATTTCTACACAAAGAAAATTCTGCGCGACTGAAAACCAAACTGCCGGCGCCAAGAACATTGTATGGATAAAAGCGGCATACATAACATACATATCCCATCTGCTATATTATGCCTATCAAAACCAATGCGTAATCAATATCTAATCACATAGCAACAGTCGTGAGGTCGCCAGACAACTGTTTTAATTGTGGCATAGTTAGAAAATCGATTATCATGACTCAGTATTTTAATATGGAAAATGAGTATTGAATACCTACATTTATGCTTAAACGATTAATACAGTTGCATAGTCATATAATATGTCGTTTATATATGTTACATAGAGATAAAGTACGAAGTTAACTATTATTTTTATAATCCTTTTTAACATTAAGGTGATTGATTCTCAATTCAGTTTATTACATTACTTGTTTCCTCGAATCTATCTTGATCGACTCGTTGCTATAAAAGTAATACTGTGTAGACAGTCAACGGGTCGTGGGTTTGATCCCCGCAGGGTCCAATTTTTTTCTAATCCATTTATAATTATTTTTGAAACATGTTGGATTTCGCCTGGAAATCTAAATACTATAGTAGAATTATCGAAATGCCGTATGTGTCACGAACTACCGTCCACAGATGAAAAAGCCGTAAAGTTTAATAGCGTTTCGGTTTCAGATTTCTGGATAAATAAGTCGACAGCGCATTTTTGTTCAGATGTGATGCTGGTGTATGATAATATATAATTTATTTCAAGTGTACCTTTGGGGTCCGGTCCTGCTTTAACCTCCTCTATCATAAAAAAGTGACTATTAGTATGGTATAACGTTTCTTTCTTTCTATATATTATGATTTGCCAATATTTATTGTTAAGCGGAATACTCGAAAGCTAAAAAGGCATAACCCTTCTTTTCATTATAAAGCACAAAAGATGATCAGAAGTGTGTAAAGTGAAATTCTGTTTTCCCCCTTGAAGCTTTTCAGTTTCATCGATCGGTTTTGATTTACAGGTAAGTAGTTGATTAGACTTCTGTGCGAAAAGTTGCAAAAATTCAAAAGAATAACCTTTTATTGACCTTCCCTAACAATTGTTCGATCCAGAGGTTATAACAGAGCAAGCACTATAACAATATATGCAGCTTGAAAATTAAACGAGCCGTAGTTAAAATAATTTAACTAACATCTACCCCGTTTTAAACCGTTGAAATGTTTTATCTAAACGAAAATACATTATTTTCACTTTAACGGTTTAAAACGCGATATATTAGTTAAACTTATTTGAAAATGATTAACAGCATACCGGCAAACGCGAAGACACCGTTAGTCAATTCTGTAAGGACCCGGCCAGTTTCGCCAAATACCAACTTCGACAGAACAGATGGCGCTAGCGTAGCAATTTTTTTTACTTTGACGTCAGAGACATCCTCCATCTTTAGTCTCCCCGTCACATTTTTACACTATAAAAACATAAATAAGTCAAGTTATAAAATTTCAGTTAGGCCTCTAGCGGCATATCATTTACTACTTTTTATTCGAGAACCAACTTTCCTCTAGTGTTACGTCACACTAATTAAATCCCAACTAATAATATTAATATTGCATCTTAAAGTAATTAGAATTACTGACCGCGTTGCTAGGTAGAATTAACATCATGGTAGCACATATTGGTGCTGTAACGGAAAATTATTAATGTGCTGAGGTTAAAGATTGCGCCACGTGTATAGATTAGTATTATCTCCATTATTAGAATTATTTGTTTGCTTTTCAAGGGGAAAGCAGATTTACTTTGAAAAAATACATAAGCAGTGACACCGTGTTCAATGGAGGATATGATTACAAGATATATACACACTCGAAGTACATAAGAAATAAAGAATTTTGTACAAAGTACAGAGCACAAAATTCTTTATTTCTCGTAATAATTAAAAAAAATACTAAATTATGATGGTAGTCCGTGATAGCTTCCATTGTTTACTTTTAAGTGCTATAGATACAATGTAGAATCAGTAATTAAAAAAAACCTACAACATATGTGTATTTTCAGGACTCTTAGGGTCAGAGGTGAAATTCTTAGTAGCTACGTCATTCTAGCGGACTAAGAGTTCATATAGTAAGTAGTAAAATATGGTAATATTTAAACAGTTACACTAAAACAGTCGTTTTGGCTACCCTATGTCAATAATGTATTCACAGAACTGAATATACTTGTTATTGGAAAAAAGTAAAATTACTTTGAAAATGTCTTTGTTTGAAGTAATTTCCTACAATATTGGATCTACAGACTATACGCTTAAACAATTTGATTTACGCCCCTAAAAATGGATCGGTGAATGGTTTATAATTTTTGCTTAAAACGAAACAATATACCGAAGAATATTGAAACCTTTGAATGCAATGCAATAAAAGTAGATAGAAATTGTTGTATGACAGCTTCTGTGCCTTGCGGTTAGGTTGCGGTCTCCTATAAAAGCTATAGATAGCGTATAGCATAACATACTTTACAATAATTTATAAAATTGCTCTTGATGTCTCTAGTTATTACAAATCAATTCATTGGAGTTCTGTATATCCCCTAAATATTAAAATTGTCTTTCACGCGTTAGATATAAAAGAAAGTGAAATCCCGTTTCCCCTCGTGGGGCATAGGGCGACCACATTTCTGTGCCCCGCCAGACCAAAACAATTTACTGTTTCCCCGGGGTTCGAACCCAGGACCTCTCGCGCTTAACGCATCACGTTTAACCATTTAGCGACAGAGGCAGACGCGTTATATATAATAAGTAATAATATTTAATAGTTAACATCTTGACGCAGCGTTATGCGTGACGCTATACAAAGCGTTGTTAGGAGACCACAGATTAAGTCAGTATAACGCCCTCCGTCATAAATAATCACTCAATCTTCTAACATTGAGATACAAAGTCCAACCTTTGCTCAACATTGTACCAACTAAGACTCGGAGAGAGCCGACTTACAAGCGGTTGCAACTTGATTTGTATTTATAGACCACTTAAAGCTAACTTAACTTCATTATTAGCGTAATATGAGCGGAATTATAAAATGTATAATGATATATTTTGTAGGCACCTGTCGAGGAACCTATTTTAAGATTCTCATTACTTGCAATCTGGAATTTGCAATATCTCACTAACGTAAGTATCAAATACTGCCTATAGTTTACGCGAGTAGTACACATTTAAATAAAACACTTCAACGGTTCTCCCCGTGACCACGGGTGCTGTAAAGCATCCGAAACGTCGGGCCGAAGTTAAAATTCATTTTCAAATAAGTTTAACTAATATATCGCGTTTTAAACCGTTAAAGTGTTTTATTTAACGTAAGTATTGATAAAATAACTTCAGAACATTTTGTGGCGTTCTTATGTTTGTAAAATCTCAAATTAACAAATTTAAATGTGTAATAGCATCACCAAAGGGTTATGGAGTTAAATTCAACGCCGGTTAGCAACAGTGCCTAATACCAATCGTCCCGGTTAGCAACAGTGCCTAATACCAATCGTCCCAGTTCTAACATGACCTCAGTT